ACTTGAAGACTTTCAAAAAAGGAACATGATAGAGACAATTTGAGCCAGATGTTAGACTGAAACAGTATGTTTTGTAACATTCATTAGAACATCCTAAAATGAATTAAAAGCAGAATATAAAATGCCCAAATACTTCTCATGTGGTTTGACTCTTGAGTCCGTGAAATTATATTTTGAATACCCCTTTACTCCCCAAATGGACAGCTGCAACATCCCAGGGCCTGAAAATACAATTAAACCCTCAATGGACACTCTGATGCCACAAAAATGGCAAATGGATGAACCTTTTAATAATAGCCTCCATGATTAGCATTGCTATTAATTAAAGCTAACTTTCATTACAGTATCAGGAGAGAGTTGGTATAGTACAAAGGGTGAATTTAATATTCTTTGTTGCTGCTGCTGCTGTATTTATTTCTACATAGTCAAAGGCTTTCTCTAGTCATGACAATAGTACAACAAAATGACAGCAAAAGCCCCACTCAGTTTATCTCCATTGGTTTTCCCTTTATACGTTAGTTTTATTTTTACACTCTGCACCATCAGATGCATACTCTGTGATTGCCCTGCTCAAGAATAACACCGTGGTTATAGCACCATGTTCAAGGCTAGTATAACCTAAGATGTCTTTAAATAGACAGGATTTTTTTTAAAGAAAAAGGTAATTTATCTCTTATAGAGCAGTAATGTTTATATTTACCTCCAGAAATACTGTAAACATTCAGAAAACATTTACTAAACGAGGAGGATAGAACTTGTAGAAAGACAACGCAATGGTTGTTGCAGAAAGATTGGGTAGGAGGCAACAAGTTGAAGAGCAAAAATAGACAGCCTGAGAACATCATTGACAGGGTGTTATTTGTGTACAGCAGTATTGAACCTGTGTGTGTCTGTTTGTTTAGTAGTTTTTCATAGCTAAAGAACTTGCCACAGAGTTGGGTCATCCATAATGACTGTAGATGTATGCTTTATATAATTCTAAAGGTTGGGAAGTCTAAGATAAAGAGCTGGCATCTGGTAAAAGACTTCATGATATGTTATCCTGTGCCAGGAAGCAAAATGAAAAGGGGGAGATGAAAGCAAACTTGACTTCATTGGTGTCTTAGATCTAGAATGTTTAACCTGTGACTTCAACTCCAGGAAATTCTAGTATATTCTGCCAGTACATCCCAGGATTAACTATGGCTGCAGAGCCATTGGGTACCTTTAGGAGATGCTCAAGATCTTCCTTAGGAGATGCCAAACATCTTCCTGGCCTTGTGATCCACTCAGCAACAAAAGGGCTTTACTTAGGCTAAGATCTCTATGAAAGCTTACATAAACTCTATGGAGGGCCATTTGGTAAGGAGGGATATTACCCTCTAGGCAAGCTGCATCTGTTGGCAAAGTTTTCTGAAGGATAACTGTAGAATATGATAAGCACATTCCACCTTCCTAGAGGACAAAGGTTTCCAAGAATGAGGAAGATAATATCTAGTTCCCAGAGATTTAGCTGTTGGCTGAGTGACTGGTGAACCAAGGAAATGCATTATCATTCTGAAGAAATCTCAGGAGGCCAAATTGAAAAATAATTTTAATGGCCACCCACATCAGTCATCAATCAAGAAAATGACCCTACAGCCTTGCCTACAGGCAATCTGATGGAGGCATTTTCTCAATTGAGGTTCCTCTTCCCAGATAACTATAGGTTGTATCAAGTTGACAAGACTCTAAAAAGAATAACCAGGAAGCCCATGGTATTCTTGGCTAAACCACTCCCCAGCAAAGGAGATCTCTCATGATCTAGTCACTTATTTTAGTTTATGCCTGCTAATACTTTGTATTGAAGATTAAATTGTTAATATGTGTATTTTAAGGGACATATTCAGACTGTACTACAACACCAGTCCACACTACATTACAAAGCCTGAAATCCTGTTTTACCTCACTTCCCGTAGCCTAGTTTCATATCTCTATTCCCATGAACATACATTCATCAGTGTCCATAGGAACAAGCCTATGAGAACAAGGGACAAGGGAAGAGTGGTGGCTTTTTTTAAAGCATTGAACATAAAACACAAATGAAATTGGGTCATAATTGATTAAATCTTGGTATCTTAAGAATTAATACATTTTGTTCCCAAGTGATTCAAGGTGACAGATCTTTCCTTCCACTACACTTCATAAGCAGACACAGAGGAAGGACTCACAGTGTGAATTTCTTGGTGGGAACTTTAGTCTTTGGTGGATGTACTGAATAGCTATACTTTCTAAATAACCTTTAAAAAGAAACCTATCTGCTAAGAGATAGATATTTTTTCACTGGTCTAGTCTTACTCTTTGGATTACAGATTAGGAAAAAGAGCAATTACAGCTCTAGAAAGAAATGCATTCTGCTGCTAAATCATTTCCTTATTTTTGGCAGTACACCCTGTACCTATATTCTTGTCATCAACTTAATAAAACATTGGTCAGTTCTCAAGCAAGAACTCAGAACAGAAACTTTTTCCATCCATGTGATGAGTGGAATAGTTTCCATTTGTCAAAAAAAGTTTGTGTGAGACAAATCACTGTAGCATAAGAACTATAAATTGGTGTGATTTAGTTCAAAGGCGATCAACACAGACGTGTGTAGACAATTCTGTTATAGTGTATTAACAACCTTTGAGAAACCTCATGTTCTGTAAAATACTATGATAGGACTCCTAGGGCAAGTGAGTAGGATATTCAGATGTCTTTGTAACTGTAGTCATAGACCTATTAGGACAAGAAAGATAATCTGGCTTCTTCCTACACAAGAGGCTGTCCTATACCTGAAGCTTGCTCCCTCAGGAATGTAGAATTCTCAGAAGTCTTGATCTCATGGATATAGAGAAGTCAGTGATGGCTAAGGGTGGGAAGAGAAACACCGAGGAAGGGGGAAAATGTTAAAGTTCCATTTAGACAGGAGGAAGAGGTTTTTCAGAGTGATCACACACTAGGAAGCAACCATCAAATTTATTGACATGTTTAAAATGTCTCCACACAAAAATGCCAGGTCACATTGTATAACATTGTCAAAACATCACATTGTATCTCAGAAGCATTACATGCATATAAACTAATTTGAAACTATGAATTGCAAGAAAATCAAATGTGAGCTTTTGAATGTAGAAATAACATTCTTAGAAGTGGGAGGTAGAAATATACGCTGGGGGTACTTTCACATCACAAGCAGGACAGAGTTAGGGCAGCTATTAAGGTGAGGGTGCAGTGTAGAGCGGTAGGAACCAGTCTGTCCTTGTGGGAACTGTGTCCAGGTGCCACAGCAATGAAGCCAGAAGGGACCTTTCTGCTAGTGTGAGCTCATAACTAACAATATTTTTTGCTATGAATGTTTCTCTTGTGCTTCTATTCATATGGTTTCCCTGTTCCTGCCTTGAAAAAAATATGACAAAGTTATCTTTCAATCATTGCCCTGTCTACCAGTGGTGGATAATCTAAGTTGCAGTATGGAAGCATGTGTGACAGGTAACATGAAAACACTTCTTGCTGATTATAACTATTGTAACTCACTTGTTTAAGGAACTTGGAAAGCAAAGCTATATGAACAAGAATTAATGACAGTTTGTAATAACTATTTCTCAAATTATGATGTATTTCCTTTCAGTCTGTTGTATATATGTGTGCATGCATGTATATAGGTGTATGTGTCTGTATATTATAAAATTGGCTTATAGTGTGAGTCTATATTTATAGTCTTCATATTTTTCAGGCTAGTAAATAGAAGTAAATCACTCAAACTATGGCTTATTGAATAAAACCCAAACTTTGGGTAATGAAGTTGTTTTCAATTGTAGCAAAAAATGTAATTACACACATGATTATCTGTATCTGATTGAATACTTAGGCTGACATGGTAAGAGAAATTGCTGGTTCAAAGATTAGAGATTATCCTTTAAAAATATCCAGTGGTGATAGTAAAATGTTAACAGTTTTTACACATAATACAAGAAGGTTAATAGCCAAGAGTAAGGTTGGTGTTATGGCCCTGCTTTGCCATGTCTTATTAGACCATTCTGAAAAACGATAACTTGTTAACACACTTTTTACTCACAGAGTGAATGCTTATTTTATTACTGTCTCACACTGAGTGCACATTCAAAATAGACAAATCTCTACATGCTGTGTCTGCTCCGTGTATGTGAGTTAAACCAAGTGCCCAAAGTTGCTATTCCTTCTCTTTCAACAATGCAACTCCAATCCTCCTATTTGAACTTCCTGTCATTCTAATCACCTCTCTCCACACCTCCAGTCTGCCTCAGCTTTGGCTATGTGATGGTGTGTGAAGTGATTCCACTTCAAAATCTGAGCCTACCCCTAGGCACTGTATGACATCAAAGCCTCCCATGGGACTTCGGAGACAGTTTGGGTGAGGAAAAGACATGCCATTCATGCCATCTCTGGGTCATTTATTACCTTCGGATTGGGAGTCCCTCACATAATAAATCAGTGTGGGGTGATTATTTTAAGAAATAATCTAGTTCTGAGTACCTGTTCTTCCATCTTGGGCAATACATGGTGATGCTAAGAGCTCATGGTGGTTGTAGTATTTGCAATAACAGCAGCACCAGTAGGTCATGCTCAAATAGTCAGACTGGATTGGCTTTAAAGGATAGTTTGTAGCTTAGCACCTTTTTGAGAGAACATATGGAGACAGTGCATGACTGGGCCACATGTCAAACAAAATGGAAATGAACTCTATCTCTCTATAGAGGATTTAGTTGCTTTCCCCTGTAATTTCTAAGTAAATGAAAACTTTGAAGACTTGCTTCTGTGAGGATTTGGCTCTTCATGGGATAAGCAAATGAGTTCTGTACAGTGGAAATGTATGTGCTAAATATCTATCCAGTGACTTCTAAACTCCTGTCACAGGTGACTTCATTGGAGACAAGGAAGGGCTCCTCTTAGAATTCTGATTTTGTTTTTAAAAAAATTAACACTGATGTAAAAGCTGACCTTCTCTTTTTCTCTCTTTTCAGCCAGCATATGTCCCAAAGAAGCTAATACCAATAACAATCATCAAGCAAGGTAAATAGTCTGCTTTATTCAGGAACTATTGTAGTCATCTGTTCAACTAATATAGTTGAACATACAATGTGTGTGTTCTCATTTTTTCTGACAATGGTGTTTGGAAAACATTGGAAGAAACCAGTGTAAGTTAGTAAACTTGTGTTTAATACATAATTTTGGCTCTGATACCAATGTGAAAAACCTCAGACAAATCTTACATTTGGGCAACAAAGCACTTGTACCATGTGTCACATTAAAAATAATCAGCTAAACATGTGGGGCTTTACTTTGGAGCTTTACTTAGGATTAAGTTAGCATACACAAGGGAAACAATTAGTAGGCCATTTAGGATGTTGAAAATTGTGATTTAGCAGTCACTTATGGGAAGCAAAGATGCCTATGTTTGAAGAATTACAGTGCTGAATTTAATTTCATTGTACTGTTGTTTTTGTTTTGGCTTCCAGTTTTCTTTTTTTTTTAATTTTAAATAGCTTGCTTTACATGTCAATCCCAGTTCCCTCTCCCTCCCTTCTTTCCCCCATCCCCCCCCAGCCTCCCACCCTATCGCCACTTCTTTCCACATAGGGGATATCTAGAGTCTGTCATTTCACTCAGGGCAGGGTCCAGGCACTTCCCTAAGAGTCCAGGCTGAGAAAGCATCCCTCCCCAGTTTTCAAATTATTAAAATGACTCCATCATTTCCAGAAAAACTTCTTTGTAGAAGAGCTAAAGTCTTAACATAGCTCTTCATTTTAAGAAAACAGTATGTAAATATATACTAAAGACAAGGCCAGTCAGGCTGGAGTCACTGAAAGATACTTTGATTTGAAGATAAATGTTTTCAAACATTTTTTTAGACAGAGTTTCTCTGTGTAGCCCTAGTTGTCCTGGAACTTACTCTGTGGGCCAGGCTGGTCTGGAACTCTGCCTTCTGAGTGCTAGGATTTAAGGCATGTGCCACCACCACCTGACTTATGTTGTGTAATTTTATATTTTCTTGTTATTGCAATATTGTGTGCTAGTTCTTAATTGCTTTGTAGAAAGGGCAAGATGCACACAGAGGAGAGACTGGGAATTTCCACTACTTAAAAAGGGATACTACAGTCCCATGGCCAGAGAGTCTAGGAAACAGAAACTTCATTCAGTGGCTGATGGAAGAAGAGGCACACTCCCATGGCTAAGCACTGAGCTGAACTCAAGAAAGCCAGTAACAGAGAGGGAGGACTGATGACCAAAGGAATTAAGACCTGACAAAGGTTAACTTTTGAATCCCAGGCATTAGCCTGGGAATCCAGCAAGGGACTGATCAAGACCCCCTAAATGTGGGTGTCAGTGAGGAGGCCTAGGTAATCTATTAAGCCTTGGGCAGTAGATCAGTACTCATCCCAAGTATACATACCGACTTTGGACTCCCATCCAACAATGTGAAATGCACTCTCACCCTGAACTCTTGGGGGAGGGTCTAGGCCCTGCCCTGGATGAAATGACAGACTTTGGACACCCCCATGGAGGGCCTCATCCTCCCTGGGGAAATGAGGGGATAATGGGGGGGGACTGGGGGGAGGGCACGGGAGGAGGGGAGGGAATGGGAGAGGGACCTGGAACTGACTTGTGAGGCAACCTTGTTTCTAATCTAAATTTAAACTTAAAAGTAAATAATAAAAAAGGGATACTTTATGGTAGGGTGAGAAGGACAATCTTTGTTGGCCCCACAGCATGGATGGGTAAGACATATCAAATTCTTCTGTTGACTCTGTAGCCAGTCCACTGAATTGCTTCTGTTAACTGATCAATTTAGATTAAGACTGTAAAAGGGAAGGTAGCTTTACACCATTAGCTTCTTAAAACTTCCTATGTTCATCCCCATCATACTATTGTTTTTTTTATATCTCACCAGTGATTCAGAATGTTACTCACAGGGCTTCAACTAAAACCCCAGACAAGACTCCTTTTGGAGGAACAATACTAGGTAAGTCGGTGGTGAAATGTATATCTAGAATAGGCAGTCTTGGCTACCTTTTGGTAAGAGGGTTGTTATGGGAATGTGTACTAAAGCAAGTGTGCTAAATTAGTGTTAGCCCATTTAATTTCCCTGTTTAATTTCTTGGCTTATGCCCAATCCAAGATACCTACCAAGACATCCTGCCTTTATCTTCACTATAGCCCATGCAGAAACTTTAAGCCCGTGAATGTAAACTCAGAGGATTTCTGGTGATAAGTTCTAGAAGTGGAAACTACCCATTTAAAAAAGTGCAGTCATGTTTTCCTCACATTTTCAATGTGGAGTTAAAGTTGACAAAGGAAGGGAAGAGCTGACCTTTGAGTTCTACACTATAATTCTCCATTCTTTGTTTTTGTCTGATACATTTCTTCCTCTTCTTACATTTTTTATGTCTATTTTCTTGCAGTTCATCTTATTATTCCGGGTCTTAATGATTCCATGGTAAAACTTCCCACATCCATAATGCTTGAGATTTCGGATGCTCTCAAGACACAATTAGGTAAGTAGGGGCTTTTCCATGAACAGTATTGAGACTATGGAATATCGCAGACGAGACATTTGAGGACAAAATAATATGGACATGTAGGTTGGAGGGTCAGATGTATTACTATCAGTCATTGTGAATGGAAAGTTATTTTATACATATGCACATATGAAAGAAAAATAGATGTCAGTATCTGAAATGCAGTCACTTTAACAGGTATAATTTCCAAGTTGAGAACTTAAATTATACTCATTGAACTTTGTTATAAGGGGCCATTAGGTTTTTTGTTGCAGTTGTTGTTTCAAGGCAGGCTTTCTCTGTAGCTTTGGAGCCTGTCCTGGAACTCAGTCTCCAGACCAAGCTGACCTCAAACTTACAGAAAGCAGCCTGCCTCTGACTTGTGAGTGCTGGTATTAAAGGCATGCACCACCACCACCTGGCTCCATTAGGTATTTTCAGTGAGAGCTCTTATAATAAGTTCATGCTTGAGGCTGGTATTGGCTGCCTTCTTCTAGAAAGAAATGGATGAAGTTTGTGTAACTAAGAAAAGACCCACAAAATCCTCTTTAAAGGATATCTGGCAACAGATCTGAAACTTAGATGATGGCCATTCTGACTAAAATGAGATAGAATCTTACAGCTTTAGTGTGCATCCCTGATGACTAATAATGTTGAGTATTTTTCCATTTCCATGTATATGTATGATATATGCATGTGTTTATGTATACATGTTTTCAGGTGTAGGTGCATGTGCATATATATGTATATATATATACATGTGTGTGTGTGTGTGTGTGTGTGTGTGTGTGTGTGTGTGTGTGTGTGTACATGTGGAGGCCTGAGGTTAATGTGGAAATCATCCTGGATTACTCTTCCAGTGGGTTCACTAAGACAGTGTTTCTTAATAAAAAACAAACTTATTTGTTATGGTTAGTCTTGTGTGTCAACCTGTTCTGGGCATCCTGTGTTTCTGCCTTCTGAGGCTAGAATAATAAATGAGCCATCATGAATGCCCACACGGAATTTAGTGGGTTTCAGGGATCTGAAGTCTCTAGTCTTATGTGACAAGTGTTTTAACCACTGAGCCATCTCCTTAGTTGTTTTTGAACACTTTTTAAACTGATTAGGAAACAGTTTACAAATAAGCCTCTATATTTCTCCTTTTGAGAACTCTGGGTAGACCATTTTTACCTGGATTTTTAAAATATTTAGTTGGGTTTTTTTAGTTCCTTATGTATTCTAGGTACTAATTCTCTATCAGATGTATAACTCAAAAATATTTTGTCATATTCTATGGGCTGTCTCTTCATAGGTTTATGGTTTTGTTTGCTGTATAAAAAAAAGTATCTGGGTTTTCTGAGACCCCATTTGTTGGTTTTACTTACTGTGGAGTCCTATTGAAACATCCTTATCTGTGCCTAACTGTTGAATTGTATTCCCTTCTTTATCTGCTAGTGGTTTTAAAATATCAGGTCTTATGAGTTTTACTTCAATACAGACATGCAAAGTGTAATGATGAGTTCAGGATAATTGGCATATTTATCACTTCAGACATATGCAATGTCTTTGCATTGGGATATTAGAGCTTTTCTCTACCAGCTATTTTGAAATGTCACATTAATTGCTGTTAGTCAGAATCATACTATCATGCTATAGAGTGTTGCCAAGTTATGGGAGTTCCTTATATATTTTAGACATTAAGTCTATATGTGAAACATGGTTTCCAGATGTTTTCTTCCAATCTGTAGGCTGCTTTTCATTTGATTAATTAATTTGCTGTGCAGAAACCTTTCTTTTTACACAAAAACTGTGTGGGCATAAACACATTTTCTATTACCAAGGGAGAAATAAACTTCCCAAATTTAATTATCACTGCAATTCAGAAAAGCTGTTTTTTTTTAAATTTTATTTTCCAGTTTAAATTTAGATAAGAATCAAGGTTGCTTCACAAGTCAGTTCCAGGTCCCTCTCCCATTCCCTCCCTTCCTCCCGTGCCCTCCCCTCCCCCCGTTATCCTCTCATTTCTCCAGGGAGGGTGAGGCCCTCCATGGGGGTGTCCATAGTGTGTCATTTCATATAGGGCAGGGCCTAGACCCTTTCCCAAGAGTTCTGGGTGAGAGTGCACCTCACATTGTTCTATTGGAGTCCAAAGTCCGTGTGTATACTTGGGATGGGTACTGATCTGCTGCCCAAGGCTCAATAGATTCCCTAGGCCTCTTCACTGACACCCAGATTCAGGGGGTCTTGATCAGTCCCATGCTGGCTTCCCAGGCTAATGCCTGGGATTCAAGAGTTAACCTTTGTCTGGTCAGCTGTTTCTAGGGGTTAAACCAGCCCAGTCTTAATCCCTTTGATTATCAGTCCTCCCTATCTGTTACTGGCTTTCTTGAGTTCAGCTCAGTACTTAACCAAGGGAGTCTGCCTCTTCTTCGATCAGCCACTAAATAAAGTTTCTGTTTCCCAGACTCTCTGGCCATAGGATTGTAGGCTGGCACTCCCCAGATCTATGTCTAAAATCCATATATGAGAGAGTACATGCCATGTTTCTCTTTTTGTGACTGGGTTACCTCACTCAGGATGGTTTCTTCTAGTGTCATCCATTTGCCTGCGAATCTCATGATTCCATTATTTTTTTCTGCTGAATAGTACTCCATTGTGTAGATGTACCACATTTTCTCTATCCACTCTTCAGGTGAGGGACATCTAGGTTGCTTCCACGTTCTGGCAATTACAAATAAAGCTGCTATGAACATAGTGGAACAGACCTCTTTGTTGTATGAATGGGCATCTTTTGGATATATGCCTAAGAGTGGAGTTGCTGGGTCTTGTGGTAGGACAAGAAAGCCAGTATTGGCCCCACAGGCACAGAACTCATGGCAAGCTTGTGAACCTTCACTTGCTAACAACCAGGATGGTTCTAATTTAAAGCTGTGGCTATGAATGATGTCCAGAAAGAAAACCATGGTAAATATTTAAAATAGTTTCATAAAATACTGGGAGTGTATGGTTGGTCATCACAGAAAGAGTTCTTACTCTGTATGTCCTTGTGGCTATAGATCAGAACAATGTTTTTTACTATCTCTGTCATATGAGCATGCTGTGCAACCAGAGGCACTGACTTGACAGTGGTGGCCAGCACACTGAACTTTGTATACAGAAATGTATACCACTAAAGTTGATATCTGCCTGCTTTCTAATTGTAAGAAGTAAATATATTTTGTGTCCACACTAAATGAAATGAAAGAAAGAGCCTCTACAAGAGTAATACCAGCTATGGCTGGTTACAAAATTTATATTCTCAAAATATAAATATTCTCAAAACTGACTAGATCAGTTTTCAGCTGGGGATGAGTGTGTCCCAGAGAATTTCAGGAAATGACTGAAGATATTTCCAGTTTAAAACTGAGAGAATGTCTTTCTCAGAGGTTGGGCAATTCTGATTTAGAATTGTCCTTTATGAAAAACACCAAAGTTTTAGAAGTAAGGTTTCCCAAAAGTTGCATAAAGGGAAAAAATTAAATTTAGCACCAAATTCCCAGAGGCCAGAAGAGAAGATATGTGCTGACATGTGTCTCTAATAAAATCTTTTGGTTGTCAGTTTGTTTTGTCACAAACTTAACCAAATATCTTACTTTCCTATGTCTCTTATTTGTGGATTTCAAAATTTTCAGTGTCATAACCTGTTAGATTTTTTTTACCATCTGTAATAATGGAAAATTCTCAGCAACTTTTTAAAAATTAGCTATACTTGAATAAGAATCAGGGAATATTTTCAGGTCTGACTATGCCTTAAATAAACTACAAATTGAATGAGGAGCTTTATTCAAGTATTTTATAATGATTTTGTCATTCCAGTACTGGGTAAGGTCTTAAAGAAGTTCTAGGATTAATTGGGAAGAATTTTGACGTCTCTTTTCTATTCATACTAGCCCTTGGGAGGAATGTACAGTTAAGTTGCCGGGCTGACAGGAAGAAATGTGTGTAGATAGTTTTGTTGCTGTTGAGGGACTGGAGAGTTGCCTCAATGGTTAAGAGCACTTGCTGCTACTTACAGAAGACTGTGGCTTGATTCCCAGAGCCTAGCTCACAAGCTCCTGTAACCCCAGTCCCTTTTCAGAGCATGGTGGGCACTAGATACATACATGGTACACATACCCACAGGCAGGCTCTTACACATAAAATAACAAAATAAACTGTTAAAAAATTATAGTTGATTATGCTTGAAATAAGTAACTTTGGGCACTGTACTACAAAGAAATGAAGTATTGTTTTTGTTTTTTCAGCCAAGAATGAAACATTGGCATTACCAGCAGAATCTAAAACGCCAGAGGTTGAAAAAGTTGCAACCCAGCCAGTAACAGGTAATGAGATCCCCAGGATGCTTTGAGAAAGACCGTAGCATCGTAGCATTGTTTCAGATAGTGAATGAGCTACAAACCCTGTTTTTCTTTAAAGCAAAGAACATGAAAGAAATTTATCTTGATCATAAGCATAAAACAATGGGAGGTTCTAGGGCTTTAAGATTGGGAAAAGAACAGAAGAAAACTGAATAACTGGATGATGGACATGATAAGTAGCATGGACGGAAAGTCTGTTTTTGACTACGATTGAATGTGTCATCAAGTCTTAGGCAGTTTGCACTAAGGATAATGCCATGGTTAATGGATTTTCCTTTTGTGTGAACACTTTGGACCACTTTTCATTGCCCAGTTACCTTCACAAGTGATTGGCATAGCAAAATGTCTTATATCCCTCCATAAATCTATAGCTTGATGGTGATGAAAATGCTTTGAGTCTAGAAACAAATTTCCCTGTAGATTAGTACCCCTAATATAGATAATATGTAGCAGTTTGGTTCAAAAATATCCCTAAAGAAACATTCAGTAAGTAGTATCTCCATAGTTTATTGTTGTTACTACAAAACATTCGACATGTGTTCTCCAAATAAATCTACCCAGCTGGACTCTCTGGTGAAACATTAGTCTTGGAAGTACTGAGTTTACCAGTCTAGTGCCACCTTCTCCAGGATTTGATGACACAGACAACTGGCAAGCATCCTCTGCAGCTCACCCTTAGTTAAAGAACACCATCAAAACTGAACTTTTTAATTCATAAAATCTCTATAACTTGAGGTTTTTGTGGTATTCTGTTTGTACTAACTTTTGGGACTTGTGTTTGGTCAAGAGAGGACAGGGCTGGTGCAGTAACAGAACTAGAATATATCGAGTATTATCTTGCCTTAAGAAATGCCCTTTATAAGACAGACTGAACTAGAATATACTGAGTGAGTATTAGCTTGCCTTAAGAAATGTCCTCTGTAAGACAGGTAGAAATCATTTGAGCTACTAGCAGCAACCAGTAGAGTGATATTCCAAGGTGGGCTTTTGTTTTGTTTTGGTTTTTTGTTTTGTAACTTCAATGTGATCGGTTAACACAGAGAAAAGTGCAGCATGACCAGTGGGTAAATGAGTCCATTTCTGTATCAAACGTTCTGCCCAGTTTTCCAAGTTGCACTTTCTTCTCTTGGAACAATGTCTGATGAGAGTCTACAGATTTCCCAGCGTTCTGCCAAGCTCTCCTTAGAATTTTCCACTTCAGAAATACTTGGGCAATCCCCACCATGTATTATTCAGAATTGTTCGTATGTGTCCTTGCTGCAAAATTCTGGGGTTTTGTAGAATTTTTAAATCTCAGTAATACTTCACCAAATCTTCTACCCAAAGTCTTCATTGCCTTTAATGGAGCAGCTGAGACAACCCATCCTGGGTCTGCACATATTTGAATACCAATCACAATTTCAGCCTGGATCCAAGCTCTGCTGTTTAGTTGTGGTGTTTAGAGGAAATCTAGTAATGTGATAGTCATTTAACCCTGTCCCATTTTTTTCTGATTGCCCAGGAACTCACTAACTCATTGTAAGCCTGCTTACTATAGACACCACACTAAGCTGTGGAGATAATGAAAAAGGAAGACAAACCTTCAGATTGCTGTGAAATATAATTTCATATAGAAGAGTTGGGTATGCTCCTGTAACCCCAAGTGGAAAGGTTGGATCAGGGAGGAGAGGCAAGCAGATACATAGGGGAAGTAGGCAGCCTCACCCTAGGAACTTGAAAAGATATGGGCTGCCAACAGAAGGTGTGTCACACCTGGGCTGCTTCCTTATTTTATTATCTCTCATCTCATAAAAGTTGTCTTTATGTTTTACTTCTCAGTGACTCCGGAAACAGTTTCAAGAAGCGTTAAACCCACAATGTCTAGCATGTTAGACACTGCAGAGACTACACTGGGTAATACTGAAACTGTTTTTCCCCTTAAAATAACAGAACTGCAATAATGACAAACTCCCAGCATTCACAGGTTAAAACCCCACTTTATCCTGCCATGCCCCTTTCCCCTCCTCCTTTGTTTTCTTCTTTTTTGGGAAATTAACCTTCCCGTTTTTGGGACAAGTTCTACTGAAGAGTTCGTGCCATGCCTTGATCCTGGTGACCAACCAGATAGGCAGGATGGATGACATTCTAACAGCATGCCCCCTTTTTGCTTGTGGGTTGGGCTCATGTATTTCAGCCCCTAGAGCTTCTGGAAATCTTGACTCTCTCTGGGATTTCTGTCCAGATCAGCTATGCGAAGTTCTGTGCCAACAAAATTTGGGGAGAACCACCAAGAGACTTGCTATTTAATGAGAATTTCAGTTGCTCATGTTAACTGTTGTTTCTAACTGCTGTTTCACCCAAAAGAATCTGCCGTACTTTTGTTGTTTGTTCTCTTCCCTTGAAAAAACAAAACAGCATGTGTTTTGCTGTGCATGTGTGATGATGACCTAAAAGACACCTTCCATTTTAACAGCTATGTGACTTTTCCTGGGATAGCCAGCTCCCTCCCAGGCTGGCTGCTGGAAAAGGCATGGATTACTCATTGCACGAAAGTCTGTTATGAAGCATTCTGTGCCTAGCAATGGTTATGCCAAACCATCATGTTGCTAACTGTGTTCTTCTTTATTGTAGTCCTCAGTGAGAAGACCCCAGAAACAGCACATTCTGTTCTAATACCTGAGTCTGAATTGCCTTTAAGCACTCTAGGTAAAAGTCATCAAACACTGAAGCATCGATGAATGCTACTTTGGGAATATTAAGCATGGCTAATAAAAATCCTTTGAGGCAACTTAATTCAAATCCATCTCCTTACAAGAAAAGAATTAAAAAATAATACATAACAGTGAACTCAACACCTTAACTCTTAAATGTGATTTTTTAACAGTCTTCATAATCTTGGACCCTAAAGAGGTCTTCCCTGTGACAAAGCTGCCAGTAGTTTTATTTGGTGGTGGTCATGGGTTTTTGTTGTAGTTGTTGTTATATTTTATTGTTTTCATTCAGAATCATGTGTGACTGAACACATTAATATATTCTGTTATTTCTTTTTGCTTTGTTCACTTAAAGCTTTATCTCAATAGATAGGATATATTAGATATTTCTATAAATTCCTTAGGATTGTTAGAATTTCTTTATGAATGATGTTTTAAAAATATATGCATAGAGTTTGTATAGTTGCCTTATAAGTTTTGAAGTTCTTGTGTAGACATTTTATAATTCAGTGTACTTGGTGCTTTGTTTGAATTAAAATGAAATATACCTAAAAACCACATAAAGGAATATATTTGTAAAACTCAAGAAACTTATAAATATAGATGGAAAAGCCTAATTTAGTGGCTTGATTATAAAATGCCAAAATGGGAATTATACACAGGGCATGGTGGCCCATGCTTTAATAACTGTACATAAAAACCACAGACAGGGAGTATTGTGAACTCCAAGACAACCCAGGCTACATGATGTCTCAAAAAAGCAATTACCTTTCATTGAAACAGAGCTAAAAAAAAGTGCCACTGAATATTTGCTTGACATGCAATGATTTTTATCTTGTATTTGTTTCAGCAACTTTGAAAAATTTAAAACCTTTTTGATCCTGTTACATGTACTTGTCCTAACTATTCTATGTGTTTTACTCCAGCTCCCAAAAGATTCCCAGAGTTTCCCAAGACAAAAACAACAGCCTTCCCTTTGGAGAAAACTGGGGATACCTTGGGTAAATAAAAGTACTTTGTATTTGGTGTAAAGAATATACATGGTGGGCTGAGTTTGTAACCCAGTGACAGAATACATGCCTGGCATGTATGAGGGCATGGAATTGATTACAAACATCACATAAAGTGGGTACTGACTGTGCACTTCTGTAGAACACATGCACAGAGCCCCTTCTCTGTGACGCTGGATGCACTAATGCACTTGGTTAACTTGGGAAAATACATAGTTGGTTGGTTGAAAAGGAAAATAAAATATTATTTAGATTTCCTACAGCTTCATTAAAATCCATTCCCATTAATTCTATATAACCTAGCTAGTTGTTTGCTGAATGGATGGGTGCAGATTGGCATCTGATTAAGTGATGACTCTTGAATTGGTCCATATGAACTTTTCTGTAGGGTTTCTAGCCACTTCCATCTCTGCCATAAAACATCCAGCAGCTTCTCTTTCTCTACTGTAGTTTCACGTGAAGAGCAGTGGGTGTCACCTGGAGCTAAAGCATCTGAAGATTCCAAATTTGTACAGCCTCAAACTGGTAACTGCATTCCGTTAAAAAAGTATTTAACATCTCTCTGCTTTTACTTCTGCAGGTTCTATTACTAGTCATCAGTGTTCTTGATGGCAACTAGTGATATGTTTTTCTTGTTTCTGCTAATGTGCAAGAATGCATCTTTCTAAGCATCAGTTTAAATATTTCATGGGACCATCCCAGTTTATGTTAAATTTAAAATTAAAAACATAGGCTATTTGTGATCTCAAGAGTTTATACATTCAGGAACTGACCTATTTGTATTCTTCAGTAGTTGAAATGTTCATACTTTCATTTACTTGAACCTTTCTTATTTTTAAATTTGGGGTATATTTGTGCATGTACTAAGCTGTGTCTTGTTTAGTTTTAATATATAGCACTATTTCCCAACTACCTTGTTTAATTATTATAGACTGTGAGGAACTGAGGATCTCTTAGAAGATGCCAGAAAAGGACCAGTTTTTGTCTTGTGTTAAATGAGCATCACAGGGGTCCAGGGAAGTGAAACTTTGCTTGTCTTGGTTGAATACATTCAGAAAGTGAGTCCATCCGTGAATGAGTGTTTTCACAGCTTTTAATTAGACAGCAAGATGTGCAGAATGGAGAGGAAGCTGTGATTGTAAGGAAGTACAAGCTGTCAGTTAGACTGTGGGTAGGGTGAAGTTGGTTGTGTTTTGCCTATGTTCTGTGTGAACACAGAATAATTTTTATTTTCTTGATCTATTTTCATGACAGAACAGCCTCATTTAATATCAATGTTCTTTGAGATTGTTGACATTCAGTAGGGGAAAGCCACATGCCAATACCTGGATGGCTGAGGCTGCTTTATTAGTCATTAATTATGATATATTGCTTCTTTTTGTAAGATTTATTTTGCTTTGGAATTTACTGGAAATTTTACCACCTTTACACACTGTGTTGAAACTGCAGAATGAGTGTTTTCATAAAGACTTCTATACCAGTTTTTGAGATATAAAAGACAATTGAGAATTCTAGCTTGCATGGTTATGGAAACTCAAGTTATTCCAATAGTTTTTGGCAATGAAGTAACAGGATATTTGAGGTTTGGAACACTGCAAGAAATATGAGATACATAGTCATTTAATAAACTCTTCCCCATTCTTAGTCTGTTTGCCCTAATCTTTCACTAGTGCTGTATGTTGTGATTTTATTATCTGGAATTGCATTTTATATAGCCTCCTGTAAAGTATGGTAACTAGGGTTGATTGAGCTTGATTTCCTTGGCAAATTTAATTTTCCATAAAGTATATAAAGGAAATCATAAAAATGTGCTCTATAATCGCATACCAGGATGTAAAATTACTTATAAATTCTGTGTATAAAGGACACTAGCCAGATCTTAGAAATACTTAAGTGCTTGTGACAGTTACTCAGGGTGAAATCTGTCTTTCTGGTGATGTAAGAGTTAGTCTTGTGTTCAATTGAATGTTGGCCAGTCCACTATTATCCCAGTGTTATCACAGTAGGGGTTCTAGCGAAGCTCCCAGTACCTTCTACCACCTGATTGACTGGGCATTTGTGTTCATGAGACCACATGCCATTGGAGCCTTTCTCCTTTAGTATTACATAATTTCTACATCAACTTCCTCTACAAAACTCAATGCCCCATGAGCCCAAAGTCATGTGCACATTTCTGAAGGCCTTTGGCACAGTTAGTCCCTTTAATAGGAAGGAGATTCATGAAGGACTTACATCTGGGGTGGGTAGACAAGCAAATAGTTACACTCATTAATATCTTAAACAATCAATCCAGTGGAACACTCCAATTAAAAAGTGAAGCAATGGCCATGCAGCATGCTTTAGAATTTGGGGAACAGGGTTTCAGAACAGAGAATCACATGTTCTTCTCTGTTCAGTGAGTGTGGTGACCTGAATTACTCTGTAAGTGTGCCTCAAGGACTTGCATAGACTCTATGCATAAAACTTCTGTGTTTTCCATGGGCAACAGAGCTGGAAATGTAGCATAAACCCCACAAACAGGCATGTGATGATATCTAACACCCTAAAATATATATGAACTTTGCATTTCTCACTTGACAGTGCCATCAGTGTTAAGCCTCCTTAATTTATTTTAACATTTCATAGAAAGACGATTATTTATAACCATGAAAGTTCAGAATCAAAGGGAGAAAGTGGTCACAAACCCAGAATGACTCAATGCATTTGAGTTCAGCATTAGAGAACCCTTCAGCCTTTCCTTGCCCAAGATGTTCAAACAACTGAAACCACCGCCTACCACAATATATTGAGACTTATTACAAAGACCTCATTGTCTTTTAGAGACTTGCCTTGATCGTGTCAGGATGTAGTGCAGTCAGTCTTGATTTCCTTGTACTCCACTTGGAACTTTAAGAGGTCAGCCCTCACCATTTTCAATGTTGAATTCTTTCAGTATTTTGTAGATTATAGCAACTTGTGTCACATAGTTGTGCAGGCTGAACTTTGTAGCTCATAGAGCTTAAGGAGGGGTATATGAGTTGGAATGTTTACACCATGGTTGATTAGCTTAGAGATCTTTGTTGAAAACAGATAAACCTTGTATTTGGACCTATCTGCCTGTTCTGTGAGGTATTGATTAAACCCAGTTCTGGCTCACTCAACCCCATTAAATCCTAGAGAGGATGAAAACTATGAACATGTAGTAGTGTTGATACTTCAAAGGCAAGAAAATAGAGTCAAGCATAGCAGATGATTTTTCATTTTCACTGTGGCCTCTTAGAGGTCTATGGGCTCTAACTTTCATTTTATTTCACAAATTCAAGATCAACCAGAGTGGTGTTTTCATTTCCCATTAACTGAAGGAAGTATTATCTGTATTCATATAGTACAGAGGCTCTGTAGCACTTTTCTAGCTGTGCGCTGTGTCCCTTCGGGGCTTCTGGGTGTCACTGTTAGAATTATGTTTCTATGGCCGTATAAACCAGTAACAAAACTGGATAGTAGATATTTAGGTACACATATTCTATATTATTAAATGACAAAAATGCATGTTTCTCCTCCTACTCCCACATCTAAATTAGAAAGTCATTAGTCTTTCTAAGATGTTAAAGTATCCATCTTCCGAATTAATCTGTTGAAGTGGGCATTTTTAGGTTAATTCTACTGTGGGTCTATCATGTACTAGGATCTAAAGTATATAAACCTTGCAGGACAAAATAACTGTGACAAAACCTTTCTTAATAAAATCTTTTGAAAGGGAAAATCTTTCATATGGCTACTGATAGGAAATCTCAGCTAATTTAAATTGTTTTATGTACAATCACATAACTCAACTAGGGCATTTTTAGGTTGGTATTTACATATAATTAGTTTTTCAAAGTAAAGACATATCAAATAAAACATAATTAACAAATGGTCTTACAAGTATATATATTTTTTCTGGAAAATCTGTAAGTAAAATTTGTGTAATCATAACTATTTCTTTTGTAGCTTTGAATTCTTCTACCCATTTTACCTGTCAAATTAGTTATTTCCTTTGACTTTGGTTTCACATAGGCTCTATGAATTATAGGTCAAAGCTATTGCCCAGTTTCAAAAAGTGTTAGTATTTTTATCCAACTAAGATGGTGATTAGCAGCAAGGCATGGTGGCATGCAGACTGTCTGAAAAACGGTAGCATTTACAGCCAACTCTCGGGGCTGTTTATCAATTTCATATCTAGAATAGTTTTTTAGAAGCAGGCTAAACAATTTAGTGAAATCTACTCAGGTTTACATACAATGTTTTGTAAAGAACATTTAGATGCCAATATTTTTATAAGGAAATCAAGAACTCATGGTGACTTTAAGAGTTTTTCAGAGAACCCCATGCTTCCCTCTTCTCTGACATCTGTCACTTGAGAGTCAAAAGATTGACTTCTGCAGCAAGTTGAGGTGGTCACTTACTGGAACTGTACAAACAGCATAAAACTTGTAGTCAGTGATTTTTTTAGTTTCTTTTTCTTTGCTACACAACTTTCAAAAAGTAAGAAAGTAGAAATATGGAAACCAACTATGCTGACAAATGTGTTATTTGAATCCCAAGTAAGTTCAAGAAAAATATTTGAAAGAGATTTGTAACAATTGGGAATTTAGAGACTTGGAGGATGGAGGATAAGCATTCTATTCCTTATGAATGCCTGTAGTAATAACTTAGGAATGGTATCAACCTGGCTTTGAACCTCAGAGTGTAAATATAAGAAGTAGGTTTAATTAATAAATACCACTTGGAACAAAAAGAAAGATTGAAGAAAAAATGATGACACGTCACTAGGAGATTTGAGAGTTAACATAAATGCAGCCTTGGTATTTTTCAGAGGCATGAATATAAAGTCAAGATGCTTATTCATAATTTCATGAGAAGAGAGGAATATGTAAAAGTCAATGACCTCTCCTATCTTAGAGGTGGGCAGAGCTGTTATTGCTAGATCCATGATGTGCCTTAAAGCAGGCCAAGGGTTGGATACTGGCAGCACTTTTCTTTGAAAGATGAGTCACTTCCTCCTGACCCTTTAAAATCACAGCTAGGCTAACTTTACATTAAAATTCTATGTCCTCATATAAGAAGCTTCTCATTACGTGTGCCTATTTATGCACAGGGTATCCTACTTTTTGAGGACTTTGTAGATTTACTTTCACAAGCAACACACATCTCCTGTCTCTTGTGGGAAAACATGGGCTGTTCTCTTTGAGACTGTGTGTCATTGTCTAACACTATATTACAGCTTCTAGTAGCATGGATTCTTTGTCATTAAATGCCCAAAATAAGCAGTGTCTGCCCCTAGTTTCTGCTTTCTCTGCCTCTTATTCCTACAGTAACAGTTCTTTGTGCACAAAGAGTAGATTCTTTATTACTATGCTTACTTTCAGGCTCATCTTTTATGCGAACATGAAATGTATCCCTACATTAAAAGCTATGTCTCAATTCATTCCACTGTTTGCCTTTTATACTAAATATAAAAATCTACCTTCAAATCTACATACCTACCTTGTAGAAGGAGTCATGGCTATATGGAAGAACATAGAAAATTGCCACTAAGTAAAACCAAGAGGGGTGGTGCCAAGAATGTTCTGGTCTTAGTCCTGCTAACCTTAGCCATGATATAAGGCTAAAACACTAAGTTCACAGTTCCTCCATGTGAGCACTGGCAATTATTTTTACTGCTGTAACCTCAACTTTATTATCTAGAAAACCCACAAAGTGCTGGCAATGCCTCTCTCACCTCTATCTCAGGGATGGTAACAAAGTTAAAGAAGTGAATTCATGAGACATGTGAACTCTTAAGTATGTTTGCTCCTTAGGTCCTATGCAAGGAACTTCTACTACACAGAAAGAGTAAGCAATGAACTCTACAATTAGCTTCAATGTGCCTTCTCTTTCCTCCTTTACAAGCTTCTACCCTAGTCTAAGAGATTTGCATTTATGCTTGTTGAAGCTCTTTGATTTAGAGCTGGCATCATTTCACTATAAATAAATAGCACAACTTTTTTTTTTTGGCTTTTCGAGACAGGGTTTCTCTGTGGCTTTGGAGGCTGTCCTGGAACTCGCTTGGTAGTCCAGGCTGGTCTCGAACTCACAGAGATCCACCTGCCTCTGCCTCCCGAGTGCTGGGATTAAAGGTGTGCGCCACCAACGCCTGGCTAAATGGCACAACTTTAACAGCACTCGGGAGACCAGGGCCATAGCATGATGTGTCTTCATTAGGGTTTCTATTGCTGCAACCAAACACCGTGATCCAAAAGCAAGTTGGGAAGAAAAGACTTTATTTGGCTTAGACTTCCAGATCATAGTCCATCATTGGAAGAAGTCAGAACAGGAACTCAAGCCAGGGAGGAACCTGGAGGCAGGAGCTGATACAGAGGCCATGGAGCGTGCTGCTTGCTGGTTTGCTTCTCAGCCTGCTTTCTTATAGGACCTAGGACCTCCAGCTCAGGGATGGCACCACTCACAGTGCCCTGGGCCCTCCTCTGTCAATCACTAATTGAGAAAATTCCTTTCAGATGGATCTCATGGAGGCACCTCCTCAACTGAGGCTCCTTCCTCTCTGATGCCTCTAACTTGTGCCAAGTTGACACACAAAACTAGCCAGTATAGTATGTAAAGTCCTGCAGCAATAGTTGTGGGAGGCTACTGTGTAAACAGCAGTGTATCCCCAGTCTCTCTGTTCTAGATGTAGATGCACCTCCCCCAGCAGTTATGACCAGTTGTTTATCAACTCAGTAGAAAGGAGGACAACAGCTCCAACTGCAGCTAAGACAGTAGTGGTGACTGTCAACTCAGTAGAGAGCTGCTCCAAACTCTAGTACCTGTGTAAAACTCTGCTTCAACCACCGCTGAACTGCATCAGGAAACCATACACAATACAGCAAAAATTAACCTATCTTTTCTTTTACCTTTTTATTTTTAAGCAACTCATGATGTTATCTCAAGCTCAACAACTTCAGATGAGACTGAAGTAGAGCCCCACACAGGTATACCCAACCTTTTAATGATGATGCCTTTGGATGCTTGAATGCTAGGCTTTCTTATACCTAGTGGTTGCCTATTAGTTTTTGCAAAATGAAGAAATCTGCTCTCTAGAGTTCCATAGTAGGTAGTAGTTATTTCCATCTGTGTCGGGGAGATAGTTCCTTTCCATACTTCCCACTTTGGAAATAATTTCTTTATTTTTATCAGTAAACAACCTCTGTCATAGAAAGGAAGTGTTCAGATAGACAAGGCCACCACTAGGGGAAAGTAATATGATGGCATCTTACTCTTTGATCCAGAACATTCTAAAATATATTTTGTATTCCTAGAGGGTATTCTGTAGGGCAGTGGTTCTCAAATGGGGATAATTTAGGATATTTCCTCTGTACAGGAGCATTTGGCATTCCATAGAAAAACAACTGGTCTTAACTGCTGGGGGAGGTGCATCTACATCTAGAACAGAGAGACTCAGGATACACTGCTGTGCACACAGTAGCCTCCTGCAACTAAGAATTCTTGGGTCCTAAGTGTTGTACTGCTGATATGAGAATCCCATGATAAGACAAGGACATCATTTGTTTGTCACAGCTCAGTTGTGTCTAAGTTTTACATTCACTTATCAACACATCTACAGTGGGTTTAGTTCTTTCCAGCACCTTCTGTTAGCAAACATGTTATGTATCAAGCATCTACTAAGCCAGAAACTGTAGAATTCAAACATAAAGTTCTCTCAAACATGCGTGTCTGGTATTGTGTGTGTGTGTGTGTGTGTGTGTGTGTGTGTGTGTCTTGTATCAGCGTTATTTGTATAAGCAAAGATAAATAGTTTAAACAGTAGAAAATAAAAGAGTAATAAAACTGAATCCTCATGGCAGGTTCCATTAGCAGTTAGGAAACAAGGGACTAGAAGAAAAGCAACTGAAGATAGGTTGACTGGGTGAAGCTGTTTTATGGGTTCTGATATTTCAGTGATGTGTGTTTTGCAGAGTGAAGTCAGATTCAATTCCTATTGAATCACTGGCTTAAAGTATTGGCTAGGAATCCCTCGAGTGTTCCTGATATTTTTCTTTTATGGAGCATTACTTTGTATTTTATTCCTACAAACTTCTGTTGCCTTTATAAATGTTGACGTTTACTCCAGCAGCAACAAGTGATCCTATTCTGGACTCTGTCCCACCTAAAACTTCTAGAACTCCTGAAAAGCCAAGGGCAACACTGGGTAATGTTTTTAACAGAAATATTTTGCTTTGTTTTCCATTAAAACTCCATAACTCATGTGGATGCCATTCTTTCAATGACCATTCCATCCCATTTCATCTAATCATTTACCTCTTTTCTATTTCTGAACATAGATTTATGATATATTTTATATAGGCATCTTTTATGTTCCATTTTATTTATCTGTTACTTTCTCATACTAGAAGAACTAAAAAAATTGGATATCCCATCTTAATGTGAAGATATTCAGAAATTGCATGGGCATCTCTGTCATCTGCATCATCTTACACCATGTACTATGGCTTGCATCATGGACCAAGTCTGCCAGTACTGAGCAATTATTCTAACTTTCTCCCTGCTTTACATCACAGTGTCAGCCACTAGCTGCAGGACAACGTGCATCTTTTTGCATCCTTGTAACATGTACATTATGTCATCTTGAAAGCATGTTGAAATTCCTAAAATACCTCATTTTAACGGAAACTTCTTGGTGGGGTTGGGTGTTTGTGTCTCCAGCTCCAAGTGAAGCATCGTTTGATCCTCAAAATGTGAAAATCTTCACCAGTCCTGAAGTGCAGCCTACAACAGCTGGTAACTGATGTCATTTGTGTAGTGTATACTTTGAAGAATAGGTAAAGTGACAGGAAAAAATCAGTCACATTGGCCTTTGAGCATGTTTTTATTAATAAACATTTCCCTTCCTTCTCTACCATGGGATTCTACCTCTACCATAGTGATCAATAGTTAGCCTTATGATAAACCTCAAAGATTGTGTACAATCTTGATATCTTGAAGACTAGTTTCTTTAATTGCCTTCAAGCTTTCAACTTTGTCACCTAGAAAAACATGGCAGAAACATAAGTGATAATTATTTTAAGTATATTCCTTTCTGGTAAGTACAATAATATTTAATCCATAGAAGTACAAAAAGAGTATCATGTACTACTTGAAATTCTGTATATGCTAAAGAAAGACACATGAAAGAGCTCATGTCTTACAAATTATTTAAATACTAAAGTTCATTAGTGTCTGGCACAGGTACAAATGAACTACAAAATAAAGATGTTCCAAATTTCTCATTCCATAACTCCAAAATATCTAATTGGCTTCTTCCCTGCTGTTAATGTTATCATTTGGGTTCTTAATTTTTATTAATCTAGAAGGTCTCCAGCAGGCTCAGTTTGGGTTAGGGTTAGTATTTCTTCTTAAGTATGAATTTAGGTTCCCCTCTGTAGAAATGTAATTCATTTGGGCCTGGCAAACATTTAAACTTATTGAGTATGTACTCAGTAGAAAACATGGCATGGGCATCTAGGAATACAAGGAAAGTATGCAGTCATTCTTGCATTCAGTAAGGTCGTGTATTTATGTTTACATGCACAGTGTGACTGATCTTTGAGAAGTATCACTTACCAACTATGTTAACTCCTCTTTCAGCTCTCCAGCAAACTACATCTGTCCCCACCACACCTAAACGACGCCAACCTGGTAAATAAACATCTCTAACTCTTCAGGTTACTTAAATCCAACTAGATCAGGCTCATCTCTGTATAGTAAAAGAAAATTATATTTTTCTGTAGTACAGTTTCTTTATAAAATTTGAAATAGCTAACAGTAATACAAAAGAGAAAGCAGGATCTCCAATAGAATGTTCTTGGATTTGGGGATAACCTGGGGAACAGGTCCTGCCCCAACAACTCACAATATGAGATAATAACTACTGTATTCTGGGTAAGCATCTATATTGACATGTCTGATGGACCAGTGCCTACCACACTTTCAGTTTTGCAATCTGGTATGCTGATGTAAAAGGTTATTTGGGTCATCAACTTTCTTATAACCCAGAAAATAATAACAATGAAAATGAAGCATAAGATCATAAAGATTCAGTCTATAGTTCTTGTGAAGACGCTCCAAGAAAGAGCAAGTTGAAGCCATGAGTCTTAAAATATTTGTCATATTCAGGTGGAGAAAATGGGGAAGGGAAAATAGCCATTGCAACCTGAGGGGGTTCATGTAATTTATCAACTTGGAGGTGATGGTTTTCATGGCCTCACAGTATGCTCAGGTGTTACATGTGGAGTGTAAATATTTTTTCTAAACTGTATTTCTGTGATGGTTTAGACATTCTTTCCTTCAAATTTTGCTTAGTGGCAGGATTTTGAAAGGTTACTCTGTTCCTTCTTGGATGATATTTTACTGTCACTGCATTGAAATAAATTTTTCCTTCCCATAACCAGAAAGAACTACAAGTCCAAGGACAAATACTGTGAAATGTCTTAAAGTCCTGAGCCTACTCAATACCATATGTGTTACGTCATATTGGGGGGAAGCCAGCATTCTGGCTCATGTGTAAATTGTCAGTAGCTGTCTGTTCTGATTGCTCATTTGGAAAATGCTGAGCATCTCACAGACTGCTGAGTTCTATAGCCGTGTTGGTGTGAGTAGCTGGATCTGAGCTTGATAGTAGTAGATATGAACTCAGGTTAAGATGCCGTCTAGGGCCAGCACTTGGTGAATGCAGCGCTGTTTGTTGCTTGATCACATACCCGATTCTCATTGTGGAAATGTATAAATTGACCCCTCACTTGGCTGAGGTTGCCAAGTGAGAAACACAGTGTACAAAACTCTAGTGTCCTAGAAGTTTAAATATGTCTATTGGTTTCACAAAAAATTGGAAACTCAAAAACTGCCTTATAAATATTGGTTGATGTTTATACATATGTCACATTTTTAGAAATAAATAGAAGATAAATTGAAGATATTAAATTAGAGGGTATGTTGTTACTCTTCAAAATGTTTGAATAGACACTTCTTAATTGGACATTTTGTTTGTTTGCCAGAGCTTTATTTGGAAGCTGGTGTGGTTTATTTCCTGTGATTTCTATACCTTCTCATAAGCCTGGGGTCCTCACCCTTTCCCACACTGACAGTGAGCATCACCATCCGAGGTAGTTAACATCCAAACCTCCCAATAGAGGGACACTGAGTGGCCCAAGACACAGTGTATGGACTGCACCTCCGTAGAGCATTTCTGTAGCTACTGAGATTGTGCATTGTTTGAGCTCTGCGGAAGGTCTCCGCTTCCGGCTGAAGCTCACAAGCGCATGTAAACCACCAGAAGCTCTGCAGTGTGAAGACTGCCCTAGCTTTTCCAGCTCTCCTCCATCGCCTGGTTTTCCAGTTCACCGTCCATGCGAGATGCTCACGGTGGATTAGTCAGTGGAGCTTCACATGTGTTCTTTGCTCATTTCGTTTGTATGCCCTGCCCAGTCCCTTTCTGGAAAGCCAGAGCCACCTTCTCCCTTGTGTCTCTTCCACACCACGAGAACTGTTTCCCTCCTGTGTTATCCACAATGTGGTATCTATCGCACAGTCTGGGTTTCTATATTTTCCTTCTTTGTGAGTTATGAAAGCAAGTCATTTAGTGCCCAGAAAGTTGTTCTATAAAAACTTCTATTGTTGTTTCCCTCCTGCTCCCCCAGTCATGCTTTGCTTTTTCCAAACCTGCTATTCTTCTTATTCATAATTATCAAAGTTAACTCGAGACAAAGTACTATCTGAGCTGTATAAACAAGAGAAGGATTTACATTGTAATGAAAGCCAACGAATGCCAAATCAATCCATTTCTTTCTATAAGAAGTAAAAGTTCTCATTTTTTCCTATGCTTGAAATACACAGTTAATTTTCTCCTTGAAAGAAAATTCCTTTTATTGGGTAGAATAGCACAGAAACTACTGAAATGATCCTGTTTTTTTCCTATCAAACATAATAGATGTAACCAAACAGCCAGCATAAAATATAAGTGTGTTCTCTTCTTGTTTGACCATTGAAGGGTTTGTTTACCCATCATCAGGTGTTATTTAATTCATTTAAGCAGTAAGACTATACTTGCATACTTATTGATATGCTAACAAAATTGGATTTTGTTTAGTATCAATGTGTACTCATAACCACGGGGCACACTATATGAACCCTTGAGGCCTTTTGTTTTGTTTTTGTTTGTTTGTTTTTTGAGACAGGGTTTTCTCTGTATTGTTTTGGAGACTGTCTTGGAACTTGCTCTGTAGACCAGGCTGGCCTCGAACTCACAGAGATCTGCCTGCCTCTGCCTCCCGAGTGCTGGGATTAAATGCCCAGTCCCTTGAGGCCTTTTTTACACTTAAGTTTCTTATCTTTTGAGAAAGAATATGAGATCTAGCCAAGCTGGGTACCATTCAAAACTAACAGAGCCCAAGCATGGGAGAAGGCATGTTACCTTCCTCTCACTTGTGGTTGCTTTGTGAGAAACAAAATGGCAGGTGGCGAGAAATTCAGAGCACCTTCGAGATGTCCTAGGGACAGACATCAGATATTTGCAGCGAGAGCCAGAGCAGAGATGAAGGACGCAAATGAGAATCCTGAACTCTTTTGCTGTGGCTTATGCAATGGATGTGAGATGAGAAAGCCTCAGCATCCTAAACTGGAGGAGCCCAAACCTTCATCAAGCAGTGACCGTGTCTTGTGGTAAAGGGTGTTTGCTTTCTGCCATTCAGCACTCCTTTGACACTGCTTGCTTTCTTTGCAGCCCCGGAACCTGACACTCTGCCGTCAGCACGGTCAACAAAGGGTAAAGCTGCTTCCTTGACTCACAGTGAAGACATGGCCTGTCTTACTTTCTGTGTTCAACTTTGTCCTAGATATGCTTCACTTTTAGAATACTTAATTGCCCTTCAGACTATTATTTGCAGTTGCTCTTTGCAAGAAGATCTACCCTGTGCCTCGGCTTGGCAGAATAGAGTCTCTGGGACACCCATGAAAGCCATACTGCCTTGGATGTGACACAGTCTTTGCTGTCCTGTCTTATATTCAAGGAGTTTTTCCGTAGCTGCTTCTAACTTGTTATTTCCAGTGGAGACTTCTGGCTTCCTGAGGCGTAATTGTGCTTCCCTCTGGGAGGTGGCTTTTTTTTTCCCCCTCACTTTTCAAAACTCTAACATTTGCAGACTTTCTTGAAAAGCGTGATGATTATTCCAGATCTGAAAACTCTGATGTGTCACCAGATAATCCATTAGGAGGTGGAAAGAAAGGAAAAAGAACAACAAAGCCAACCCTTATAGCTTTTTTTCTTCAAAAGAGAAAAAATTAAAACCAAACTGAACAAACAAAGAGCCCTGTTCTGGTGCGATCCCAGCCAGTTACCCACAGTTTCCTTCACAAGAGCTCCTGCTTAGGGCACTGCATTTGCAGCTTGCAAAGACCCATGCCTCTGCCCCTTTTTTTTTCCATTTCTTTCTCCAAACTTAGCTGGCTACAGTTTTATTCATTTTCTCTAAAACTACAGGAATTGATTTCAGTAAAAAGGTTACTTCTCATGTGGATAAAATTTCACTTATAATTTGTTCGAGCTAGAAGTTAAAAATTGAGAGTGTCCCACATTTAAGTTAATTCTATGTTTGTCCTTTGACTTGATTCTGTCTTGATAATTTTGCATGTGGTTTTGGGACCTAGAGTCCTGGGCAAGTGTCAGTAATAACATTAGTTGGACACGCCCAGTTACTGAGTGGGTGGCTCCTTTCTTTTCTTAGTGGCTGGTGTCATTATTGGGAAACTTACATTCATAGAATGATATATCAGTATCCACTTGTCTGTATTCTTGGTTATCCTTTAAAAAATTCAAAACCTATACCTCTAGCCTATAAATATATCTCATTTTGAAAATGTTTCCCTTGGTATAATCCCTAAACTCATTTTCCCGATTGTTTACATGTGGACTTTTTAAATACCAAGCAGAAAAATCTCCTGCTTTGGAATATTAAGCCAAATTTTAATTTTTTTACTCTTAGTGTGTCTGAAAAGCAGCCTTCCTCATGTTCTCCCTGGTAGTATGATTTTGAAACTTTTGTATGCCCATCTCCTCTAAACTATACACTAATTTTGAGATTTTCCAGTGTCTATCTCAGAGTGAAGGGTCAAGGAAGATCTCTTGGGAAATTTACAAATCTTTAACCAAAAACTGTGAGGAGAAAGGGAAGGAGGGAGGGAGGGAAGGAGAGAAGAGAAAAAGAGAAGAAGGATAGAAAAAGAGAGGAGAGAGACAGAGACAGGTAGGCAGAGAGAGAGACAGACAGAGAGAGAGAGAGAGAGAGAGAGAGAGAGAGAGAGAGAGAGAGAGAGAGAGAGAGAGAACAAAACATCAAAAGCCCTCTAAGTTCTACATTACATGTAACTGGGTGATAATAAAAAGTGACAAAACAGAGTGTGTCCACATTGAATCAAAAGGTTTAAATATGTGACATGTAACTTTACTCTCAGTCTGTATCCGTTTGTAGTAGTACTCTTTCTTTGCTAACTAGAAATTTTCCTTTCTTTAGCTCCACCAAAGACCAAACGACCAGGTCGCCGTCCCCGTCCTAAAACCACACGTAGTCCAGAAGTACCTGAGTCCAAACGGGGTAAATGTGATGCTTAGGGTTCCAGTGGCCAGGGATGCCGTGCTGTGGCTTGTAGCTTGTTAGCTGCCGCCCTCCAAACAGCTGGGCTCTAGGGAGCAGCATGGTTGGTTTGGGTAGTTGAGTGTCTGTGTACTCACTCTCAACATTCATGTCACACGTGATGCCTCCGTCTCTTCATTTGTGATTAGTAAGTGCACAGTGAGAAAAGCTGGCCCACTTAGTGGGGTAGTAAAGCGGGAATTCAGGACAGCTGAAGTCTGGGAAAGCAAGGGGGAAGGGAGATGAACAGGAAAGGCAAAAGGGAAATCACATTCAGAAAGAAGCAGTTTGTGTGCAGCTTCGGCCTTGGGTATAATTGGTGTTCTTGGTGTTTTGCTTCCTTAGCTCTGGAACCTGCCACCATACCACCGGAGCTCTTGGTGCCCACAATTGGTAATTCTGCATCCTGCTTTGCTTTCTTGTCTTTTTTTTTCTTTTCATGATCGCCAATCCAGACATGACTGATGTTTTGTTACTCCATCACACTGTCAACCATGCTGTCCTTCATTTCCTGTATGGGTGGGAAAAGCCTAAAGACTGGAGAATTCTTCCAGTCCAATCTGCTGCAAAAATGTGGGGAGGGTCTGTGGTCTAGAGCACTGTTCTCTGCTGACCCTGTGTCCTTTAATCAAATGTCCTGGTGTTCAGAGCCATCTGTTCTCCCTCACAAATGTCTGTAGTCACCCTGGACTGAACAAATGGCATACATTCTTCCAGTTTTGTGGCTAAGATTTCATTGCTTTATTCATCCAGCCTGAAACACTCTGAATAGCTACACATTCCTATGGGAGAATGACTTTAGTATGTTTGGATAGCATAGACAGATTATGGTCTGAGGTCCAGTATAAAACTGGTAGTTGTCTTTGCAACTTGAGAATATTAAAGTTCCAAGATGGTTTTTATTATTTTTAGTGGTAATGTCGTGCCTATAATTGTTTCATTGTAACTTCTGAGAACTCAGTTTGTCTCTGATCATTTTAAGAAATTCCCCACAAGAGTAACCTTGTGTTGTTATTCCTTGTGTTAATAGCAGAAGTTTTGGGTAATTTTCCAGGTTTCTTCTTAAGTAACTCTCTCTCTCTTACTGCTTTGTGCTAGAAAGAAAGTTGCCAACAAAGCAGAAAAACTGTTACACTTAGTCCTTCTCAAATAGCACCTTTGCTCAAAAGAAACACTTTAAGCATTTCCTTGAAACTGTTCTTCTAGGGGACTGGAGAGATGTTAGGAGCACTGGTTGCTCTTCTAGAGGTCCTGAGTTCAATTCCCAGCAACAACATGGTGGCTCACAACCATCTAGAATGAGATCTGGTGCCCTCTTCTGGTGTTCAGACATACATGCCAGCAGAACACTGTATGCATAATAAATAAATAAGTCTTTAAAAAATTGTTCTTCCATGGAAAGCTAATGGAGCAAGTGAATGGCTAAAATGGGCATTTCCATCATTCCTGGAACTATTTTTATATTTGTGTTGAGTCTTCACAGAGTGTTTCTCAGCTTATACATCCTTAATTCTGACCATCACAACCATAAGCATTATGAGAATTTTAATATTTTTTCTTTTAGTTCCCAAACCATCCCAGAGACCCAAAGCAACACTCAGGCCAGAGGTACCCCAAATCCAGCCTGGTAATCAACACTTTCAATGCCTTAGCATGTATTTGGGAGAAGAATATATGAGTAACATTGATTTCCCCACCAACAGCTTAGCTTTGACACTAACTATGATACCTTTTTCTTCTTCAGATTTAGAACCTCCAAAACAAATGCTTCCTAAGCCCAAAGTCACACCTGACATGCCACCAACTAAATCTGGTAATCACAATTCCTATTGTCTAGCTTAACATACTTTATCATTGGAAATGACACTGAAAGGGTTTATATATTAGACTAATCACAGAACCAAGTATCATAATTTTGTTCTTTATCTTCTGAAAGTTCTCACACTAGTTGTAAGAAATGGGAAAATTTTATACCTGGTAATCAGTCATATAAATCCCACACTTTAAAAAGCATTTTATGCCTTTCTGAGTTTATAATGAATAGAAGTTAGATTTTTCTGTACCTAGGACAATTTAAAGTGACTTTGCTAGCTATTTATAGGTAGTACACACAGGAGGGGACATGTGTTCCTCCTTCATGGGCACAATCAATAGGGATTAGCTTCCTCTGAACTAACCTGTTGGCATTTTAAATAGTAAATGTTAACTGGGCAGTTTTCTACCATATTAAAAAAAGCTTAAATAACAATTCTGAATATTCTGTTTACAACTGAAAATTTCTTCTTATTCCAATTAGTATAAAACTAAGAGATCTTTTCATTATAGATTAGTCCATCATGTAATCAATCTACATCAACCTAGAAGAAACTGTGGTCAATGCCACTGAATTAAATATTATGAATACTTAAGGTTGTTTTTCTCTTCATCTGTGTCTTATGTGTAATGATCCAGCCTCTGAGCCTGCTGCATTCAAAACTGAAGCCCCTTCCCTAGCCATAGGTAACAAATGCTTACTTACCTGACATTACCTGGAGATTTCTCCTCTCATCTCTCTCATCACCTGTGCTTCCAGCTTGATCATCATTCAACCTTTCCCTATTTGTTTCTAAAATGCACTTGCTATTTTTGGTGGAGGCCATCCTAACACCATACCAGGCAGTCCTGCATCTGCTCAGCTAATAGTACCTGAATGTTAACACTTCCTTTGACCTTCAAAGTCAGATTGCTTGCAGCACCTGATACTTCCAGAAGCCAAAGGATTCTGTTCATCAGTCTTGCAAAGCAGGAACTTCTTGAAGCCTGTGTGTGTGTGTGTGTGTGTGTGTGTGTGTGTGTGTGTGTACACAAAGAGAGCTGACTGGAGCTTGTGATGATGAGTCATCATTTCTGATAGTGGCTCTTCTCCCTGATTCCATACTATTCAAAAATACAAGTGGACCTTTCTGTTGAGAATTCATCTTGTGAAAAGAAGTTCTAACAATGTCTTCCTCATCTTCTCCCAGCTTCCTTCTGTGTGTCATTAGCTTGGGCATTACTCTCTGATGCATTTTAATCCAGCTTCATGCTTTGGTTCACTGAACCATCTGGGAAAGTTAGTCTCTATACCAAGGCTTAGAGGACAATAGATAATGAGAAATTTGAATCTTACATGCAATCTCCTAGATTTAAAGAAAAAAATTTAAGGAGATACTAACTTAATGTGAGTTGTAATTTTTCATTTCTGATCTATGAATAATTATTTCATTTATAGAAACCATATGTACTGAGATTAAAAGCTGTATAATTTCCTTTTTATTCTGAATTATCTTTATTTTTTCATTGGGGGGGTTGTTTCTAGGAATTGAAACTAGGATCCTATTAATGCTACACAAGTGATCCATTTACCTAATCCTCCATATCTAGTCATACACTGGATAATTACATGCAAGTTATCCATTTGAGATAAGTAAGCACAGAAACATAATAGACACCACTTATGCTCTGAAGAGAAGGCAGGCATTTGCATCTACCTGTACAATTGTCACAGATCTTCAGAAAACAATACAGTTGGCAATACTTTTACAATTCTCTCAACTACCACTCCTCCACCAAAATAATGATGGTTAATGTCTTTGAAATACAACAGAAGCCTCTGTAGCCATTTTCAGAATAGTTTAGTATAACAAATCATATACCTATAGAGCCAGAGTGTCATTATAGGTAGACCCAAATAGGAAAATACTTTTCAGTCACTTCATAGCCATTCTAGGTGAAAAGTGTGTGTCTGTAAGATAGGTGGGCATAGAATCTAACTACTGCCAGTAATAGTATTTCTGACTTCATAAATGCTTTTAAACATAAGTCTTACATTCCTTGCCCACCTCTGTGTCAGAACTAACATCTTATAACTTAATAGGTAGAAATATTTTGAAATTTATTAACTTATTAGGCCACTAGCTTCCACTAATTCAAAAATTAAGAAAGTCATCAGATAGCATCTTGGGCCCACAGAATAGCTTTCCCCATCTTGCCGTGCCCACCTCTGATACACCCATCAATGTGTTTTATATTTGCCTTCATTTATGACTTTCTTTGTTCTTTAAAACTATAAAACTTCAGGTAACAGTTTCCACATTGGAATGTGGAATTTTGGGCAACCTAAGTCTGTGTTTCTGGGCCATGGCCCCTCAAACTGTCTCTTAGTTCTTTAAGAAAAAAAAACCTGGCTTACAATGTTTTACCTTTAATATAAACCACTTTGTACATTTCTTAATTTCTGTTGTGTATTGCTTTTGATCAGTTGCTACCACAGACATTGACCTTGTAATTATGAGAACCAAGGCTCCAGTGACAACATTAGGTAATGACCTTTTAGTCCTTATGCACATTCTCTGCTTATTGTCAGATCCCTTTCTACCTGGGTCAAGGGGATTTTTCTTTCACATAAGCTTCTTATCATTAACTGTATTTCTCATTTAAAATAATCAAGATTACTTAAAGAATGTTATAAACCACTATTCAGCTCCTTATATCCCTACCCCTGTTATCTTTGCAAATGCTTCCCAGAGCCTATGACTATTCAGTACTCGGTAATAGTCTACATAAAAATAAATTTCTGATCTACATCAGAGTGCCTAACCATTAAGCTATCATTCTTAAGTTACTCTTTTTTTGAAGATATGAAAGACTTTGGTTGCATGCAAGTGATTTTAGAAAGTGTAACATAGGTATATCAATACTAATTTTAATGGCTTATATCCCTAAACTGGATCTAAGGACAATTATCCAGAAGTAGGTTAGCCAAGGTCTCCCTGTTGTGAAATCAACATGCCATGTTTCCAGCTCCCTTTTGGTCTGGAGCCTCTTTGATGCTAGCAACTAACAATAAAACTTTCAGAACAACAAAACAATATCATGTAGTCTGTCTCAACTGTCAGCAGACCAAAAATGTTTTATGTATATATTACCAAGAAAGAATTCCAAATCAAAGAGAAACTTGATTCTCCAAACTCAAGAGTCTGAGAAGGTTTAATAAACCTTACATATTCGTGTGTTCTCCTTTCTTTAATTCTGAAGTCACACAACCACAATAACCACTTTGCTTTCTCCAGCCCCCAAAACACCACGACCAAGACCTCGCCGCCCACGTCCTCCTAAAGATAAAACCACCCCAAGCCCAAAGATACCTCAGACTACACAAGGTAAACGTGGTTCTTGGCTCCTGTGACTCTTCATTGGATGTAACAGAAGTGATATTTCCACTGTCATTAAGGATTGAAGGCTTAAGTCATAGGAAGCAGCTGATACCAGCATGGTGCTCTGGCAAAACCCTATGACTTCTTTACACCACTTTTATGCAGAATTCTTTGATACCTGTTAATTTTATATGTTTTATTTTTTCACTGACATTCAATTACACTTTTCTGTTTGTTTATAAATAGGAAAATACATAGTATATTTGATTCAAAAGTCATATATTTTATTAAATACCACATTATACCTGTGGGCTATGCATTAGAGGTAGCAGGTGACTTAGTTGAACAAAGAACTCTTATTCAGACATCATAAATAGATTTAAAAAAAAGAATAGGAGCAGCATCGGGTGGTTACTGTTTCACCAACTGTTAGACACATGATTCATTCTTAAGTAAAAATTATATGTTTAATGTGGACCTGAGATTTTTAACCTTCATAGATTTGCCAGAAAGAATGGGCCTGACTCCTAAAATAGAGAGAGAAAGGAGCCATGTGAGGGAGTAACAATAGAAAGATAAGAACTAGAAGCATAGCCTGCCTTAGAAGGGCAATATTTGTTTAGTTGAACCATGGTGTTATTTTTGGAAAGTCCACAAAGAAGATCACAGAAGCCCAACTTCAGTGACTGCTTTGAGCCCATTGGCGTGTGGTGCTACTCTTCATGGCCAAGTCTTTTCTGTATGGTGAAAAAATGGAGTAACAAGTTCTGTTGAGTAATGACCCTCCAGGTCTAGCTCTTTTCTTGCCTTTGATCCAGCATAGGTCTTCATCTTTTCCCAAAGCAGACTTAAGAAAACCAAGTGTTGTCTATCTTGATTATTCTTTACTGTGTCTGATTAAATATATCAGCAACTGTATTTATCATGACTCCAGGACTTGTTTTCCAATATACAGTCTTACAAATTATGCTTTCATATTAATTAATATATAGTTAAATACAATATTGTTATATGTATAACATTTTTCTAAGCAGAGTTCCCTATCACATTTATGTGCTAATGTAAAAGCAATCAATATCTGTAGCTAACTGTAGAAAAACAAGTAAAATCACCATTATTTCTAAAGAAATACTAAGAGTAGGGCTGTGTTGTAAAAACATCTGTGGTCCCTTATGCAGAAACTGTACGGTTGTTTTTTTGTTTTGTTTTTGCTGTTATTGCTTTTTGACTATAGAACCAATGCTACACTGGTAAAGCCCATATTTGGGAGAATTTGATGGATTTTCCGATGCATTTCGCATTTCCTTGTTTTAAGTTGCTTTTGATCGTTTCTCACAGCAGACTTGGGACCTATCACTCCTGAGCCATCTTTAGGTAATGATCCTTTATGTCCTTCTGTGAGAGGTTTTGTCTGTCTGTCTGTTGGGCATCTCCATGTGTTGAGCATCGCTGTGGTTGCTGAGGAGATTATGGTGACATTCCCTGTTTCATCCAGTCACAGGACTGATCTCAAAGTATTGCAAATTTTCTTACCATTTAACAGAAAGTACCTTGTCTTAATTCAGGCTAGCTATCTGAGCCATGCCCTGCCTTGAACCTGTGTCCTGTCAGGCCTGAGTCTTTAATCAGTCATGACACCTGAACCTCCTAAGGGAGGCCTCTAATGGGACAGCAGTGATGACACAGTGGCAGTTGTCTGGGAAGGTTGCTTTCCATTTTCAAGTTCTGTGTTACTGTTTTTGACTCTGTTGATATTTCAGTGACTTTTACAATACTCCGGTAAATCACCAAGTATGGAACTTCCCCAGGCACAACCATATTAATTTAAAAGCATCACTGTGGAGTTATTTCAAAATACACAACATTAGAGTTGACTGTGAATTTATAACTAATTTTGGGTTAGAGTTGTGTTCAAGGAAATAGTGATGGCTCCTAACTAACATTTCTTAAATGTAATTATGTCTAATATTTTTATCTCTGGAGGATTCTCAATTATTAAATCTGTTAATATACTAGAGGAAAATTTTCAAACCCTAGTGACAGGATTTCTTAGCTCAAACTGTTAAAGTTTATTTTTTTAAAGTTTGACAGGATACATCATCCTAGGCATAGCTTTGGATTCAACACTATGCTAATTCTAAGTTCTCTCCCATCAGCTTCAACAACAAAAAAAGCCCGCCGCCCACGTCCCAAACCTAAAACCACACCCCATCCAGAAGTACCTCAGACTGTATTGGGTAAATATGTGGTTTGTGATTTAGTCTCTATGAGAAGGTATCCTACATATCTCTTCAGGGTAAAAGCTCCTTGTTTGCAAGGAGAACATCATGTGCCTAAATACCTTACGCTTCTTTCTTAAGAATATTGTCTCTCCATAGCCGTTATGTATATTTTTCTTACTTTCTGATTATGTTTGCATCTTAAAGATGAGACTACTTGGTATAGTATTGAGCGACAGCAATCTGATCAAAGCTACTACATTCACTAAGCTTGCATTCACTCTCCTAAGACATTTCAGACCTTGGCTCTGAAGTAGGGGGTATAGTTTCATTTACCACTTCATTGACAATGCAGCAGCAAAGAAGACCTGCCTCACATGAACAGATACTAATGTAAGACGTCATGTCCATGCAAGGGTGAAATAATTTGAGCAACCCAAATGCTACATATGAGCTCTGTGAAAATTTAGATTTAAAAAATCCAAGGCAATCAGTATGGAATTAGCACAGGATTTGAAGTTTGGAAGGATGAAGGGACAAAGACATACACGTGGAGAACAAGTTCAACTTGACTTCCAGATAGAGGATAACATATTGATGCTCTCCTGCCAGTTCTCTCGCAGAATCAATTGCAGAGACTGGCTCTCAGAATGAATTAAAGAGATAGGGTGGGGGGGGGACTGAAATCTTCAAATTGATCCTATGGGATTTAATGGTTTTCCCTTCTGCCCAAGATCATGCTCTTTCTCTTCATAGAACTAAAGATAACCCAACCCAATTGATGATAGAAACTAAGAAGTGGTTATTCAACTTGTTGAGAAACAATATGTTCTCCAAGGACTTCATCTCTTAGTGGATGTGGTTTCAGCTTCCGTATAGCCATCAACACCCATTATAGACAAACCTTCCTCCCTTTTCTTCCTTCTCACTCTATATCAGTTTCTCTCTGTCAGCTGCCAGCAGGCCATGGGTCTAGCACATACTTAAGAGACAATATAAATACAAACTGTTTAGCTGTAGTGACACAAAGTATTAGTCACAGGGACAGAATCGCTGGAAATCACCACAGAGTCTGTAAACTGCATTATGTTCAGATTTAACTATCTAAACTGCTCATTGCACCTGGCACGGATTACTGTTTACAGTAGATGTGTTTTCTGATTTTTGCCTTTTATAAAAGTTCTGGTGTCTTCCCATCTTTTTCTGATGATGAGTCAGATTTTCTATATAGGTTCTCATGTTAGTTAAAATTGGTTAATTACCAGCAGTGGTATTCCAGAGTTGATCTCAAGGAGATGTTCAACAGAGTCCAAAAGCTGTGACTAACCTCTGAATCAAATGAATATGTAGCGAGTGATTCTTTGGAGAAGTATTCAAAGAAAAAAACAAGGTTCATTTTCTCCAGTTAAGAATATTAAAAGAATAAGGTTGCCTCCCAAGAAACCTCATTTTTTACTGGTAGGATGAATTTTCCAACATTTCATGCATTTATAAGGTCTCTTTAATGTCTTTTCTTATTTTCGTCAGTTCCTGCTACAACCCTTGAACCAGTTATTAGAACTGAGGCTCCAGGGATGACCTTAGGTAATGGCTAATGGTGTACCATGTCCTTCAACATCTGCATTTCTTACTTACTTTGTTAACTTGATCACCACTGCTTCTGGGACTTCAAAGCTTCTTCATCTTTGGGTCCTTCAACTGTTTAACATGTTTGCATGTTAAAAGGATGTCTTGTTTATGATGGCTTGTTTTTATGAGAGTCAATGTATTGAAAAAGAATACACACATATACATACATATAGGTTCACTGTTACACCTCAGATTTTTTCTGTCTCTCTTTCCATGTATCATGTTAATCACGTGCACAATTTTGTTATGGGGTATCCATCTCTGTACATGTAGCGGAATCTATGCGCCATCTAGGCTTAGTTAATTTGTGAAGCTCTTGTAATGTGATAGTTTTTGTTAAGCTCTGAATTTCTGCATTTTCAAACTTTGTTTGGTTTTACCATTTTAGGGAATGATAAAACTTTGATGAGGATGAAAAAAGAAAAATATACTCGAGGGTGGTCAATTGATGTTATTAAGACTTTCATTAGCATGAAACCACCCATACAACCCCTATGCACACAATAATTCTGCAAGGTTTTGAAACATTTCTTCATCCAGGAACTCTTACAAGAAGTTATAGTAAATATTCTTGATAGATAGACTCAAATTTTTCAAATTTACTCATGAATTTTGTTTCTTGAAGACATGCAAGTGTCATAAGAAAGCACAATACCAAAACAGGAACAAATATTACATAACTCAAAAGGGAAATTTCTTGAAGCTCAAGAAATTGTAAGAAATATATTATTAGTCAACATCTCTTAAATTCAAAATATTATATTTAACTTGAGATTTTCTTCCTTCAGCTCCCAAACTACCTCAACAACCAAGCCATCCACATCCCAAACCTAAAACTACAAGGCATCCGGCAGCACCTCAGACAGAACCGGGTAAATGTGTAGGGCCTGTGTTAGGAATTCTGGCAGCCCATCCAAGCAGAAAGTATAATGACAATTGAGGGCCAATAGCTCAGATGGGGAATAAGGGGAGATAATTTAGTGACTAAAGTCCTCACGTTCTGTGTGCTAGAATTGTCTCTACAAAGGACAATGGTTGTTTTCTTGGCAATGCTGATCATTATCAAGTGGTAAATATGTACATTCATGAAACAACAACAGAATGAGTATATGCTTGCATCTGTGGGGGTGATTTATCAGTTACAGCCCTGAGTCACAGAAGGCATTCAGGTCAGACAACAATAAGCACTTTCTGTATGGTGCTGGAGAAGAGATACTTCAGGCTTTGTAGAGCATGTGGTCTCTGCAGCATGTTTTGTTATTTCCCCCAACTGCTTATAAATACAAAAGTAGTTCTTACAGGGGAGGATCATGGGGAAGTTTTAAAGAGCATAGAATGCTTGACAGTCAGCAAACAGGAGCAAATTTCCTCTTGTGAAAGAGACAATGCTTCCAGGAATTGGATGGTTTTGATGAGGTCCCTGCAAGTATAGGACAAGTTGAAAAGTTCTAAATGTTGAACTTGGGAGCTTAGAGTACACCACAGAAATGATTTATTGCCACACTTTGAGTGTTGGACAAGGCTGCCTTGCTATGTCACAGACAGAGCGGCTTCCCCTTGTAATATTCAACTATGTACTCAAGTTGGACATATTTTAAATAAGGCAGATGTTAGTCAGCCTTGTTAACTAGAACAGAATGACTAGCACAGGCTACTTACAAAGGACAGGTTTGTCTAGTTCAAGTACGTGAGCATTCGTATTTTAGAGGGACATCACCAGCTCGGTGACAATGGCTGTTTCCTGCTTGTGTCACCTCATGGCACAGTGCTGTGGTGGATGCATTTATATGATATAGAAAGTGATCATATTTCAATCCAGGAGCAGAGGGGATTAGAAGAACCAGATTTTTTCTTTTATATTTATCCACTCTGGAGAGTGTGGTGATATTTTGTTTATGATCTAACAAATAAAGCTTACCTGAAGATCAGAGTGCAAAGATAGCCACACTAGTCAGCCATAGAGGCCAGGCAGTGGTGGTACACACCGTTAATCCCAGCAGCCACACTAGTTAGCCATAGAATCGAGGCCGTGGTGGCACACGCCTTTGATTATAAGGTGGAAGAAGACATTACCTGTCGGTCTGCAGTCACACACAGGACTTTGTCTGAGTCTTGATAGAGGTCAGAACCCTCTAGAGGCTGGCTGCTTTGCTTTTCTGATCTTCAGGCAAGGCTTTATTTCTTAGATAGTAAACAAAATGTCATCATAGGAGAGCTCAAAGATCACACAGAACTACCAAGGATTGGGCAAGCTGTCTCATTCCCTCAATGACCTTCTCACTAGAGCCTACCATCCACATGTACCACTACCTTGTAACAGCATTCATGGACCAGGCTTCAGAGGACACAAGTCATATTAAGTAAGCTCAGATCATTAGAAAATAAGGAAAACTTGAAGATACTTTATATAGACTTCGTAGGCCACATCTACAAAGATTTTGGTTCCACTCTCAGGAGATGAGTTGGCATCTAAGAGCAGAGATACTATATTGTTTTAGTTCAGAGAGTTAACCACATGGCTTAGTGTTTCAGAAATATTTCTATCCTGCTAGAATTCTTTTTGAACAAATCTGTTAGGTTTTTATGTTTTAATGTTTGGAGTAGATTTTTGTTTATTTTGTTTTTGTTATTTTTGGCTAGTTTCTGCTTTAGTCTTTGAACCAGTTACTCCTTTAAAAGAGAATACAGTGGCCACAATAGGTAATGATACTCCTGACTGTCAGCAAATACTTTCTTTATTCATTGTCAAATTCATCCCATGTTGCCACCCAGCTACAGTCTTCATTTTATTTTAATTGAACACATTTAGAAGTACTTATTTCTTGTTTGTTGAATGCATAGGAAGCCATGGCATGGGGCTAGTTTGGGTTATTGGTCTGCCTCAAAGCTTACTTTACAATATTTACATGTTGCTTTAAGGTTTGGGTCTAATCAAATTCTTGTTTAAGACGAGTTTCATGTATCTTTGGTGTGTCTATCTCTAATTTGTGCAAATCAAGTTACAGTAGGGAAATTTCTTTTGTTAATACGTGAGCAATGTGATTTAGTAGACTGAATAGCATATAGTATCATCAGGTTAATATCTTTAAGTAGTAAACTTCATCCTTAATGTGAATTGAAGTCCTTTCATTCTCCACCATAATTTTAATGATTCTCAATCGTTTTAGTTTAATCAGATAATTCTAGAAGAATTTTTTTAAAAAATACTAATCTTGACTTTCTGAATTAATTATTTCAATCAATGTATTAATATTTCTCCCTAATGAACTTTCAATAACAACAGATGCAATAATGTAGTATAGGGTACAGCTTTCATATATTGCCTGAAACTCAAGAAAATTTTCTCAGTTTTGTAATAGCTAAAGATTTTTTAAAAATTTGTAATATGCTGAATTGTAACTATCAAATAATTCAATCTGACCTCTTTTTAGCTCCAAAAATGTCTGAAAGAACAAAAAGTTAAAGCTACCCAAGTCTAGATGTACTGGATCTCCTATATAAACAACAAAGGAGTTCTTGGTTCAAAGAGCCTGAGAACCAGGCAATGGTTGCAAATACCCTCCTAGAGAGGGGATTCTCAAAAGACTGTTAGACACTAACAGCTGGCAAGACCTTTACAATAGGAAGAGATATATAGCGTTCTTCTTTTAACTAGAAGCTGTTTGAAAGTTGTTTTATTTCTTAGTCTGGAGGCTAATGAAATCACGAGAAGCTAATTTTGGAATGGCTGCTTGTGTATTTCTTAATTTCAGAACTGTTTATGCAATCATATTTTCAAATTTTCTTTTTTAATGTTCAAAAATTTACAAGTTAGCTCTCTATACTTCTTGCAAAACATTAGAAGCATATGTAAGGGCATGGGTAAAAATGCCCTGGTGTTTTCCCTGTTAGAGTTAGATAAGCATTGTTACATAAGGCATTGCCTGCTGAAGTACTGTAGAATGAGAGCAAAGATGATGCCTCTCTGGGAGATAGATGGGTGCTACCTACAGTTTGGGTAGTCTGAACAAAACATTGGTATTTATCATGAACTTTATTTACTAGAACAGCCATTCCACAGAGTTACAGAAAGGGCACTTAATCAACAGGGATCCAGTCTTACAGTTCTGGAGGCTGCAAGTCAAAGACCAAGGTGCTTCCAGGTCTGGTTTCCTCTGAGGCCTTTCTCTAGCTCACAAATGACTGCCTTGCTATATCTCACATGGCCTTTTCTCGGTGTATATGCATACCTACTGTGTATTCTGATACAGATACTCGACATATTGAAGAGCTAACCTTATGATTCCTTAATTACATCTTTAAACATTGTGTCTTCAATTATATCTCATCTGGACATAAGAATTGTTAGCACACAATTTAGTCCATAATACTCTTGAGCCAGAAAAGTAATATATACATGTATGCACATACACACTATAGATTCACTGTTAGGCTGGCAGACTCATTTTGAAGTAAATGCTGTGTCTGCTTATACATGGTTTTTAAAAGCTGCTATTTGTTAATTCAGTTCCCATTACAGACCTTGAACCTGTTACAGACCTTGAAACGCCTGTTGCTTTTAGATCTGAGGCCCCTGGAACAACACTAGGTAACAATCTTACTTGCCAAGTGCTTCTGTTGCTCATTGTATAGTTTGCTAAGTCTCCATCCCTATGGGCAGGCTTTCCACCCCTCTGAGAAACCATTCCTCCTCTTCTGCCATCTGCTGCAGAGTTGAGAGCATCTTGTACGCACACTTCCTGTTGTGCTTATGAGAGCTAAGCATGAACTTAGTTCATATGCTGTCGACCACGTAGAACGCCTGAAAGTGCCATGTTGCCCTTTGCTTCATGGCACAGTGTTCTGCATTACAGCTGAGTTTTACCACAATGGCATAGCTGCCCATCAATAGCAGATACTCTTATGCCTCTTGGTACATTCCAAGTTTCTGCATCTCTTTCTGAAAACTGTTGTACAGTATGTTTGTTTCTTTGGTGATGTAATTTAAGTAGCCATAGATACTTGATGTATGTAAGTAATGATGATGTAAGTAATGATGCACCTTACTATTAATTTGACAAGTTGGAGATGACCTATCTGAAAAGTTAAATTACAGGCCTCCACCTTAATATGATCCAGATCTCCCCCACTCTTCATTAAATGATTCCTTCCCAATCATTTTCTCCAAAGTGGGACTCTGTCTCCCAGTGAGTACTAATCTACTTGCCTTGAGTGAGCACCTCTGCATGAACAGAAATTTATGTCAAATCACCATTGATGACAAAAAGAGGGCATGCTTGTTTAAAAAGAGTGAAAAAGTCAAACTAAAGGCATAATCTCCTACACCCTTAGGTGTTCTAAGGGCTGTGGAAGGGTCTCTGGTATCCAGGACTGTAAGATCCAAGGTAACACGAGGTTTTTCTTTCTTCAGCTAGTAAATTGTCACCAAGAACCCGCCGTCCACGACCCAGACCTAAAGCCACAATGAGCCCTCAAGCACCTCAGATGAAACCTGGTAAATTGGGAGTTAGATGGCTTCTGGGTGAGCCCTGGTGGTCAGTCCCATCACAGACTCAAAGCAATGCTAGTGGTAGGCAGTAGCAGCTCTTATACTCCCTGAATGTGAGAATAGGAGGCAGCACAGATAACTTCTCTGTGGGTGTTCTAAGGAAACTATGGGTAGGTGAGACCTAGTAAGAGCTAAAATACCTTACTCTTTCTACGTTAGACCCTTTAATTCATCTTTGTATTCAGCACAAATTGTATACTATGCATTTCTTTTCGAATCTTAATAGTGAAACTATACTAGCAAACCCAATGTATTTAGTTCAAGTCAACAAATGCTGAGCCCTTTACATAATCCCGAGACTCACATTTGCAATCATAAATAATAGACCCAGCATAGCAGGTTTTTTTTAACTTCTTATACAACAAAACTGAGGCCATGCAGCAAAATATACAAAGTAACGATCTAGAATCTAGAAAAAGAAAACATTATGGCCATCTGGGTTTGGATCTTGGGTACACTACAGGATCTTTTGATCAATGGAAAAAAGAGAATATAGAGGGACCAGACATAGGTGCAGGTCAGCCAGAAATATGGCAGAGTCCAGATGGACTGCATTTGGAAGGGTCCATCAGGGCAGTTGAGGAGGATGTTGAGAATTGATTCAGAACTTAGGATACAGAAACACAGCATCATACACAAACTCTTTGGCTTCCACCTTTTATGCTTAAGGTGCTACACTGGGTGTTAGACTAGTAACTGCCCTTTATGCTACTCTTTTATGGTTTTTACAGATGTAGCTGGTTTTTAAAAAAATTTTGGCAGCCTGACACTCAGCTCCCAAATAATTACATGCAAACTTATTCTTACTTATGAACCCCTGGCCTTAGCTTGGCTTATCTCTATACAGTTTTTCTAGCTTAAATTATCCCATTTCTCTTTAACTACATTTTACCACTGAGCTTTTTACCTTTCTTTATTCTATGGATCTTTCTTTCCTTCTTACTCCATTGCTCCCTTGGTGGATGGCCCCTGGCATCCTTCTCTCCTTCTTTTCTGGCCTCTCCCTCCTTCCTACATTTCTCCTGCTATTTAGGCTCTCTGCATGCCAGCCCCACCCATTTCTCTTTCCTGCCTACCTGTTGACCATTCAGCTCTTAGACAGACAAAGTAACACAGCTTTACAGTTAAGTGAGTGCAAAATAAAAGAATGAAACACATCTTTGCATCATTAAACAAATATTCCACAGCATAAGCAAATGTAACACATCTTAAACTAATGTTCCACAACATGTAGGGCTCTCAAATCCCACAAGATTGGCAAGATCAACATAAGCCATGTGAATGGTTATTTTTTAGATATGTTTCAAACCTCTATTGTATCAGTGTCTACTCGAGCATAGTAATTCATGTTATGCTTTTAGCTTACTTTTCTAAGAATATATTAAGTAAATGTATTAAAATATTTTCCATTGTAGTATTTTCTACATAGACTAGAATTTATTTGTTAAACACATTGCAGAATGTCATTCTGACTTACTCATGACTTCTCAGGGTAGTTAAACAGCTAAGCCCAACAATTATCACAGTAAAAGTTTAACAATCCCTTAAACAATATTCTTTCATGTAAAATTTTAATTATATTTTTCTTTGGGTCAATTGATATTCTAGTCATATATATGTTATACGTAAATGTTCTAACTTAAATATGCATTTAAAATCTCTTTGGCTTATTGTGTTGTCTTTGACCTATTCCTCCTGTAGTCCTGGAACCTGTCACTCTTAGACCTGAAGCCCCAGTAACAACACTAGGTAATGTTGCTAAGCTATTTTTATAACAGGTCTTCTACTTAATATCACACTAAGAGTTTAATCTTACTTCATGTGGCAGCTGGGTCACTTTTTGTGGCAACTGAAGACTTTATAATTATCTGTTTTAAAAGGTCATACATAAAACTTCTTTGGGCCATTTGTCTGCCACATTGCCTACTTGAAGTATGCCATGTTTTGTGTTTTGTTTTAAGGAAGCTTCACTACAATGGTGTTTCAAACATGCCAAAAGTCTCAGCTACACAGAGAAGCCAGTAACAACTTCATGGAGCCCAATGGGCTCGTGGAACATTTATGTTTCACTTTTTCTGCTGGCATAGTATTTTGTTGTTTTGTTTCTATTTCATAAGGGTTATTTTGACAATTATATAGAGAATGTATCTCAGATTTGAAAGATTAAATTATAAATCACAAATCATAAGTAGTGGAAATGTCCACTATCCATTCAAACTTAGGGATGTTTCCTACCCATTTTAGTTCCAGCCATGCCACCTTATGAAACTTAGAAAATAATTACTAGCCTTTATTTCTATAATTAAATGATAACTTTTTTCTTCATAGAATTTATGATTTAAAAAACCTAGATGATGGATATGTGAAAACCAATCTTACTGACTCTTAATGAAAATACATAGTAATCCAATAATTTCTTCCTTTAGCTACCAAAACATCACAACGAAAACCTCATCCACGTCCCCAAAAAAAGCCTATAACAATACCCGAAGCACCCGAGTCCAAGCCAGGTTAAGCATATGCACCCGGTTTAAACAACCTCAGCAGTGTGACCTAGCAGTTGGAAGTTATTTGAATGATTGAGAACCTCCAGTGTATCCCCATGAGAGCAAAGATGCAAGTCAAGGTCCAGGGGGAGGCACAGTAGCTCCACCATACTGCTTTTAAGCAAACAAGGCTGAGTGAGGGAAGTCTGTGGGCCACTAGATACCCACTACTTCCTGTGTGCAATCTTCTCAATCACCATGCATTTTATAAATTCCTTTTAGCTCCTAAAAATAAAATTCAGAGTAATTAGATCCAGTTCAAATAAAGGCATTTACTAAGTTCCCCCATCTCTTCCTAATCACTTTTGAGTGAAACAGGAGTGGGAGGTATGTCTTGATTTTCAAACTTGTACAACAGAGCAGAAACATATATATATATATATATATATATATATGATTTTTGTTGTTTTGGTAGGGTGTGTGTGTGTGTGTGTATGTGTGTGTAGTTATAGATGGCATAGGAAGAATCTTCCAAGTACAAGATTAATTTTGGGGGGTGTAAACAAAGTGTTAGGTACATAAGTATTTGGAGTCATGAAATAATGATTTAAAAAGAGCAGAGTCTTAAAATTGCGTGGGAGCATGGCTGATGAGAAGAAAGGAGGGGAATAAAATGAGAAGGAGACGATATAAACAAGAGTAGTGAGAGGAGTCTCTGAAGTATTGCTATGGAGGAGTTCCCCCTTCAAGGTGGTAGGAAAATCCTTCCATGTCTCAGCCAGTCTCGGGACATGCATAGTCAAGGTCTTAGAATTGTGATAAGGTAGCACATAATTGGTCTGGCAGACATCAGCAACCTCTTTGTTCTTATAAAGGCATATTCCTTCTTTGTCTATGATAACAGAACCCCACCAGTTAATCATGCTGATGCCTTATTCTCTTTCCACATAAGAGCTCTAAGCAATGCCTCCACAGTCCATTTTTGATTATTAATCACCAATAATTAGTTGTTGATAATGCCAATTAGTTATATTATTCATCAGTTAATGATTACTAATATTGAACAATTGTTAGATGATTAATTGAATAGTTGATTAATTATAGTATTAATATTAAGATTGACAAATGAGAAAACAGCTGCCTGACTTAGGTATGACAGACTTTTAGGATGTCAACTGCTTGCTTTTCCAGTTTAATGGTTTTTAAAGGTGGCACGTTGTTATAGAAACTGTATTATGCTAGGAAGACTCATAATGAAGAGTTTTTATTTTCAATTATTTAAAGGAATCATTTGGTTTATTTTAATGCCTTTGCTCAGTTCCTACAACAGAACTTGAACCTGTGACACTCAGAACACAGACTTGGGTGACAACAAAAGGTAATCACATGTTGTGGTCCTGGCTGCGTCCTCTCCTTTGTCATCGCCAAACTCATGACATTCTGCTTTAAGTCTTCATTCTGGAAGGATTGAAAGCTATGACTCATCAAAGAACTCAGCTCTCATGAGATCCACCATAGACTTAATTCATGTCATCTGTCAGGCTTGTCATCATGTGAAATCATTTTGTCATTGTGTGTGCTTTGGAGAATGTAACAATTCCTATAGTAGTGAAAACTTTTCTTAAATATCTGAAATTCTCCTCTTTAATCATTTACTCACTTTTACCATGTGACATTTGTTCTTTGATTGACATTTCAGTTATTATATGCACGGTCTTACTTTAACAAACTCTCAAAGAACTCCTGATCACTTTTACCACCACCATGTTTCAGCAGTAATTCTCAGCATTTTTTTGTGTGAGAGTACTTCTCCCTATGAAGTCCAGCCTCACATTTTCTAAGTATATCAGGTGGCTTGTCTTCAAACTTGTGCTCTTCCTTTCTCAGCCTCCCAAGTGCTGAGATTAGGGTATGTGCTACTGTTCCTGGATCCTCAACACGTTTATTCTACAAAAGTTCTATTTCTTTGTTCTTCATTTCTTGAACTATCCACTACATTTTACATGTGACCCCCTCCTCCAATAGGCCTTTGGTTATAAAGGGAAACAACGAACTGTAATATGGGTGAAAGTTTTGAATTAAAAAGTTGAAAAATTGAATTGCCTAAAACATGAGAAGCTCTGATAAGTTTTACTAAATTTGGCACCATTTCTCCCCCCATAGCATTTGAACTACAGACTTTGTAATAATGGAAGATTTTCTTTCTTCAGCTCCTCAACCACCAAAACGGACCCGCCGTCCACGCCCCAAACCTAAAACCACACCAGCTCCTGAGGCTCCTCTAACTAAACCTGGTAAATTGAGTTTCTGGTCACAGAGGTACTTATAGCAGCTCGAGGGAAGCCAAGAGGAATGCCAGTGGTAGAAGTGTTAGCTCGTGTGGCTGAAGGCACCTTGTGATCTGCTTCTGCCACCCCTTCCCTGTGCATAGGGGGAACCATTAGGGACCTGTGTGGCAGCTGATGTGCTTGTGCTCTCTGCAAAAGTATCACCTTACCACATATCTTATTTGTTCCTACTAATTTAATTACATTCCTCTCTTAAAGACAAAAATGTCACAGTGTCATAGGTAGTAGTGCTGTCATGAAAATTCCTGAAAGAGCAGTTAAGGGAAGTTCTTGAAGTAATGATTCAGAAGTTTATATATGACCCAAAAAGCACCAGTGGCCTTCTTATCCATTTAGAACACTCTGTTTCCATGAGGAGAGCAGAGTCTTGTGAGATGTCACCCGTCCTGGTTTGTTGAGCGCCTTTGTCATAAAAGAGAGCTCAGCCCAATGCTACACTGACTTCTAGGATACATGTGACTCACTTGCTGTATCCGTGGCTGTATCTCACACAGAAAAACTGCCTGCTCTATCTGCGCACATTAAGAAATGTTATTTTCTTAAAGCTTCCATACAAAGGTCCATGATCACAGAAGTTGTATCTGTGCAGCTATGGTAAATGTCTAAAATTTCCAGGATACTCCTCTACAGTAGTTGGGATAAGGTGCTCCACATACCCAAAGGAATATCTCCTTGATGTTAAGACACTTAGCACAAAGTATAGGCAGCAACTGAATACTTCTTAAGGAAATGTTTACTGGGGTACAGGGTAACCAAATGGTCAACTAACAAGAATTAAATTCCAGACAGTCTCTTAAACTTGCTCTCCACTTATTCTAGGAAGGGTGCGTTGTTGTCTTACTGACTTTTCACGTTTATGTCATTGTTTTTAATTAGCTGCTGCTACAGATCTTGAACCCAGTGCTCTCAGAACCGAAGAGCCTGCGACTGTGGGTAATGACAATGTGTGTCCTTCCAATAGCAGTGCTTTTCCTGTCGTACTATCCATCATATCACCAGCTCTTCTTCATCTTAGGACCATTTCATCATCGTCCTCTGTTGTCACTCCATATCCATCTTTATCTTGAAGTTATCTTCAGTTCTGTGCTACATTATTAGTCTCATTTATGAGCACCATGCATGAACTAACTTCAGGACATCAAACTGCCATGTAACTCACTACTCAACACTGCGACAGGTGATCATGTACATTTTTATACAGCGCTGACTGACTGTGTGCTTCCATGTGAATCTCCATCTGTCATATTTATGCTGTGTATCCCTTGGCAATTGTGAAAATATGCTTCTTTATTCAGAATGCTTTTGGGTACACTGGAACCTTTGGTGATTTTAGTAGGTTGTCAAAAGATGCATGCTCTTAGAATGTTCAAACACTGTTTCCATGTTAGAGACTCCTTTTCTAGCAGGTTCAACAGTTTTTTTAAACCAATGATCATTTTGAGATTTTGATGAACATATTTCATCAGCTTGTCTTCATATTTTCCAACAATGAACTTTTAATTATATAAGTTATTTAAGCAGTAGACAAAAAAATTCTACATGTAGCCATCTCAGTTTCCACAGAAGCTCAAGAAAGATTACTAAAGCTTTCTTTAGTATAGTTAGAAAGCATCTATCATGTAAACATATAAAAGCCTGACCAACAAAATTATATAATTGTGAGGAGGCAGGCAGTCAAATGTCTAGAAGAATATCTCGTGCCCAGTAATACACAGTTAGCTGTGTACCATGTCTTCTTGCAAGTCCATGTCATGAAGTAGTGGGCACCTAGTCATAGGTTAGCCAAAATGTGGAAAAAGCAATTATCTCTTTTCTGTTAGTTTTGAGGCTAAAGATATTCTCAAAATTGACCTAAAATTGAATTTTTAACTTGTATTTGGTTTATTTTACTCTTCTCTGTCTAGTTCTTGCTACAGCCCTTGAACTTGTTACTCTTAGAACCAAAGCTCCTGAAACAACAACATTAGGTAATAGCACTGTGTTCTGGAATGATTTTTTTCTTGCTTGTTTTCACCTGCATTCCACCACCATTCTAATTTCATTGTCATTTGCTTTATTAGAGAATCTTGTCATCTGCCATCCTTCAATTTCATATACTACTGCTTCTTGAGAATATTAAAGGTTCTTAAAGTTCCCTCTTTTAAAAGCTGTCCATGGGCCTAGAACATTGCTATACTTGTTATCTTATTTGAATTTGTAGTGTATTTTTGTCTAAACAGTGCTTCCATCTAAAGCTGAATTTCAAACTAAGCTAGTAGTGTCTGTACCTAGACAGAGTAAAACACAGCAATATTATGATGTAGTGTATTCTGGGGAATGCTGAAAATTTTCAGTGTCAACCTAAGGTCCTTCTACCAGGATTTTAGCTATAGTTTTGTTTGAGGTTGGAGATCTATGACTCTCTTAATTCACTGATTTAATTTTATGTTTTACATTTCCTTCTTAAGAATCATTGGTGATTTAAAAACAATAGAAAAAATTAACCCCCCAAAATACATGCCCCAAATTTCAAGGAGAGGTATTTTAACCCCAATCTTTGTTTTCAAAACCAGAAGCATGAAATTAATATAAAGTTTCTTCCTTCAGCTTCCAAAGTACCACGGACACGCCGTCCACGTCCCAGACCTAAAACCACAGCAAGTACTGATATGTCTGAGTCCAAGTCGGGTAAATGTGGAATGCCTGCTTTAAGGGCTGCTAGAAGTCTGTCCTGGATGGGCCCCAAAGTCATACCAGCAATGGGAAGCTGATGTTCTCGTGCTCTTTAGGAAACTAAACATTGGGTCCAGTTAATAGCTGCTCCCTAAAGAGCTTTCCATATTAGCATAACTTAGGGAAATATGTTATTCCCAAGTAAGTTGGTTTGGATTAAGTTATTCTATTTAAAGATGAGTCGATGGCAAGATTAGCATTATTCACTCATGGTTATATATTAGCATTGAAACAGAAGATCTGTTGCTGTAGCCTTGGTTATATAAGCAGATAAATTTTTCAGCTTTCAAGAAATACAACAGTCTGCTTCCATATATACTCTTACTCATACTGCTTAAGAAAATTCCCAAAGTTATCTTCCATATTAGTTGTAACCAGAAAACTGTGTACCTAGGAATCTCTTATGTGGACATAATTAAGAAATATGTAGCCAAGGTCTAAGCAACTGACTATTTTCCAAAACTTTTTGACTACTGTGACCAACTTTTCAGAAAGCAACTGTTTGCTTCCTGTTAGTTCTAGAATTTAAAAACATGTTTGTCATTTGAAACTTTTGTTTTGAAAGAAAGTTTAAGGCATTTTGTGGGTGTTAATATTTCTCGTGTTCATCTTGTTCTGGACTTTGAACTTGATATTCATAGTACTGGGTCTCCAGAAACAACATTGGATAATGATTTTTGTGACATTCAGTGAATGTTTTTTTCTTTCTGGTTAAAACCCATCTGCTGCCATGCCAACATTGTTCATGCTTTGTAAGATTGTGGTTAGGATACAATTTCATACTTTATAGTCAGTCATAGAAACTCTAGTGTCACCTACCTGTCATTTATCAACCATCCTTAGAACCACTGGATGATATCAATATGCCATGATATTCTCTTTAAAAATCAAGAGGTCCATACAATTGCTTCTCTCTTTGGTGGTTAGATCTATAAATCTACAATAATTAAGAGACATAACCTCCCTCTGTGAAGAACTTACTTTCCATAAAATCAGTGTGTTTATTATTATTCTCATTTTAAGCCATGAGGTGTCCCTATTGTCAATAAAATAAGTTGTGCACTGGAAGCTTAAAGTTCCAACATCACTGATGAGTTCCTCCATGGTTTACTGGTACCTCTTGCTCTTTACTAAGTAGAGACCTTGCTGGGAATCCATGAGTATAAAGATTTGTTGCTTTAACAGATGAATGTTGTGCCTTGGGTTTCTAGTAGAACCCCAAATGAAGCTCAGTAACAAATGAATAATTTCTTTCCAAGGAGGATGCCTCAAATCATAAGTCAGCAATTTCACTCTGAGAAGGGTTAGATAGTAAAAGTTTCTGTCTTTGTGGGTCTTTTATTCTTCATCACAACTGTTTGTTTCTGCTGTTATAGGTGAGAGACAATTATATTAGTATGTGAATAGATATGCCTTTGATCACTATGGCTCATGCTGTATCCATATTCAATAAGACTTTAAGTTTCATGCCATTTTCACATAAATATTGGCCATTTTCCCCTTCACTTAAGTTTAAAAAGATACTTACAAGCTAACTTAAATCCTCTTTTTCTAGCTCCTACTGAACTGCAAACTCTTGTTTTGAAACCAGTGACTTCACCAAGCCTAGAAATGGCACAAACCCAATCTGGTAAATTGCTTGATTGTCGGGCTGCAGTAAGAGTTTCAGAAATATACCCTAATGCCCTCCATTTTGTACATTCAAATATAAAAACTTCTCTATCCATGGTTGCACATTGATGTTAAATTAATAATACTTTATCCTCTATTATTGCAGTGAATACAAAATATCTAGCTTTGTTTCATTGAGCTTACTCTTAATCTTTTGGAGAACAATCACATAACTGATTAAGCAGTCAGTAAAACCTTTGAGGACCGATTATATGTCTTCTTAATTTTATCTACAGTTATAAAGGTGTGGCTATACTAAGCAGCAAGCTAAATGTGTGCTCAGCCACTTAAAAGAATGCTAGTTCATTTGTAACCATTGAAGAACCAAAACAACATTCTAATAAAGATTCTTTTCAAGTTCCTTAAGTATAGAGAATCTTTTAAACATACTGTCTTTCAAGTTACAAACAAAATTTGAATGCCATTGTTAGAAATACAGATGTTCTCTAAAGCTTACTTTTGACAAATTGCATTCCTTTTTTTAAATAGGATTATCATTTCTTTATTTTATCTTTTAGTTAGATGAGATGATAGTTTGGTACTCCTACTGAAGATTTAAGGTGTGTTTATTGACAATAGCCAAAGCAGTTATCATGTTGTAGATTCAAATCAAGTTATTAGGGTTTCCTTTAGTGCTCATGCTAATATAATTGATTTTGCCAGAACCAGGCAACTTAATCACTTACCAGGTATCCAATGCTCTTCTGAATAGTTAATCTGATTTACCTAATGACTACAGCAGCATGTCTTTGACTAGTTTTACCATTGTTTCATTTGTTAGTTTCTGATGACCTGGAATTTGTTGCGTTTAGTACTGAATCACCACAGAAGACAATAGGTAAAAATGTTCCCAATGGGAAATTCTAGAATATGTGCTTTTCCATCTCATCTCATTGCAAAATGCATCATTGGTTGTTGTCATGCTTTGTGACATTTCATAGCCACCTGCTCCTCGTGTCTTCTCTGTCTATCCAATGGGTCTTCAGAGCCATCATGAATATAATAGCAACTTACTCTAGGTAGTATCTGCTATATTACAATTGAAGTCTCATAGTTTCCACTCAGTTAAGGAAATTCACAATTTGAAAATCCTAATTATTCTTTGTATATGTACACATGAATGTGTACATATGTTGACATGTAATTTATCATTTTCATGTTTCCAAAGTACTCATCCTATAGCTTTTTTCCTTACTAAAATATTTATGCAAAAATATGTAAGGAAGACAAATTGCCTACTCTACTCTGAATAATAATTGCTGTAATGGACCCTGACCGTCATGTATATGTGTGTGTGTATGTATGTGTCTATCTGTCTATCCGTCTTTGTTTCCCACACAGCAAGCATCACTTCATTTTTACTCTTCTAAATTGCAGCAATGTTCATAATCTAGATAACTATCCTGTATTTTCAGTTCAATTCAGGGTTCCATGGCAACCACTTTGTACTGCCCACCACTAACCAGCCATTTTGTATTTCTTCCCCAGCACCAACTGAAACAGATTATGTAGATACTGCTACCAAAGAACCTATCAGGCCAGAGGAGCCAAGGACAGAAGGTGGTAAAGCCTTTCAAGCAATGATTCACTTATTCTGCTATATAAACTATAGCACTTGATTGAACAGATTTGAAGAGCTATACTTCCAGTCCACCTATCAATCCACCTACCTCACCCCCACTCCTTACTAGGGATCAGTTTAGGGATTCACATGTATTCTAGTGTGCTTTTGCAATGAACTACATATACCACCAGCGCTAATATTCTTGGAGTCTTAAAATTAACTTGATAGTAGATGTTCTCTGAAAAAAAGTCCTATTTGTTAGTATCCAAAGATCAAGGCATAATCACATTTGAAAGTCAGTTGTTGATAAAATATGAATATTGGAGGTTTAATACTGTGAAATATAACTTTCTTCCTTTTGTCCTATCTAAAAGACATTGTCTTGTCTGAAAAATTATGATGTAAATCCTTGAGAATGAGGTTGTGGATATTCAAGAACACTTGTAGCGCTGAGCATCTTACCATTTTAAAACCCATTCTCCTTTGTTTTGATACAGTTGTGGAATCTTTTACACATGTGTCTGAGCTTCCTGAGACCACACTAGGTAATGATATATTCAGCAACACATGTCTGTATCCTCTGTCTTCATTGCATCATCACTCAAGAGTCTCAAGATCGCTCTTATTGTGAATTCGTGTGGCACTTGCTTTCTCTGTCATTGAATTTTCTTCCCAGCTGTTTCTATTCATAATCATTGTCTAAAAAATGTCTTTTCATGTAGCATCATGATCTTGGTCTCTTCTTATGTCAGTCAAATTGTTGAATATAAAATATAGCATTTTCCCTAATATTGAACTCACTGCCATCTCAATACTATTTGACTGAGGATCATGATATATTCAAGTTTACTGCCTTACAGATGTACTTCCCATTAATAGCCTGTCCATCATGTTTGGTTCTCTATTTTCTGTCATCCAAGTAAAAGTCTATACTTGTTAGCTTGTTTGTGCTGCAATTTTAAAGTTACCTTTTCCCTTCATAGTTCTTATTGAATATATCATTCAAGCATTACTAAGGAGGTGGAGATTTTTGAAGCATTGATATAACTTATCTCAAAAGTATTTTGCAATCTAATATCTATCCTTTTTTAATAGAATGAGTTATGAAACAGTATGGAAATGCTGATTTCCTGAGAAATTTTTGCCATTTTCTTTCTTTCTTTTTTTTTTTTTTTTTGGACATCTGTTTGTTACCATCCTGAGTGTTGTCTGTAATCCGAGTGTGTCTAGCCCTATAGTAACCCCATTATACTTTCCTTCAATTACCATAGAAACATCACCTCTGCCTTCCCAATCTATAATCCTACCCAGACCAGATGAGCCTCAGACTGAACCTGGTAAATAGACTATTTTGCATTTCATATATGAGGTGAGTGTTTGCAAAATAGCAACATGACCCATCCATCAGAAGCCCCGGCATCATTCATGTCCGCCTTTGATGGGTGAGCCTGCCTTTCTGATATAACATCCTTCTGCTACTATCACAGTCTCTCTCTCAAATGGCATTGTGTAAACCTTTAGCATAATGTTGAAAATTACTTCTCCACTACTCTTCAAGGTTTTAGTTCAGGAAATAGAAATATTTAGGAGAAAGCATGCATGTTCTATTCTTTTTAAATATATACATATGTATATATATATATACACAAATATATGTGTGTGTTTGGATTACTTTGTCATCTTGACCAACTTTATAACTGTAAAGTATTTTGAGATAGCTTACTCATGTTTGAAGTTATACAATACTGACAGAAACAGATCTTGGTGATAATCCACATTAAGGGGAATTGATCAGTTCTCTTGAGATTATTCAGAGGCCTCACTACCATCCACTCCTTTCAATGGTCTGGCATTTATTAAACTATTAGTTATAAAGTTTTCCTTGATGATGGAATTTGATCTGAATGAAGGCAAATCACCTTCATGGATAATAAAATTTCTGCAGTACCTAGTTTCCATAGGAGATAACCATCATTAGGTTCAGGCTTTTGTTCCAGTTGTCATTGAACTACTTTTAAGCCAGGGGCAGAGTTCATGTCTATAACACCAGAATCCTATGGGCCTGAAACAGGAGGGTTGCTATGAGTTCAAGGTCAACCTCAGCTACACAGTAAGATACTGTCTCACACGCCTTTCTCTAAAAATATTGTATATGTCTCTATTTCCAAAGGAGGTAGGATATTAATTTTCATCATTATATTCCAAAACACTTATTAAACAGTGTTGCCTAATAAATGTCACAATTTAACTTTTTACCAAAATTCTACACTGACTACACAGTGGGATCTATTTCATATCAGTTAGAACTACTATTGCCAAAAATTGTTTTAATAGCCTATTAACATATTGTGGAGTGTCTAACTTTATATACTACCTGTGATTTTGTTTTTTACTCTTGTTTTTGTTTTATGAGGATAAATGCTTGTTATATAGCCAAGGCTGGCCCAGAACTCAAGATTCTCTTGCCTCAAAATCCCTAGTAATGGAATCACAGCAATGTCTGGCCAGTAGTCAATAGATGACATTTGGAATTGCTTCTCAATGTGCCTTTGTCTTTACATAGTCTTTTGTGTCCTGGGAAAGCAAATAGCACATTAGTTAGGACCTCAGCAAGGAAGGGGCCTGAACCACGATATCACTAATATGCTCAAATAACTATTTTAGGATTAGAACACTTCTTAAACATCGTGGTAGAGACTGTGTTCATTAACCCTGATTAGCAAACGATGCTCTAAACCACCAGGTGATTAAACCAAAATAACCTCTTGTGTATCTTGGACTTTATCTCTTCACAGGTCAGAGAAGTACACTCAAACCACCACACCCCTTGTATATTTCCATTTATTATCAGGAAGCAGCCCACCCTGCAGACTCATGCACAAACTTCCAGTGTCTAACAACTTGTTTTTAATGAATGTTTCCTAAAGGTCCTCAAACATTATATTACCACCAGTTTGTTTCTTCTTATTAAGCTTCCAATGCCAAATCATTCTTATTTTCAGCAACGTTTTTTCTTAAGGTGTCTAAAACTGCATGCCACTGTGGATACCATTTTTTGTGTTCTGATCTTTGTTTATCCCACACACATTTTAGTTCCATGTAAGGCAGTGCTCTCAGAGGCTGCAGCCCCAGACCTGATCATTCCTTCCCATTGTTAGGATATACTTTTAATTTTCTCACTGAAGAAAACAAATGATTTTTGTATCAATTTCTCTAGAGCCTTCCTCAGAACCTCTCCCCTGAAGGAATACTGCTCAGCAGAGAAATCTCTTTGGTGTTCAAGTTTTCTTCCCCGGGATAACAAATAAAATTGTGCTTTGTTTAGTAAGATTAATTTTTCCATCAGACTTGCTGTTTACATCATTCTGCTTGAATTTTTATCATGGTAATTTTTTCATTTAGAAAAGATGTGTTTGTACTTCAAGAATATACCAGCATATTCATGATGACATATAGATTAATAATGAGATGACTTTTTGTATACTTTATTTTTAATGTATTTAAGAAGTATTTGAGGTAGGTATTTCTAAAACAGCAACAGTTCTCTTTTGTAAGTTGAATACTTGAGTTATGTTTAATCTGTCTCTTTTATCTTGTGACCATAATCTCCTCCTCCTTTGCAGCTCTCTGGAGGTTTGGGCAGCAACTCTTGGCTTTATTTATCATCACTCAGGAAATACCTTTGAACTTCTAGAAAACACTGATAGTCTTGAAAGGGTCAAGGGCTGCAAATCTGTGAATCTGTGTCTTTCTTTTAGCTCCCAGGCAGACACCCCGCCCTCCTCCCAAGCTCAAAACAACACCACGCCCAAGAATCCCACCACAACCACCAGGTAACTACCAAGTTTATGCGTTAACTTCTAAGACTTAAAGTTAGTGAGTTTCTCCATTACAGCAAATTGAGTTTTTAGCAATTGCCGAAGAAGGCTCCCTTTCCTTGGTAACCTTAAGTATTTGTCATTATTCCTAGACTTAATCAGAAAGCACATCGCTGGGAGAGCTTAATCCATAAAGCTTTCTGAACCTTACTGTTTCGAATGGGAATGGCGGAGAGCGGGTTTTCTTAGAAGAGCTGCTTACTCCCTTTTCCCTACAATTTTAGACTGTTTTCCTGACATTTCTGTTGTCCCAGAATGTGCTCCCATTAGCCTGCCAATCACCCAACTTAAATGAGCACTAATCTGAGTCCTGCTTCCAAAACTTCCCTGAAGTCCATCTACCCACTAAATCAGGAATGGAATGTTACTGTGACTAATGGTCCACAAGTGGGTAAAGAAAATATTTATTAACATTAATATTAGCCTTGATCCAGGTGGTAATTTTTGAATCCTACCAGTAATAATTTAAATAATTTCAGGATCTGTTATTGCTTTAGGTATGACCTCTAATATTTGATTCTGTTTATTACTCTTTATTAAAAATATTGATTCAAAGACTATATTCTGTATCTCACTAATAATTAAAAATCTGCAGTATTTTGTCTATTATTAAATCTGTTCATATTGGTTACCAAACCTTATTGTAAAAACAACATTTTGAGATAAAGGTACAAATGCAAAATCCCTCCAAAGAATTACAAATTTTATATCACAATGAATACTTAGAATGTTGAGAAATGTGGAATCCTGGTAAAATGTTTATTGATTAATTAAGAAATAATAATTAGTGAATAAAACAGGGATAACTATGTTAAAAATTTTAAAACTCTTATTAAATGAATCAAGTATGTTAAATTTGTTGTATAAAACTTATAATCTAACTATAAAATTGAATAGTTGTTAAAATTACATGGCAAATAGGCATCAAGATTTTACTGAACATACAGCATGAGTAATAGAAAAGGATAAGTGAAAATTTTAAAAAAACAAGAAATAGTAGGAGTTCAAACTTCCAGACTATAAATTCCTGATTGCAAAGTTAGGTGAGGGGACATAAACTACTAGGAAAATATATTGATGATTTTATCTTTTTGAAGAAGACGTTGCACTTAATAAATTTCAGTGCAGTAAATTAGGATCCTGCTGTGATTTCCTATTGTTAAACCATAAATTCTAAATTTGTTTTAAGTTAGCTCTTTCACCAACACAAAATGATAGATGAGCTCAGAATGAGTAGGACTAACCCAGTTTACTCTATGTTCACTCTGGAATGCTGGAGGAGTTATCAGCCTATCCACAGAGGGGCTCTTGGTTCTTTTCCCATGGAGGTAGCTTCTAGTCCATCAGTCTCTTCAGTGGACAGCAGCTGTAACCAAATGCTTCTGACCTTTTCAGTGGTATTCGACATCCAGTGGTGTGAAAATCAAAATGTATTATACTGATGGCTTTTTTGTTTGTTTGTTTTTTACGAGACCAGGTTTCTCTGTATTGTGTTGGAGGCTGTTGGTCCAGCCCGGCCTCGAACTCACAGAGATCTGCCTGCCTCTGCCTCCCGAGTGCTGGGATTAAAGGCGTGTGCCACCACCGCCCGGCCTATACTGATGTTTCGTAGTGATAGAAGTTAACTCCCTCTGTTTTAACATGACGGTATGATTCTTTAAAAACAGGTCCAAATAACACAGTAGGTTTTCAAGGACACGTGCATGTGCGCATAAGTACCATAAAATAGTGTTGTCTTGCATTTTTACTTACTTAGTGTGCATGTTTTTGTGCAAATACACACTCACACTCGTGTGTGAATGCACATGTGTGCCTCTGCACAAGTGTAAGAGTCAGAGGAAAATGTTGGGAACTTGTTCATTTCAAACATGTCAGTTTTGAATATCATACTCAGGTCATGGGGTTTGGTGGCAAGAGCCTTTACTCACTGAGCCACCTTGACAGCCTCATAAAATGTATGAAAATTAAGTATTTCAATCTGATTATGACAGACCCCGTAGGAGGAGTGGAAGGGGTTGGGAAGATGGTACAGAGAGTGGGAGGACAGGAGGGAGAGGGGCTGGGATTGGTACATAAAATAGATTGTCTTAAAAATAAGAGAAAATAAATGTAAGTATTTCAGATCTTAGTTTCTCATCTGTTGCCTTTAACTATCAGAAGCCACCACTGTGCATAATCAGTTGTCTATATGTCCACCACCACTACAGTGTATCTCAGTGCACAGCAGAATGTTGTTTATCTACCCTTTTTTTCAGTATAAGATTTTATAAATTCATATTTGTATTTGCTTCTTCAAGATAAAATAGAACTTAAAATTTGGAACAAATCATGACTATTTTATAAGCCAGTAAAGCAAATAAAGTTCTGTGCTCATAGGTAATAATGACCCTAAATTAATTTAATACTTAGAGATCTTATAACCATCAAAATTATGAGCTCTACTAGTTTTTGTAGAAGTAAAATAAAGTTTAAAAAAAAAAGGTATAGTTAGCTTTTTTGGTGCCAAAGTTATGAAGGTCCCAGGGAAGCTGAAGAAACTTTAAGTTATCATATCATTTTGACATTTCATGTTCGAAGCTTACTCTCACCTTGTAGTGCAGGTGTTTTATTTCCAACTAACAATAAGGAGCAAAACAAAGTGACCCAAAGAACTGGGGTTCTGGAAGGCCTGGGTGATCATGTCTGGCCCCTTGAGTCTGCCGCAACTCTTGGCTCTAGCACTTAATGTGACCCCAGTCATCAGCCCAAGTCAAGCAAGCACATCTAGAAAGAGAAAGAAGCCCTGTATTAACTTGATTCCTGTCTCATCTGGCATGAAGATTAAAAAGAAGAACAACAGAAACCTCTTTATCCTGGTGTTTTGTCAAATGTGATTTCTCAGACTTCATTTTCCAACAAGGAATTTTCATTGGATTTCTACCTGATCTATTTCTAAACCTTATATTCACTTTTCTGTCTGACTCTATGGCTACTACCTTGTTTTTATGACAGTTGAAACTTATTCCCCATCAGGACTGATGTATTAGCATGACTAAGAAACCAGGAACCCTAGTGGCTCATGATCTGAGTTCTCTCTTCCAGTTCCTAGGGAATACCAGCATACAACTTCAAAACCAAAACTGCCACCACATCCTGAAGTGACAGACACTATATCTGGTAAATATCTTATTTTGTGTTTAAGCTAAATGTGCCCTGCTGTCCCACACAGAGGGACTGAAACAGCTGAGGCATGTGAGATTAATTCAGTTGTATAATTGTATCATGCATCCTGCTGGGTTTTATTTTTAGAGGTGTCTCAAGAGCTGGGATTAACATGTGAAGGAAACTTGTTTCTAATTTAAATTTTAAAAAAAGAATTCTAATTGTACATGTACTAAAACAATTATTACAACAAAAAAAGTAGAGAAGTACACCAAAAACAGAATGTTTTTCCTAGAACCAAAGTTTTTTTGTTTGTTTTACTGTTGGTAAGTTTTGTTAGGGTTGCTGGAACATTTGAGCAATTTTATAGGTAGAGGAGATGAAACTCAGGGAAAGATAAATATGAACTAATGATAAAACTATCGGATAGAATGGTTGAGTGTATCTCAGTAATAGAGCATTTGGATGACATGCCCATGGCCCTAGTACTGAAAAAAAATTGCATACTTTTGACTGGACAAGATACAGTCACAGTGCTTGGGAACTGGAGCCAAAGGGATCAGGAATTCTAAGTCAGTCTCAGCTATATAGTGTGCTAAGACCTGTCTGGACTACGTGGAACTCCGTGTCAAAACCCAGGACTGGCATAAATAACAGAAGCTAGCATGCCGTAAAAGAGATGGAAGCCGGTGGCCAGTAGCACAAGAGAGGCCGAGGTAGTGTCATCCAGAGGGGTGGGAGTCCTGCCCCTCTCATGCTAGCTGTAAAGCCGGGAAGCTAGAACAGACAAATGGGGAGTCTTGAGGTGAAAAGACCACAGTGTCTCGCATTTTGCGTTTCTAAGGGGGGTGATCTGGTTGCAGCCCATGGGCGGGGTAAACCCTCTTAAAGACCATATTCTATCCGCTTTCTCAAATAGTTTTGATTTTCTCACTGAGCTCTAGTGAAGCAGCCATGCACGTGAATTTTACCTTTGTCCCTACTTGACATTACCTACTCAGAAGTGACTTTTAACAATGAAATCTCTTTAGAGACATCCAGTTTACCTAAAAAGATGGTTAGCACAATTGGTTAGACACTTGCTATTAATGATAAATTGGTTAACTAATGGTAAATCCAAGGAAATCAAAACTGCCATCACAAACAAATTATTGTCATCATTTCTGTTGATGAGCTGCCCTTAGCATGCAGGGCAGGCTTTAGGGATTCTAATCTTGTTCGATTATGGGAGAAAGCCACAAAGGGGGGATTTTTGATTTGGTTAGTTGTGGTGGATCAAGTAGAACACCATTCACGGGCCTTTCCTGGAAGTCCTTCAGCTGCTTCACTCCGTTCCACCTGCATTAGCAAATTTGCTCCGCAGTTTATTAAATCACCACTTCACCGATGGCAAGGAAAGAGCCAACGTTAGCAGCTGGAACCCACATCAGCCTCTTCTGAAGGCTTCACTGAGTGGAAGCAGCAGCGGCTGATGAGTTTACAGTATGGCGGCTTTGTTAGGAGCACATCTTCCCCTCCTCAATCCCTGCTCTCCTGCGTTGAGTCCAGTCCTGGAATTAATAGGCATTTATTGCAGTCTTAGAATCTTCATCGTCTGTGTAGAGCTAAATCACAGTGCCGCCTTCTTCAGCCTCCAAGTAAATGTTGAGTTTGATTTAAAGTTGGAAATGTATTTCCCAAAACACCAAGTGTAAAGGGAGGAAAGTTTGATATTGTGGTGGATTTTCTTCAACTTTATGAACTACTGATTCTTTTCTATAGTATATAAGTAAGTAAAAGCATTAGACTTTCAAATTCCCCCCTGGATTTTTCCCCTTTAAACTCATGAATGTTCTGATCAGTCTGGCCTAGAACTCACATAGGTCTTCTTGACTCTGCCTTATAGGTACTGGGATTAAATGCATGTTCTACCATGCCTAGCTTAAGTAGAGTCTTTAATTATTCAGTATACCAAATTCCACAACTGTAATTGAGTCAATACTAGCCTAGAGTAAGAACAAATGTGACATGTAAGTTAAACCATCCCTGTAACCCCAGTCAAGACAGGGATGCCCATTCTAGACAACCTATTTTAAGTTGTCTTTAGCTGCCTCAAGGTGTGAAGGTTTCCTCACCATCATCCTGCCTGAATCCTAATTTTTAAAGCTTCTGATAAGATACAAGACAAATCACATTGCCTACCACAGAGACACTGGTGCTCTGTAAATCCTCGGTGTGGGTGGAACACTTTGCTTCAAGAGAGTAGGCCTAGGTGAGGCTGCCTCATAAGGAACTGAGTTCAGGAAGTAGCCTGCCCTTGGGTAAGGTTTTAGATTAGAGATCTGATATGAGTAAGAGGACATCATTCTGGTATTTCCCCCAGTAAGACAGTCGGTGGCCACCATGCTCCATTTTGTGAACATAGAGCACAACATTCAAACTCTACTGCATGCCAGAGACTAATGTGAGACTAATGTGAGACTATTATTTAGCCTAGTTTATCAATATTCTTATATGTCAGGCATGCATAATACCCAGTACACAAGAAGCCATGCTACTAAGGAAGGCAGAAATTGGCAGCAGTGTGTGTTTGTCTTGCATTTATTCTGTACCGACCACAATCATGAATTTTGCATGCAGCCTTGTCTGATGGCCAGCCATTAGTTCCATTTTGCTTTTTCTTTCCACAGTAACTTTTGAGTGTCAATTGCAATGAAACTTTGTCCCCTTCATAGGTTCTCAAGAGTTTTGTCTTTTGTCGTAGTGAGTCTGTGAACCGTTTATTCACTTATCTAATATATTTTCTCTTGCTATCTGAATTTTAGTGAATATCAAATGACAGCTACCTCTTCAGTTCAAAAGCTTTCTTTTTGAAAGCTTTGAAAACAACCTAAGGGGAACCTACCTCAATGTGTCTAGATTATCCATTTCCTTTCTATTTTTCTTTCCTTTTGAAGGAGGCTTCAACATGAACTATGACCAACTTTATGTCTGTTCACTATAATCAGACCCTTATCTAGGAAGTTCTAGTTTCCATTCTGAAAGAATGGTCTTTCCTACTAAAGCCTGGTTCCATAGCCTTTGCATCCTTCATGGTTCAGGGATTTTTACATATGAGGATTATGCTCATTCCAATACTCTACAGTGGTTTGTAATTTTTTTCTTTCAGTTCCAAAGGATGAACAACTTTCCCGTAAAACAGACCCTGAGGTCTCTCACAGTGAAACTGGTAAAAACATTTGCTTTTCCTAGTTGTAAAGTATATTTATATTTTCAAAATCCTGATATATTAAGGGTCATGTTATGAAATATATGTTTTCTTGGAAGAAGTTCAATCATATAATCCCATTAAAAGTTTTTTCCTGGTTAAATAAAGGAAAGTTTACATAATAGCTTTATTTGCTTTGGAAATGTTTTTACTGATTGTGCTGAAATTATACAACTTATTTATTAGCAGAGATAACTTTTATACTCTTTTATGGGTTCTAAGCCTGCTCATCATGTTTTCCTCAAAATGATGGTTAACTAATTTCCCTGAGTAGAATTTAGTAGAACTTTCTCATATTTATTATGACTCTTAAAAGGATATTCAAGTTTTTAGAAACTGTATCTAGAAAAGGACTAATTTGACTTTGTTGTAGTAATTTTCATAAATGTTTCTTTGGTTTACTTTTGGCATAGTTCTGTCTCCTGTCACGTTTAGAGCTGAGCCATCGAAGACAACTATAGGTAATGCTTTTCTCATATTAACAACCAGCTTGCTTATTTTCTTTGTTATTGTCAAGATCACAGGCCTTTCTGGAATGATCGCTGACTGAAGATTTACCTCTTCTCAGTTTGTTTCATGATGTCATTCTCACTGTGAACACTGCTTCTTATAAAGAAAAACATGGTTTCAGTATTGAAAGGTTTTGCTCTGAGACAGCACAGGATGGCTCTTTATGGAGCTCGCCCTTATCTACCTCATTCATCTACATGATTCCACACTAGCATATGTCAAGAGCTTGGAAAGATGATGCAGGAAGTTAGTAATTTCAACAAAATATGAATGCTGCCATTGATTTGCTAGTCCGACTAACCAGAGCAGATTCAAAAAGCTCATCCCAACAGTTTTGTGACCCTCTTTGCTTTGGGGTGGTGGGTAGAGAGACAGAGCTACAACTGGAAGACCAGGAAGGAGTCCTAAACACCCTCCATCTTCGTAGGTCTCCTATGCAGTGGGCCAAACACAGAATATCAATTATTCTGCCTTCTGGTAGAAAACAGCTAAGAACCATTATGCTAACAATTGTCTTTCTCCTGAGAGTCCTGTACACACTAACTTTCTTCTTTACCACTCATTGGATGGTTTCCTCTTTATAATTCAAATGAAGCTCTCTCTGGCCATACCATTCTGGTTTATGGCTGGCTTTGACTTAAAGGTTTACCAATCTTAGTACTTTCCTTTTGCAGCACCTTTAGAGACAAGAGACATTCCTTTCATACCTGTGACTTCACCACGACCTAGTCAAGAGGAACTACAAACCGCCCTGGGTAACTTATGTTACTTTACTTCACAAGGGACTTATCAGTTAAGGATTGCACTTAAAGTTATATGCTCACTTTTATTAAACTTTTTCATTGCATGGTTTTCCATACATGCATCTTGGCAGTCAAGTTTCAAGTATAGTCAGCTCTCCTGAATCAAAACTACATTTTAAACAATTGTAATGAAAGTAATCGGGTGTATTTCTTGTCACCCCTCAAATGGTCTAACACAGGAACTATTTCCACAGCATTTTCATCTGTTTATACTACAAGCGATCTAGAGAGGACTTTATAATAGGACACCTGCAGAGCTTATAACCTGCCTGCAGAAGACAACGGATCCAACAAGAAAATGGTTGATGTGATGTGGACCTGCTTTTGAGGATTTCAACTTAAATATATCCACAACTGTAGAAACAAATTTGCTGAGTCATGACTGAAAATTATGGGAAAGTTCCCCAGATAGTGTTTTTTGGCTCCTTAGTTCTCTGCTTCCCACACCCTGCAAAGTCCTTTTTTTCAGTAGTCTTATTTTCTTCTCTTTATCCCTTTTTCAAGTAAATTCATCATCATCGTGTGTGTGTGTGTGTGTGTGTGCGCGTGTGTGTGTATGTGTGTGTGTTTTAAAGTAGCTGACTATATTTTCAAATGAAGTCCATTTGAAAGAAAAAAATATTTAAATGGAATGAACAAATATACCCTAATGATTACCAATATAAAAATCATTCTAGCCTCTCACTGTGCAGTTATGAAATGATAAAGTTACAAGTACTTTACAAAAATTATTAATATACTGATCATCTAATTTTTGCTTCCCCTTTTAAATAATTCTTCTTGGTTTATTGAATAAAGAGCTATCACCTGCCAACTATCACTAATCTCTTTTCTAAAAATTGAATCAAGAGAATAAACTGGGCCAGGAAAAAGAGAGTAATATTAACTGCCATCAGCTGTTTCCTTGATTTTTACGGTGGCAGAATAAACAGCATATTATGCTTTGCCATTATGATGTAATAAGTTCAGGATATTATGAGGATAGTACTTATTTTGCCAAGACAAATGTCTGAATGTCAATAAGCAAAATTTTCATTTTGACACATAGAAAATAAAAGGATGTCTTCTAAGACTGAAATAACCATCTTTTCATGTGATCTCTTCATTTTCTACATATAAATTGTGGAGTTTGTGGAGTGAGGAAGAGACATAAAGACAGATACATAGATATTAAAGGCATTTTTCAAACTTTGGCTACATCAAAGGATAGCAATGTCATCAAACAGCTATCTCAGGCCTTTAGCTCAGGGATAGGACACTTGCCTGGTTTACATGATAGCCTGGCTTCAATCCATAGTATAGTAAAACCACAAATCAGAAAAATGATCCTGCTCCAAAGCTGCCTTGTCAGTCCTATGACAATCACTAAAATAATAGGACAACAAAGATAACAAGTCATCAAAATATGCATTTGCTTTAAGTTACTACAGAAAGGGCATAGAATAGCTTGGTTGTTGCTTTTTACTCTGCTCTTTGTTGTGTTCATAGCGATGGCTATTAGAAACAAGGTGTCCTACTTTGTTTTTTCCTAGAAGAAACAGACCAGTCTACTCAGGAGCTCTTCACAACTAAGATTCAGCAAACAACAGAAGTGGCAAAGACAACTCGGGGTAATGCTGTTTCTCCACCCTTGGAGAAAAATTTTTCCTTATTTTCCTTTAATCAAGAAAGAAGTTTTGCTTTCAGATGATGTTGCCTCACCACAGTGAACTACTTGGCTGTTTTCGCATTAAAGATGGAGAACAACCTGAATACCACTTGTATGCACAGCTTCTTTGGCCAGTGCTTTGGATGTCTCCTTGGCTGCAGGATGCTGATGACTAAAGCTCCTAGGTGTTTTCCCCTTGCTGAACCTTCACAGGCCGGACTTTATCTCTGATAAATAAGGAAGACCTCCATCTTCCTACTTTCCTTTCCTCTCCCATCTCCTTTATTTTTTTGCCTTCTCTCATCTCCCAAACTGGAATAAAACCCATTGGTAGTGTGAGCTGAGAAAATCTATTATTGAGAAAAATCGTTTTTTAAATATTGAGAGTAGCTAGACATTTAGGAACGTGTTTCCTGTAATGCCCTGTCTCTGGGGAAAAGAGCTCACCTGCACACTTAGTCTTCATATTCTCAGAAGTCTTTTCCCTTACAGTGTCTTACCTAATTGGGTTATAAGTATTTGCTGGTTTTCCAATGCTGTAGCGTTGTTCTTACTGCTGTTTTTGAATGATCCTTTTCACTCATTGGTATTAAATGGCAGAAAGCCAAAGCAAATAAAACAAAAGCAAACTCAAAGGAACTGGAAGACAGATACTTTGTTCCGTCCATAATCAATTCTAATTTGAGGGAGAACATTGATGGATGAAGTCTGAAATCAACAAGAGCCTAGATTACCTGCTTGTAATCCCAGGCTTTGGGAGTCAGGACAGGAGGATGGTGAGTTCAAGGCCAGCCTGGGAAAATTTAAAAAGACAAAATACAAAGGAAGGAAGGAAGGAAGCGTAATAAGTAACAGCAAGAAAAATGATAACAAATAAATGTATTTTGTGGCAGATCCTTTCTCATCAGAGTGAGAGCCTAAGCCAATGCGAGTAGGCTGAGTGTGGTACAACTCTAAACCTTGTTTACTTGGAACTTTTTAATTTTACAATTCAGAGTTTATACAATATTTAGTAGCCTCTTATCTGTGTATAAGCATACAAAGAAATAAGTGCCAGGGCAGCCTTCTCACGCCCCCTTTGTCAGATTCATCCATTGATGACACCCCATCAACTAGGTAAAACCACAAGTCTCCCTGACTTTTGTATTTCATTTTTTATTGTTTTGAAAATCACTTTACTGTCTTGAATGACAACATTATCCTCACGCTCAAGCAGTGCAGCTCTTGAACAAAACATATAAATATTTATAATACCATGTAACTCTTCAACCAAATATATAAATATTTACAATAAGGAAGGAAAAATAAAATAAAGAGACAGGTAAAGATGCTCTTTCAGCTCTGCTTTTGTATTTCCAAGTGAGAAAAAAAATCAACTTTCTGCGGCTTCCTGGATTCCAGGTTAAGGGTTTAAAAAAAACAATAGATCTGATAGGTTTGTGCATTCCTTACTTTACTTTTGTATTTTGTGTTAAAGATTTTTTTCAAATTTCTTCTAAAGCAATTTTACTAGATAGGAATTTTATGGGTTATACCAAGTTTCATGAAGGATCTTATATCATGATCAGAATTGATTTAGTACAATTGTATAATATACTCCAGTTTTTTTCTGGTGTCCAGAGAATTCTTAGTTTGAGGCTCTGTTCTGCTATCCTAAGATTTACGTTTTCCTGGTTTTGTCCCAAATCTTTTGCTAGGCTCAGCAGGAATGCATTTACATGAGATATCAAATAATAACTAGGAAGGAATCCGTCTTCAGGAGAAGAGGAACACCCAAAACCGGTGCCTTTCAATAAATCTGATTAGAAGCAGAGGGAGGCAGCTTGGATGAAGACAAGCTGTGTGCTATAGGGCCCTCCTTATAAGCTGCCTGAGTTCTGAGGTGCCTCCGGTCCATCTAGGATACTGGGTTTATTTAATGCCAATCCTCATATAGCACATGCCAACTGAGAGACTAGAGGCAGAGATGAAATCATTGCTTCTGATGTTGTGCTCTAACTGTATGTGTACTACCATTGATGCATAGGACTATGGGATATCTCAACCTCTCCGCAGTGGTACCCTTAGGGCCACAAAAGAACCCCATTACTAGATTCTCCTGTCTACTTTCTCTGTCAGCCTTGCCCCCACGTCTACTGAGACAATCCTCACACAAAGTGCTGTAACTTATACTCATTTCTCTCAGCTGTCTACTTTTGTTTCTATGAGCATGGGCATGATGAGAAGCCATTTGTGGCCACGGCATGGCATGTGTACACCTTAATGGAGTTGGTTATCTCCTTCCACCACATGGATTCTGGGGACCAAACTGAGCTTGTCAGGCTTGGCAGCAAGCATTTTCACCAAAGTGCCCAGTTTCTTATTTTCAGTACATTGTAGCAATGTACCTACCCAAAGGCAGTTCAGGGAATCCTGATTGCTTGACTTTCAGCTCTTGATTGCCTCTTCCTTTGGAACTGGGCAGAGAACAGTCCTTCTGTTATCATTGCATATTTATTTCAGATATTTTTATATACTTTATTTTTAATAGTCTTAGAAGTTTTTTTTAATACATATGAAGTATCTTTACAGTCTTGTATTATTGGCCACCCCCAAATAAAACAAAACGTGTGGCAGTTATTACATGGTCACACAGTCACAAACCTCCTTTGTCTTTCTATTTAAAGTTAGCACAGGTTTCATAAGGCCACATGTTGTTGGATGATGAGCTGTCTGAGCATCTCACAGCCTGAAGTTAAATTGCATTCCAGCCCTGTAAGTTCTTCCCAGAAAAACTAGAACAAAAGCCCCAGTGTTGGAGTGAGGATAGCCATACTGCTGTGTATTCCTTCACTCTTCTCTGATCCCCTTCCTGTGCAAAGCTGGGAAATCCCTGTATTTTCTCCAATGAGTAAAAGAACTATGATCCTGTTAGTTCTCTTCAGCACAAGCAATGAAATGTTCAAGGAGATTCAGACAAAAAGCAGACATGGGCTAAAATGACTGACACTTACATCATTCTCAAAGAACATCAAAAGGAGCCGTTTGCAAATCATGGGACAGTTTTGGCTCTGTGGACATTAATGCTGCATAAGAGCAGCTCTTCTGTTCACCATGGTTAATACCTTTGGGATGGCCCCGGTCAGGTCCTTGGAGGATATCAGTCTGCCTCTGTTGTTGGCCTGCTGAATAGCAAAATCCTAGTCATCAAAGCCTTGGCATTGGGAGTTCTCAATGAGAGCTACATCGTAAGCCACTTCACAGGTGTTACTATTTTTAAGCCTGCCAGGCAAGACATTGCTGATTTATGGTTAATAGATATCCACTCAAGATGCAAGAAAAACTATTAAATGATGTAACATTTGTATAGTTTACCGGGGAAAAAATTCTGGCTGTAAGTAAAGTGTCACCAACAGACGTGGTGTCAAGAATGCTCATGCAGTATGCATTGTGCAAGGAGAGCAGTTGGAAGACTCCAGAAGAAGCACATACTTCAGTACTTCAACACCTTAGGAAGCAAAAATAGTTCTCTATCATTTCCTAAATTTTCCTGCAGTGGTCGTTCACATACAGACTCAGCGAGGCTTCATTACTGCTCCTTCATGAATAGGCCCTGTATAACAGGAAGCAGCATGCTGGTTTTAGTGTTCCTTGCTTACTTTTCCTTGACAGGTTGGACATCAGGTGTCATTTTCTTTCACTCCTCTTTGTAGCAATCCTAGACACTGAAGATTTGTTAATTTCAGAGCACACAAGCAAAGAAAATTTGGTAGAGATCACATGTTACTTTTATTTTTCTTAATGATCTAATTTTTCCTTTTTTAGTCCTTAAGATTGCTTTCTTTGGAAATGTAGTGTTCCAAGGTACAGTAGATTTTTATTGAGAAGGATGTCTGGTCAGGTAGTTGCTTGGCTGGGTAGATGGATACTGTGTAGATGGCTGCCTGGATAAATGGAGGAGTGGATAGGTGGACGGCTGGGTATATGGTTGGCTGGATAGATAATTATCTGGATAGATGGAAGGGTGAATAGATAGAAAGGTGAATAGACAGGAAGGTGGATAGACAGGAAGGTGGATAGATAGAAATGGAGTTAGATGACTGGCTGGATAGATGGAAGGGGGATAGATGACTGGCTGGATAGGTAGATGGCTGGGTAGATGAATGGTTAGGTTATATATTTATCATGTTAAGCAACCATCTGAAACAATTAATACTTCTGAAAACTGTGGACTGAATGATTGATTCTTAATATTACAAATAACCTACCTCATTCTGGGTGTACCTTTGCTTCTCAGGCACTTGTTTTATGTCCCTTTTACATGAAGTAGGTAATGAATAACTTGGCGATTTCAGAATGTTCTTTGCACTTCTCTATGAAGCGTACTGGTTATTGGTCCCTAGGGTAACAACGGTCAGTTGACTGGTCTATGGAGATTGGTTATTGAGTATAAAGTGTGTCTTCTATTTCAGCACCACACAGATTGCGCACAACTCCAGTGAAGCCCAGAATTCCTGACAGACCACATGCCAGGCCTGGTAAGAGAACTTTGCTTTGCTTTCTCTAATGACCTACACAGTTAGCTGGCTGGGGAAGCTACAGAGAAGAGCCAAAGTAATCAAATTTCCCAAAGATGGAAGGGTTAGGAGAGGAGGGATCCAGGACAATGAAATCAAGGTAACACAGAAATTCTGATCCTTGTGGCTAATTTAATTAATTGAAGTGATGAGACTTAAAGGTTTTTACACATGTTTAGATTCAGAGAACTCTGTGGAACTTAAATACAAAAATATTTTAATTAGGTTTATTTATAGATCTCACACACCCTTAAATGTTTTATGACAATTTCCAATGTTTTTTTTCTTGCCTCAGGAAATAAATGGCCTCATCCTAGTAAGAGATTGCTGTTTTAGTTTCAAAGACAATAGTTTACTTGATATCTTCTGTCATCAAAAGAAACATTTCTCATCTCAAAAGAATAAAGGACATGGTTTATTCTGGAGCTAAAATTATGAGTGACCGTGACCTGGGAATATACATTTTTGTCTTCTCAAGCAATGTTACATGAGCTTTTAATAGTAACAGAACAAAGAAAGCTATAACTCAAGACATTTTAAAAACAAATTAGTAGCAACATCTGAGAGGCGGAGTACAGGAAGATGGAGAATCTCTCTTAGAAGCCTCAGATGCTACCTGATACCAGCATTCTTGGCTTTTTGTTTGGTGGAAGTTAGCAGTCTTCATATCTAATATACCCCTAAGGGTTTATCTGTTAGTTACAGGATACCCATGAGGTGGACAAGGAGTAACTATTTGGCAGGGGCTAATGGGCCCAAAATTAATTATAATTAAGGTCTGAAACCTGCAATATCCCAACCTCTCCACATTGCTGCAGTTCTAATCAGTTGGTCATTGCTGACACAGGTTCCTTGAAGGAATTCTTATTTACACTTCAAAGGATAAAGCTATTTATAAACAACAAAGAGTATAGTTCTGTATTGAGAGATACGGCATACTTGTCAAATCAGGGAAGGATCATAACTCTGCCCTCTGTGGGATTTAAGGAATGACTAATTGTTCAATCTAAGTTATTTTTGTGCTAAGCATCTTAGCACCAGCTGGTCTTTCTCATGTTTTCCTGTCCCTTTCCATTGTGATTCTAAATATTTTGAAGACACTGAACGAGAAAAGTCACTTGCAAAGGTCAATGTGAATGTATCTCCAGGTAGGTGAGAGAATGAAGATGTTTTTATATTCTTTGAATATTATATATGTAATATACCTTATATATGTATACATATATACACACACATGCAGTGTTGAGTGAAGCCATTTAAGGGTTCAGGAACGGTTTCTTTTTTATGCTAATTTAAAGAATAAAAAGGCAGAAAAAGGTCTCATCATTCAGCCGGATCTTGTTGAAATCTGGAAACACAGACAACCAGACACACACAGGCAGAGTCCCTAGGAGGGAAAGGAATCCAGAGCTGGGATCTGAGGAGCATGTTGTGTGGTAATGGAATGAGTTCCCTTTCTTCCTGGGGACTGGCTGGTTTGTGCTATTCCAGATTGTTGGATAATCTTGACAAAGAAAGGAGAGTAGATATTTTGTCTCCATTGGTGCTCTCCAAAAGTCCCCTTGGTGGGGGTTTAAACTCTCACCAAGTGTTTCTTTTAGGGAGGGAGAGGAGGCAGAGATTTTGTTCTTTGCATGCTTGATGGGGATCTGTTTGACTCCTAGTCCTTCATATAGACAGCCAACATTTTGGCTATAATCTCTTAATTCCTAAAGATAATTAGGTAGAAAAATCTATACAAGAGAAGGTATTTCTGCATGTCTTTGTGTTACAAACATTGAGTACTTAATATGTGACTGATTAAACATTTCTGTAAAATAAATAATAATGGTGGACAATGACTTCATGCTTACAGTGTGTCCTGTGAGGTATGTTTGAGGACACTGAGGTGCTAAGGGAAATCAGAAAGGGAATGAAGAGGCAGGCAGTCTGGCTCCAGAGCTTATGCATATAAGCACACCCAGTGTTTGGTCTTCTAAAAACAGGAAAGAGGTGTACATGGTTGAAGAATGGCTCATTGCTCAGGATTGTTATAATTAAGCAATATCTAGAGACCTCTACAAAGGTATCACCGATTTATGATTCATGAATGGTGGTCTTGACATTAAATACATTTCAGGTCTCAATTTTTCACTAGATGTAATCCAGTCCTCATCTTTATTCAATTCTGTTTTGCACACACAGGAAGCAAGGTAAAATCACCCCCATGCAAAATTGGAAATGAGATGCCCTTACTACTTACTTTTCTCAAAAAACAAATGTGGGAGTTTAGTGACCACCTCAGTGCAGGTTCAGATGTTTGTCCTCACCTATGAAAGTTTATGACTTTCATAAGAAAATACGGTTTCAATATCTAGACCATATTTTTGTGTGTAAGAATTGCCCTTACTTTTTTGTCTAATTAAATGATTTTCAGTTCTCTGAGAAGTTTTGTTTGACATGGCTGCAGACTTTTAATAAGGATATGTCTGAACTGTTTAATCCATACTTTGTTGTAGTTCTGAACAAAACAACCACAAAACCTGGTAAAACGAAACCCAAAGTGATACCCCATGGAAACGGAGCAGGAACAGGTAATAATCACTGTTGTATTTCTCTTTGGTTGCATCAAAACTAAGTGCTGTTTATGGTGGTTTGAAAGAAAATGGTCCCCAAAGGGAGTGGCACTATTAGGTCTGACCTTGTTGGAGTAAGTGTGGTCTTGTTGGAGGAAGTATGCTACTGTGGAGGCAGGCTTTGAAGTCTCATATATGCTCAAGCCACACCCAGTAAGATAGAGAACTTTGCCATGGTCATGGTGTTTCTTCACAGCAATGGAAATCCTAACTAAAACATTGCCCATCACATGTAATTTTGTTGAATTCACACATCAATTTCTTTTGCATAAGTTTTGGAAAATATTTGTAAAATTAAAATTTAAAAGTTTTAATTCATTTTGAAATCAACTTCAAATATCCCTAAAGATGTTGGAGAAGAATTTTTCAACTTTCCTAAACCTGGTCTACTAAATTAGCTACCATATATAGTCTTATTTCTCAAAAAAAATTCCTATTAAATTTTAGCTACAGGATGAAAATAGGAAAAATAGTTGTTTTCCCTTATTTCAAACAACTTCCTGTGCAAAGGTCAGTCTGTGTAATGACTTAGTTCTCCCCTTTATACTCTCCCATACGGGTCATCACAGCTTTCTGAAAGATTTTTAACTCCTAGAAGTCTGCAATAAGAATTTAAATAAGAAGAAACAGACTTAATTCAAAATATTTAACAACTGGTGGCTGTGACTATAGTCTTACTAAAGCTTATAAATCATTCTGATCAAATGACACAGCCCTAACTTCCTTAGAGCTGTGAGAATGAATCTAATAAAAATCCAGATAGCCAGTTTATTTATTCCATTGTCAAATGGAACTGCGTTATTCCCTTGAGATACTTTAATAATATAAATTGTGTATTAACACATATAAAAATACATAAAATTATAATGTATTTAATACATATATGTTGTATTTAATCAGCTCCTGGTTAGAAAGAGATATAATACTTGAGGTTAGTCTAAAAATCATTTAGATTCATTTAGAATGTATTTCTTATACTTTACTTGAGTATTATAGTATGTAAAATTTTGGAAATTTCATTATTTTCAGACCAAATGAAAGAGGCCAGCCTATGGATTGCTGAGACATTGTAGTACCTATTTGTACTGAGTTATTCATTCATTCTCCTTACCGAGAGTTTTAGCAGTGCAAAATTTCTCAGATTGACAAAGAGTGGCTCTAACAAGAGCTATCTTTTCTCAGATCCTCTTTGGAGGAATTTAAGTCCGTATGTTTAATATTCAAATGATTTCTTGGAGGTTGTATAAGTAAAAATAGAAATTAGATATAAACAGAGAAAGTAAGCAATGACAAAAAAATTGCTTGGTCCTATTGGAGAGCTGTTGACCTCCACTATAATCAACCATGATTTATTTCTCTAGGACAATTAGAATCATCAAATAGGGCAAATAGCATTATTATATTTTAACTTAGCAACAGTATGAATTTTTTCAAGACCCACTTTTGAACCAATATCTGTCATTATTATCTTGCATACACTATCATCTTTTTAGTATCTTGTCCAAAATAGTTTGTGAGGAAATGGCTGCTGAACCCTGGCAGAACAAATGGATTGCCTCTCCTCCATTCCTTGTTTCTTTCACAGTGTCTAACCAAAATTTATGTACTTATTCTGTGTTGTCAATCTATTGTGGCCTCCTGTTGAAGATTATCATTTGTTTATCTCCCAGGTGGTAAGGTCAGCAGACAGCATCCAACCATCCTCACCTTCAGGGTCAGTCTTAGCTGGATGAGATCTTGACGATTTATTTTTCAACACCACTGTAGATACTTTCTTTGCATTGTATGAGTTGGGTTTTCTTTATTGTAAGGTTAGAAAGTAGCCTATAGGGACTGATATTTCATTGTATTACGTTTGTTTACTCGTATGTGTGTGGGCTGGGGAGGGTAGTATGCACAAGTGCATGTCCCTGTACATATATAGAGATCAAAGAATCAGAGGATAATATGCAGAAATCTGTCTGTTCTTCCTAGAGTGTGGTTCCTAGATAGAGAACTAAGGTCATCACCTTGGCATCATGTGCCTTTATCCATTGAGTCACCTTTCTAATCCAAGGCTCATAATTTGGATGGGTCATTTTTCCACTGTTCAGCATTTTTGTGGTTTTCATGCACAGACATCACAGTTAAGGTGTTCCACACATTAGAAATTTTTAAGTCAAGAAGTTGTGAAAATGACATCATTTATTGCCTGACTCTTTAAAGAAGATACTTGTCAACTCTAGTCCATGGAGTATGACTTACCTCAGAAGATGACAACTACTGGGCTGATTAGTTATTGAACCATCATGTTTTGAAGGTTCCTTACATGCCGGTCAAAGTATAATTTTGAAGCTCTCTTGAAGCATCTGATCTGGCAGACTTTGTCACACAGTTGCGTCTCAGACTCCCCTCTCTGTCCTAATGGGAAACCACACTTTCCTGCCCCCATGGAGGTTGTCTCACAAGGAGAACCCAGACTCATCAGGGTGAGGTATGTGTTTTTCTGTGGCTAAATCTTCCAAGCAACTGGCTCATTGCTAGTGAAATTTTAGCAAGGTCCTGAGATTTGGATGCCAAAGCACAGAGAAAAATCTTACATAAATGCACCCTTTTTTGTCATCAGAGGTAGAGCCACTGATTCACTGAAAATTGATTTCCACTGATACAATCGGAAATCAACATGTTTGTTTGCAAAGATTTTGTTACTATGGTTAGAAATATCCAAAATCATTATTTCATCTTGGACAAGAAATCACTAGTGATGAATTACATAAATCTGTAGACTTCTGGAAGACTTCCATCTGGCAGTGGTGGACCACTGAGGTTTCAGTCTTGGTGCTTTCAGAGCCAACTGCCCTATAAGCATATGTGTCAATTAATCCTATTTGAGAGAAATGAATTCAGTTCAGAGCCCAAGCTAGATTGCCTGGTTGGGTGCCAGTTCCGCATACAATCCAACAGTGTCTCTCATAATTAGTTTCCTTTTTAACTTTTCTCCTCATTCTGACTCTGTGCTGCCTTTAACCTTAAATTGTTCCCATCTGACTCAGGGTAGCACAAGTTCACTGGTTTACCAGAGGCTGGGGCATCATTGCCTGTCTCCAACTCTCTCCACTGAGCCCCAAAGTTACTGTTTGCAGGGCCTTTTCCAATGCTTCCAGATAGTACTATATCTATCTTTTTTCAAGAGCTGATGTATGTAACGTGTACTCTTCCCACAGCTGTCTCAGCCCCCAAATAACACATGAAACACTATATTAATTATGAAGCTGTTGGCCATTTGCTTGATTTCTTATCAGCTAGCTCTGACTTAATTATTAACCCATAACTGTTAATATATATTTTTATAATGACATATTTTTAGGACACCCTCCTGAGGCATCCTTTCCTCCCAAGAGATCACATGGTGACCTCTACTCTTGACTACATTTCCCAGAATACTCTTTAACTCCTAGTCCCACCTATCTTGCTTCCCTATTGACCAGTAGTGCTTCATTTATACCAATCAGACAAACACCAGAAGAACTTCCCCATCAGATGTGCTGTTGATTTACTGATTTATGTCTAGAGATCATAATGGTGGGCTACCTGTCTCCATCTGCATAGAAAGCAATGGGGAATTTTTTTATTTCTTCAAATGTATTCTTTCCCCCTTTTCCCTCCCCTCTTCTCACTTTCTCCTTAATGACCCATGTCCCTCCCTTCCCCTTCTCCGTAATCTCCAGCTCACTTCTGTCTTCAGGCACTTATCTGTACCCATCCTGGGTTAGTGGATCTGCATTTGCCCTATAGGAGCTGCTGAAAGACTGTAATGATGTTTTTGTGTGTGTGAGTACCATGCAATGGTGGCATGGTTACAGGACAGATGGTTGCCAGCCAAGGTCAATAACTCTTATATAGGCAGGCAGTTGAGCCCTCTCAGGGGATGAAGTATGTAGGACTATAGTCACTTAGTGCCATTTGAGAACAAGGAGAAGGAGCCAACAGGAGAACTTAGTGCTTGAGAAAGACACTTTGATGTTGAGAGCATGTGATTCTGAGTCCCAGCATTTCCTAGCTGTGAGACCTTGAGCAGCTTGTGTAATCTGGCCTTGGATCTCCTCATTTGTGGGTCCTAGATGCTATATCCCACACGGAAACTTCATAAAGCTTAAATTTGGTAATAAATATGCAGGGTGCATAGACAATATTAGAAATAAATACTTTGTATTTGAAGGACAAAAATATTTGGAGAAGGGCTAATAAGATCTACTCAGAGAACGCCCAGCCTGTTGGCATTCAAGAGTATGTGTGCTGTGTGTGTGTGTGTGTGTGTGTGTGTGTGTGTGTGTGAGAGAGAGAGAGAGAGAGAGAGAGAGAGAGAGAGAGAGAGAGATGGTGTGTGTGAGGGTGGGTGATATGGTGTGTGTGTATGGTGTTTTTGTGATGTGTGCATATGATGTGGAATGTGTGTGTGTCTGTTACCTTTGAGAAATTATGGTAGATCAAAGTCTGTCACCAAACCAAGCTATAGAGATAGAAGCAGGAAGCTGAGAGATCACATCTTATCCACACACAGGAAACACAGAACACAGGAAGTAGGGCAAGGCTATACACTCTCAAAACTCACCCTCCCACAACAGCACCAGTAACAAAAGACCAAGTGTTCAAATACTTGAGCCAATAAGGAGACATTCTCATTCAAACTGCAACAAGCAAAACTTTTATATTTGATCAGTATCTCTGCCTACATACTTAAATGTGTTTAAGTAGTATCCTTTTGCTTTTTGGATGACATAACTGTAAAACCGGAGTTGTTGGCATTTAGTTACTGTACTTGTACTGTAAATAACTGGTTTATCTTTTCTTATCTTTAATATGTAAACTGCAGTCATGTCATTAGGATGAACGTTTCTGAAGTTATAGTTCCTACTAAGATTCTAAAAACTGTTTCTGTTCTTTCTTAATGAAAACTGTCAGAGTCAGGCATGGTGGCACAAACTTTTAATCACCATATGCAGGAGCCAGAGGCAGGTGAATGTCTATGAGTTTGTGACCACCATAGTCTACGCAGTGAGTTTTAGGCCAGCCAAAACTACATGGTGAGATCCTGTCTCAAAAAACAAAACAAAACAAAAAAACCAACAATGACAACAAAACAAAAAAAGTGTCAGACATGTTAGGAAAGATTATTTTGTCACAGAAGATGGAAGAGAACGACTGTGAGAGCCAGAGGAACAGGATGTCTTCTGTGAGATTACATCTCCTAGAATTAGCAGGGAAGCTGAACCCATGAAGTTTCATCAGCATGGCTGCCTAAACAAGACCTGAACAAGGACAGTACCAGCAGACATGCCAACATGGAAGGGAAAAATCACACAGGGCCCCAAGCCTAAACAAAGAACTACAGGCAACTGAGAAATATTCAAAGTGAGAGATGCAGTCTTCCTGGGGAAGAGCTGCCCCCTAATTGGTTATCTAATACCAAATCGTCAGCCCTGCCTGAAATCATATACATACAAGTAACATTAGACTAGGCAGGTTGTCTGTATGTTTAGGAACATATCTATATATCTCTGCACATATATACATACACATATATTTAGGTGTGTGTGTGTATTGTGTATGTGTGCATAACAAAGAAAAAAAGAGTCCAGAGGCCATGAATTTAAGAGAGATCAAGGGTAGGGGTAGAATGTGTGGGCAGAGTTGGAAGAAGGAAATGGAAAGTGATGTATTTTATTTTCAAACAAAGAAAATTGTGTATGGTGCAAACATGATTTAAAAAAAAAGAAGAATAGTATCACAAAGCTAAGGTGAGACATACTGATTACCTACGTCCTAGGAAAGTTTTCCAAAACCTACCCGAGGTGCTTAGGTGAGTGGCCAGACAACCACCGTATTTGAGGGGGACAGAAGAAAAAACATTACACAAAGCAATGTTGAATTGGCTCCTTCCAAACAACAACTCGGGGTTCTAGGCCAATCCAGGACTATTTTATAAACCTTAGAGGTAAAGATTCAGTTTGTAGCTTCAACATTCTAATGGACAAGGCCGGCACAGGAGTGTTTCTTATGCCAGTTCAATAAGCATAAACCCAACCACATTGGGTTCTGAGGTTTTTTTTATGAGCACTGGTGAGTTGGAGGACAATTATCTTTTTAACCATGGAATGTACCCACCAAGACTGGCAGAAAGTGACAATCCACTCTCGGTAAAATCTGTCTAGTGAAGCAATACCTCACAGGCAGCCAGTGCAGGATGAATGCCATGGAAAATTATGACAAAATCCAAAGCCACAACCCAGCACCAGCTCTAGAGAGAAAAATAAAACCAACAAATGTAGGAGTTTTAGTATTTTTATGTCTGGATAGTAGAAGACAGTTAAAAATGGGCACAGAAGCACTGGTGTTTCTATAAGAAGTGCACATTTCCCTGACAACACCAGCAAGTAACCATGACAAGAACACTCAGCAGATTTTGCTATACTTACTCCGGTTGGTTGTCCCTATTCCTAGGAACCAAGCAAGCACCTAAGCCATCAAGTGCTGGGAGGAATATGTCAGTGGACTCACATACCACAAAAAAACCAGGTAAGGAGTAAGATGTGGCCCCTCTTGGCACCTCAGCTCTGAAAGTTGCACAGTATCAACAGTGGTAGATGATGACTGATGACTAACACCTGCATGGCCCCTGTGTGTGAGAACCGAATTAGCAGTAGCTGCTAGAGAAACTTTCCAGAAGTCCATCTTTGGGGAAAGAAAGTGAAAATTAACTTATTTCAAAACCCTTTGAGGGACATTAATTAATGATTGCTTCCTATAATACCTGAGGAATCACCATCGACAAGTGATACAAAGCGACACTGGGGTTTAGTTTTGGTCTTTTTTTTTCAAATTTTGCCCTTGTGTGACTTATTATGACATATTTGGTCTGAAACTATTTATATTCCTGTTTTAAGAATATGTTATATGTACTAGACATATGAATCTCATAATCCAGTCTTTTTCTAAAAGGATGCCATGCGAGCAATTCTCATGCATTAATGTTTCTATTGGTGTCCTCACCCAAGTAAGCACATGGGCAGGCTCTCCTCCCCATCTCCTATCTATCCCTGCCTCTTTCTTCTTTGTCTCTCCTCTTAGTAGCCTTGAAAATCCTTGAAGTGATGAGGTATTTTTCTGGGTGACACCCTGGTTATTTTCAAATCAGCATAAACATTGCAAAGAAAGAAATACATTTTTCAACTATAACAGGTTAAAGTTTGAGCTAAGGTGAGTTGCTCCAGGCATGTTTAACTTTTCCAATCACCCTGCACACGTTATTGCACAAACTATAAAGGGCACTCTACTTTCCTTTGTCCATTAGGCAGACAAGCTTTAAAATTGTACAATTTCTTGGACTGATAGCCCTACAGCAAAGTTGTGGGCAGGAGAGCAAAGAGAATGGTAAACTTGGCTCCTAGACATGTCCCCTAGTGACTCCACTCTTCAGTTGCCAGATACCTGTTCCTGTCACAAGTGCTACTTTGATATAATTATTTGAAAAGTTCCAACGTTGTTCACTTATAATTATATGTTACAGTTAGGGGGTAGCGGGAACCACCTAGAAAAAAGGAAATTATATATATGCTCAAAAATTCAAAGTGGAAATGGTAGACAGAATTGTAGGCTCACAACCAAATGATAAAGTTCACCAATATTTTGGCATGCCTCTAGGGGTAAAATTCTCTATATATGAAAATACGTATAATCAACTATCTATATATGACTTTCCAAAACATCTATACCTACATATCTTATCTAAAATTATAGATGATTTGCACATGTTAAATTTAGAGGAATCCCACTATATATTGCTCATAGGCACTTTTCTATAAATTATAAAAATCTCTTACCATCCAACTGTTACTCTGCTATTTATGAAAGTTTGCTTATTTCAAACTGATTTTCCTGTAGTGAATACTGAATTTACAATATCTTTTAACCACAATCCCAGGGACTCGTCGCCCGTCCATGCCACCTAGACCCATGGCCCCTAGACCTATATCTCCACAGAGAAAACCTTTACCACCAAATAATGTCACCGGAAAGCCAGGAAGTGCAGGTATGTCCATTGCTCACCTCTCCTCTCTCTCCGTGACCATATTTTCCTGGCCAGTCCAACCCTTCTTGGTATGCGGCTTAGGCAGTAGGCAAGCCACTGGCATGTGTGACAGACACATGCTGTCAACTACAGCTTGGAGGATTGAAATACTGACTCTGAATGGGTAGAGTAAAAGAAACCATTCCTCCCTATCCAGGCCAGTTTGTTTCTGAGACACCAGTATTCTTGAAGCCTATTGAGGAGCCAACTTGGCTTTCAACAGTAGATGACTTCAGAATAGAAGTGGGAGATGCTGTACATTGCCAACCCCTCAGAGAGAGTGGAAAATAATGTTCTGTCACTGACTTTGCCCTCATGTCATTGCGAGTGTTACAGGGCTTGGGGGAGGAAGCTGAGCAGTCAAGCTGTTTCTTACTTCCATGTCTAGGTTCATGCTGGCATAGAATGGCCCCGCCAGACCTGGATATGCACACACTCCATCCCTCTTCCAGCTTCACAAAGAAGTCTTAGCATTGCCACTACATTCTGAGTGGTCCTCAGTATACATCTCTGGTACAACAAGCAACAAATGGCTTTGTACTATTTGTTTGTATTCTTATCTCCCTCTCATAGCTTGTGAGTTGTGCTTAGTGTATTCTCTCTAAAACTCCAGAGCCTCACTGAGTGCTTAGAATATGGAGGAAATTTGATGGTAATGACTAAATGAAAACATGAATGAAATGAAGAACCAGTGAAAATAGATCCAGCTTTCAAACCAAAGATTTACCTCACTTCCATTTAGGGACTCTGCTAGCAAGCTGTGAGTTCCTTGTCATCCCTCCTTTCTACCTCTTCACTTCCTAAGTATTTGGTAGGTGGAAACCGGCTGAAAGTATTAAAGACAGCTGTAAAAGATGACGGTGTAGAGAGTTCATGTGAAGGGAGCTGCTGTCATTCCTTTTTGCAAGACAAAAGTCAGGCATGATAATGGCTTTTATGTTTTATGATTCTGGGTCAGTGGGTCACAACCCCTTGTTGGGGGGGTATCAAATGAACCTTCACAGGGGTCACATATCAGATATCCTGCATATTAGATATTTACAGTGTGATTCAAAACAGTAGCAAAATTACAGTTATGAAGTAGCAATGAAAAGAATTTTATGGTTGAATGCCACCACAACATAAGGAACTGTATTAAAGGGTCATGGCATTGGGAAGGTTGAGAACCACTGCTCTGGTTTGTTTTTCCCAATGTCTAGGGAAGGATTCAGCCTCTAACTTGTGCTTTGTGCCTTTCTGGGTCAAGGCCCAGTGAAGGCCTCACAGGGAGACCAGGTTTTTCTCATTAACTATAATGTGAAGCAGCTGTGGCATGAGTGGCACTTGCCTTCAGGTCTTACTGATGAGTCACTGTGGTGCCAGAGTGTGCCATGAGAATCCAGGGGACCATCCCTGCAGGAGTTCCCTGGGTGAGGCTGTGTCATCAGCCACAGTTCACTGGTCTTGGGTTTTGGCTTGGGTTTTGTCAGAAAGTGTAGTGTAGGCACAGCCTCTCTACCCCTGAGCCCAAGAGGAGCCACAAACACATCCCATGTCTGGGATTAGCTCAGGTCATTGCTCACCATGCCCCACCACCCACCTCTAGCTGAGAGAAAATGGTTCCACTTTAAAGCCTGGCAACTAGTGATTACAGCGGTCCAGTTTTGATTCAGTAATCTACTGGAGGTCTAGGCCCATTCTGAGGGTCTCTCACAAGTGCTTGTAAACAGTCTTGGCTCCCACATGGTATCTACCAATTGTTGCCTATCTCTAAATCTACAAAGGACTCCCAAGTCCCACTTTTCTTACCAGGGTGAATGTGTGGCTGCCATTTTCTGCTGACCCTGCCAGTTCTGAAAAGCTCAACTTCTCTGAGTTTTTGCTTGCCATTTTATTTGCCATTTTGTGGTGGCACATTCCCTCTAGGAGCAAGGGCCTGGGTCTGTGGTGAAAAGCAGAGCTCCATCTACCTGACTCAGCCATGACTGCACACTGAACCAAACCCTAAAGTCCAGCTAGTATCCCTTGACTAGTAGTCTAAGGACTTTTCCTAGGAAGAATATAAAACCCACCCTATGCTCCACTTACTGTACTAAACATGGTCTTGCTTGGACCTTGAAATGGATCCAGATTTAGAGACTGAAAAGTAACTTTAGCATAAAGTCATTGAACACAGCAACTCAGAGGAGCACCGTTCTGGCCACTAGGCCAGAACCACAGATTGCTCCGGGGATCATTGTCCTCCTAGTCTGATCATCTTCCATATCTGCCAGTTCATCTCTAAACAAGGCCATTCTATACCAAATGGCTAGGGTGAAAGTCTCATCATTCGATTGTGTCCCTTCCCCATGGGAAATCTTTTCACGGTCCTTTTACCTTAAAATGGCATCCACAGCAATGATGTTCAAGTTCCTCCCTGGTCTGCACTTCCTTGGCCCTCCACACTTAGGTGGGACAGGACTTCCCTTCCCTCAGCTGTCTTGTTCTCCTGAAGTGATTCACAGACTGAAGCTCTTGCACTTCCGTGAAGACAGGCTTCCCCACTGATGCCCACTTTCCCCATAGACAACCACTCCCTCTCCCTGTCCCCTCTGTGACCCTTTGCAATTCTTTCACAATATCGGTGATGTCTCAGTACCCTTGGCTCAGGCAGCTATCTCTATCAGGGACCAGGTCTAGCTTTCTCTCCAAGCCTGGCTGATAGTGCCAAGCCACATGGTGTGTGCTTAATAGACGTTTACTGAAGAGATAAATGGGAAACTTGGCCCTGCTCCTACTGCTTTGGTTTCTGCATTACAGGAATCATTTCCTCGAGCCGAGCCACTTCCCCACCCCCGAAGGCAACACTCAAACCTACTGGAACAGTCGCAGAGCGACCAGAGGCAGAAAGAAAGCATCCAACCACTCCTTCTTCTGAAGAAGAGATTGGTTAGTGTGTTGGTTCTCACTAGACACTGTGCTGCAAGATGCTCAAATATTTCAAATTAGGGCAGACAAAAAGCTCAGGGTCTTCTAACTTTAGGAATGTTTATCTATTCAATTTTAGAGTAATATTTACTAATGACATTGTGTTATAGAATAAGCTTTTTTTCCGTGGCAGACATGGAAATGCCAAGTTTTTGTTTTTTTTTAAATATATAAAATATAGACTATCCAATTACAGATTAAAAAATTAGACTACTAAACTACCTGCTACTATGAATTACAGATATTTTAACTTTATTGGTTATAATTTTTTTTTTTTGGTTTTTATGAGACAGGGTTTCTCTGTATTGTTTTTGAGGCTGTCGGTCCAGCCCGGCCTCAAACTCACAACCTGCCTCTGCCTCCCGAGTGCTGGGATTAAAGGCGTGTGCTACCACCACCCGGCTGATTATAATTTTTAATCTAGTATTGTCACACTCCAGAATACCTTGTTGCAGGATGCAATTAGAGGTCTTTTTATTTTGGGTGAAAATGTTTAAGACTAGGGAAGGAAGTCAAACTACAAGCCGTTTATTAAGGAGGAATAGTGATTATCTTTGATCTGTACCGCTTGTGTCAGTATACTAGTTTTTCTTTATATTTCACTGATTTTTTTTGTGATTTTTTTTTTCATTCTCAGGTACCATGACAGATTTTAGTTCGAGCCCAACAAGAGAGACTGATCATCTTGGGAAGCCCAGATTCGTAGGTATGTCTGACTCGGCACTTTGACTTTAGTAGGACTATTCTGGTAGGTAGGTCAGTCGGGTATTTACTGAGCAAATATTGTAGGAGCTTACTGCAATCTGAATTTTTCATATTTCGTGCAAGTCCACTGGGCAGCAGGTGCAGCAGGCTAGGATAGGCTAGCCTCAGGTCCACGCTGCATGAGTGCATTTGCTGCCCGAGACACAGAGTAGTGGTGACCCAGAAGAAGCCCAGTAAGGAGAGGCGATCCACACGGCCATGTTTTGAGATCCTTTCTACGTTATATCTGCACAAGCCCAGATTAGAAATTGGGAGAACACACTCATTTTATGGACGCAGAGATTGTTTTAAGATACTGCAAAACTGTTTTCCAAAGCAGACGTATTGTTTTACATTTCTGACAGTATCGATGAGGACTCTGGTTTCTCTGCCTCCATACCAGTGCTAGATGCAGTCAGTTTAAAATGCCTTTGCCATTTTAACAGGTGCAGAGTGGTATATAATTACGGTTTTAATTGCCTACCCTAACAAAATTCCACCCAAATTTCCATGGGCTGAAGCGTTAATCTGACTAATCTTAATCAATGAAAACAAGGAGTCAGATTTGGGAGGAAGACCCGGCAGATCAGATAACTGGAGTAGCGACCAGTCTTCCTTTTCCTCTAATTCCTCAATTCCCAATCCCAAAGCGCTGAGATCCTGTCTCTGCCCACCTCATCACTTCCTCTCTCCATATCCCTAGTGCTGGAATTAAAGGCATGAACCTACCAAGTGCTGGGATTAAAGGCATGAGCCACCACTGGCTTTATTGGTCAGAACACAAACAAAATACACACAATTGGCTGCTTTTTCTTGCAGTTCTGAAGGCAAGGATTCCGAGATGGGTCTCTCTCCTTACCTGGCAGATGGTTCCCTTCTCACAGGAGTGGCTGTGTACTGTGCCTATGAATCCTGCTGTCTCCTAAGAACCCCAGGCTGGTTGGGATATGGTTTCACAGCTTTCAATCTTATTTATCTCCAAGTTCTTATTCAGTTTCATTAACTTCTTTCTATATTTACATCTGTTGAGGGTACAGATCTAATTATTTATGACTATAAAAAATTACTGATTGACTGAGCCTTGCATTTATTATGTAGGGTGTTTTCTATTTCTGATAGACATCTTTGCTCTGAAATTCAATTTGTTGATATTTATATATCTGGCCATGCTCTCTCTGAACTGCATAATTTTCCTACCTTTTACTTTTAACCATAATTTAATCTCTTTATATTTATACTGTGTATTTTTTAGACATCCTTGCATTAGGTCTTACTTTTCTTACACATTCCAACAATCTCTGTGTTTTGTTTGTAATTTATGGAACCTCTCAAATTATTATTTTTTTCTACTTACCTATCCTTTGATCTCCTTTTTGGCCTTCCTATAGTTTATAATTCCACTTTATGTGTCTTGTTCCTTATGACCCCTTGTTTCAGTTGTTCTGTGGGAACTGATAGTGTGACTCCTTAACTTACCATCTATTATCTAGTAACAATAAAGCGTCCCCAAACCAACACTCTTAGTTCTGTAGCTTCTTTCTTTCCTCCCGAATTTGCACTATTATTGTCAATATCTACTACACAAATTTGATTTCAGTTTTTCAAAGTAAGTTAACGTTAGACTTGGACTAAAATACTGTGCAAAAGCACCCACACTGTTACTACCACCTTTCGTCCTTTGGGGGGGGACACACACTTTCAGCCAGTGAAACCTTTGCTTGAATTACTACCTTATGCTATGGATTTGCTGGAAGTAGTTTGTTGGTTTTTTTTAGAAAGTGTTTTTCACTGGTTATTGATTCTGCATAGAAGATGTCACCCATTGTTTTTGACTTGCATTCTTCTCGATGGGAGAACTACTAAAACCCTCATTTTTATCATTCGATATGTTTTCTCTATCTCATTTAAATATTGTCTCTTTTTCGTTGGTTTTAGGGAACTTAATTATGAGTTATATAGTTTTCTTCATATTTCTTGTTATTAAGACTTTTGATATTTAGCTTTTTAACTTGTGATTTAGAAATTTGGAACATCTGAAGTCATTGTTTCTTAAAATATTTTTGTATTCATTCTACTCCTCCTCTTTTGGGTACTTGAATTATGAGAACTCTTCAGTTTTCAAAGTTCCCAATGTCCACTGTACATTATCCCCCACTCACACACACACATTGTTAGTTATGTGCGGTCTCTAAGTTTTCCTGTTCTGTGGTATCTCTTGTATTAGTTCTATCTCATGTTATATCTTAAAGTTTTCATCTCTAGAAATTTGATTTGAATAAATTTTATCCTATTTCAAAAGTCATTTTTTTATATTTTATACTTTATTTTTAAATTTAAATTAGAAACAAGGTTGCTTCACATGTCAATTCCAGGTCCCTCTCCCTTTCCCTCCCCTCCTCCCGCGCTCTCTCACCATTTCCCCAGGGAGAGTGAGGCCCTCCAAGGGGGTGTCCATAGTCTGTCATTTCATCCAGGACAGGGCCTAGACCCTCCCCCAAGAGTCCAGGGTGAAAGTGTATCTCTCATTGTTGGATGGGAGCCCAAAGTCCATTTGTATACCTGGGATAAATACTGATCTACTTCCCAAGGCTCAATAGATTACCTAGGCCTCCTCACTGACACCCACATTCAGGGGGTCTTGATCAGTCCCATGCTGGATTCCCAGGCATCAGTCTGGGACTCAAGAGCTAAGCCTTGTCAGGTCAGCTGTTTCTGGGGGTTAAACCAGCCCAGTCTTAATCCCTTTGGTCATCAGCCCTCCCTCTCTGTTACTGGATTTCTTGAGTTCAGCTCAGTGCTTAGCCGTGGGAGTCTGCTTCTGCTTCCATCAGCCACTGAATGAAGGTTCTGTTTCCCAGACTCTCTGGCCATGGGATTGTAGGCTGGCACTCCCCAGATCTATGTCTAAAATCCATATATGAGAAAGTACATGCCATGTTTCTCTTTTTGTGACTGGGTTACCTCACTCAGGATGGTTTCTTCTAGTGCCATCCATTTGCCTGCAAATTTCAGGATTCCATTGATTTTTCTGCTGAATAGTACTACAATGTGTACATGTACCACATTTTCTCTATCCACTCTTTAGTTGAGGGGCATCTAGGTTGCTTCCAAGTTCTGGCTATTACAAATAATGCTGCTATGAACATAGTGGAACAGACATCCTTGTTGTATGAATGGGTATCTTTTGGATATATGCCTAAGAGTGGAGTTGCTGGGTCTTGTGGTAGGTTTATTCCCATTTTTCTGAGGAATCTCCATGCTGATATCCAAAGTGGCTGTACAAGTTGGTACTCCCACCAGCAGTGGAGGAGTGTTCCCTTTCACTACAACCTCTCCAACATAAATTGTCATTGGGGTTTTTGATTTTAGCCATTATAACAGGAGTAAGATGGTATCTCAGAGTTGTTTTGATTTGCATTTCCCGGATGGCTAGGGATGTTGAACACTTTCTCAAGTGCCTCTCAGCCATTTTAGACTCCTCTATTGAGAATTCTCTATTTAGTTCTGTAGCCCATTTTTTAATTAGATCCTTTGCTGTTTTGGAGACTTGCTTCTTGAGTTCTTTGTAAATTTTGGAGATCAACCCTCTGTCAGATGTGGGATTAGTGAATATTTTTTCCCATTCTGTGGGCTGCCTTTTTGTCTTGCTGACTGTGTCCTTTGCCTTACAGAAGCTTCTCAGTTTCAGGAGGTCCCATTTATTAATTGTTGATCTCACTGTCTGTGCTACTGGTGTTATATTCAGGAAGCTGTCTCCTGTACCAATTCATTCAAGGGTACCACTCACTTTATCTTCTAAGAGGTTCAGTGTGGCTGGATTTGTGTTGAAGTCTTCGATCCATTTGGACTTAACTTTTGTGCATGGTGATAGACATGGATCAATCCACATTCTTCTACATGCCAGCATCCAGTTATGCCAGCACTAAAAGATGCTTTCTTTTTTTCCATTGTATATTTTAGCTTCTTTATCGAAGATCAGATGTTCATACATGTATGGGTTAATATCAGGGTGTTCAATTCAATTCCATTGGTCTACCTGTCTATTTTTGTGCCAATACCAAACTGTTTTCAGGACTACAGCTCTATAATAGAGCTTGAGGTCGAGGATGGTGATGCCTCCAGATGTTGCTTTGTTGAATAAGGTTGTTTTGCCTATCCTGGGTCTTTTGTTTTTCTATAAAAAATTGATTATTGTTCTTTCAAGGTCTTCACAGGTCATTTTTAAATCTGCCTTTTCCTTGTATAATAATTATAGCCTCTGTGTGAATTCTAAGTTGGTTTCAAAGGACTGATTTTTCTCACTATGAACAATATTTTCCTGTGAATTTGACCTTGATGAGTATTGTACACTTCATTCCTAGATATTCTTGAGTTTTGTTCAAAGGTACAGTTGATTATTCAGTACTGCCTGGCCCTTGTGAATCTGGCTTTCTTTAGAATGTTGTTTGGTATGGTACTCATGCCTGCTGCCTGAGAGTCACTACCTCAGCATTATGAGGTAAGAACTAACTAAAGAGACCAAACAGTATCCAACGAGATTAACACTAGGTATATCTACAAATTCAGGAACTCCATCATATACCCCAGAGGCAGGAGTTTAGTTTTAAGGCTAAGAAATCCTCAGCACTGTTTTCAAATGTCTGCTCAGAATGTGACACTGAAGTCCTCAAGTAGATGATCAAATTGGCTAGTTTTCTTCCTCCATTCTCTTCACAAGTGTACCAACTGTCAGAGTCTTCTCTCCTTCCCATTCTTAGGCCCTCATGTGCGATACATCCCGAAGCCAGAAAACAGACCCTGTTCCATCACTGACTCGGTCAGACGGTTCCCAACAGAGGAAACCGTGGAGGAGAATGCCACCAGCCCACCACAGAACCCACCCACCAACCTCACTGTGGTCACTGTGGAAGGTTGTCCCTCATTTGTCATCTTGGACTGGGAAAAACCACTAAATGACACTGTCACTGGTAAGATTATGGCACTAGGATTTGATGTTGTGGTGGATAGTTTTGATAGCATAGCTCTTCCAAACTAGGCAGCCTGAGTCAAACTGTGGCACAAAAATCACATCTAAGGAGGAGCAAAGTTCTGTTGTCCAAAGTGTCATAGGTGGGAAAATGATGGTTTCTGTTATGGGCTCCTAGTTAACTGGGAACTTTAAAGCGGTATTCCCTTCCACAGTCTGGAAATATAATCTTACAATTTTACCAAGAAAATCACATAAAGTGTGTGAAGACTTGACATCTCAGATAATATCTAAAATAGTTCTCTTTTATAAACTGGCTGAGAACTTCCAAACAGGCTAAAAATTATTTCAACTAACTCTGGAGAAATTGAAAATAAACAAAAACTCCCTCACTCCCAGGCAATTTGCTACTTCTCGGAGGAAATTCTGAGTGTGCTACACTGACCTAATTTCTCTATAAATGGTCATGGAAAATAAGAAACCTAGCATCATTTTTTTAATTTGTTACAATTTGTTTGGCACACTTTGATTCTACATATAGAAAAAGAGGGCCAAACAAGAAATGAGAACCACTGACATCTGGGATTGCTAGTCAGTGGGAGTCCATGGGATTGCCTATTTCAGGGAACAGACGCATAGACTAAGCAGCTGTCTGAAGTATACAGGAGCACAATGAAAGGTAAGGGTGTGGGTGAGGAGACTCGGAATCTTCCCGAAAATATTTTCTACTGCAGGTAAAGGAGAACAAAGCCATTGTCCCTCCTTCAAAACTCTATATGTGACTTATATAGAGCAACTTTCTATATAAGCATTACATTTGCTGAACTGTCTTATTTCTTGTTTTCTTTCTCATAAAAGGGCAGCCTCTGTCACCACTAGCATTCCTAGGAATCTGCCAAGTCCTGTATATTCCTGTAGGGTTGAGCCAGTAGATAGTGCTTCCTTAATTCCTAAAATTCAATCAACTTTCAGTATTGAAACATCCAAAACTCTTGATTACCCATTGTGCTAATAAGAGTTCTAGTTTCCTGAAACCAAATGATAAACCAAATTTTGTTTGTCCTAAAGATGTTGGAATTATTTAATCTGATCTACCCAATTTCTACTATATCTCCATTTGGATAATATGGTTTTTCAAACAGGGTTTCTCTGTGTAGCCCTGGCTGTCCTGAAACTCACTCTGCAGACTAGACTGGCCTTGAAATCACAAGGATTCACCTGTCTCTGTCTTCCGAGTGCTGCTACCATCCTGCTAAGTTATATAAATTTTAATTGTAACAAGTCATGAGGAGAGTAGACTTTATATACCTAATTAATAATTAAATAATACTTGATAAATATTTTCTTAGTAGATGCTAATAAGATGCTTGGAGTCCTTCACGATTAAAGATCTCATGGCCAAGGACTACAATTAGCTTCTTGGCTACAATTCCACATTTAGCCATTGCTCTCTTAGTCTACCTTTAAATATCAGACTATCCTAACGAGCTTCATAGATGCAATTTTTTGATTTTAGTATTATATGAAATACCACTTGATTTCAGATGGAACTACCTACCAGCTAGCAGCTCAGATAACACAGACAGTAATTCTTCTAATTCCCAAATGAGAAGTAGGGAAACAAGTTAACATGTCTGACAGATTCGCTTATTTTGAAGGCCTTTCTCTGTTGATGAATGAGTACTTCAAGTTCATAGAAATCTGCCTTTAAGTGAAATTTACACAGACATTAAGGTTGTAGTTTTTATTTAATACAAAGAAAACTATCCAGGGGGCATAAATAAGCATTAGGTTCAAAAATCCAATTCTACAGCTCTAAACAACAAAGGGGTTATATTAGTTAATTGTTGCTGCTGACACATAGTTTTAGGGTCAGATTTGTTCTATCAGGACACCATACTCTGTGCCCCGCCACACACACACACACACATACACACAAGATGATAGCATAAAACATGTCTTCCATTAAAGGACTGTCCCTCATACAGTGCTTTCCCTAAATGGGCCTTTCTATCAAACTAAGCTATACATCGAAAACAATGGTCAGCAATCTTCCCCAGGCATTATATTAGGTCTTCTTCCACTCTGATAAAGCAAGGTTAGTTAATATGCCATTCCCCAAAGCTTTGAGAACCTCTGCCATCTGGTGACTGAAAATTGCTCCAGCCCAATGATGCCGTGGGGCTGGAGAATGGCTCATCTGTTAAGAGCACTCCTTCTTCTTTCAGAGTACATGACTTTGATGTCCGGCACCCATGTTGGGCAGCTCACAGTCACCTGTGACTTCAACTCCAAGAATCCAACAGCCTCTCCTGGACTTCACAGGGACCTGCGTGCACATGTACACTGCCCCCCTCCACACATACATATACACATAATTAAAAACAAATCTATTTTTAAGATCAGTTTCTAGAACTGTCACCGATCTGTCATCTCTATGAGAGTTTCTTTAGCATGCTATTAGCCTTAGGAACAAATAAGTCAACCGAGACATAACACAGGTGTCAACTGCTTTCTTCCTTTTTCAGAATATGAAGTCATATCCAGAGAAAATGGGTCATTCAGTGGGAAGAACAAGTCCATTCAAATTACGAATCAAACCTTTTCTACAGTAGAAAATTTGAAACCAGATACAAGGTAAGGCCCAGTGCTGTTCCTGGTGAATTCTGAGAGGTGCAGAAACTGCAGCCACAACAAAGTTCAGAACGATAACCTTCCCTCCTTAAATGGGGATCTTGTTTTAATTCTGGATTCCTTCAATGCAATTCTGAATACCTTGTATCACATTTTCAAAATATTCTTATTATTAGGATAAAAGAGCTTATAGGATGGGCTTGTAAGTTAACAGTATAAATGACAATATAAAAAATAGGCCATTAATAGAAAATATTGATATTTTTTTTGTTCTGTCTGTCCTGAAATTTGCTATGCAGACCAGGCTGACCTAGAACTCTTTGAGATCTGCCTGCCTCTGTCTCTCAAGTGCTGGAATTAAAGGTGTGCACCACCACTGCATAGCTATGCAAATATTGACTTTTAAATAACAAAGTTTAGAAAGTCTATGAGCTAGAGATAAATGGAGTGTGCATGGCATAAACTAGACTTTCAAGGACTGGACTCTGATGCTGGAATGGGGAAAGTAAGGGATGCAAACTATTTGACAAAACACAGACAAAAATTTTATTTAAAATAGCTATTGTGGGCCCCACATTGCATTAGTTACTATTCTATTACAGTGCAACTTATAAAAGGAAAGCATTTAGTTGAGGGTTTGCTTACAGTTTTAGAGGCTAAGTCCATGACCATCACGGTGGAGGCATGGCAATAGGCAGGCATGACATTAGAGTAGTAGCTAAGAGCTTACATCTTGGCAAGATGGGTGTAGAAAGAGCAAAAGACTGTGTCTGGCTGCTGGTGTGAGCTTTTGAATCCTCAAAGTCCATCCTCAGCGACACACCTCTTCCCACAAGGCCACACCTCCTAGCCCTTTCCTAATCCTTCCCACTAACTAAAGTCCAAACATGAGCATATGGGAGTCATTCTCTTTCAAATCACCACACAGGTGCAGCAGCCCTTTGCCTTAGGGACTTTTTACACTGAAAAGAATAGAATAGAATTTTGGTGATCAGTTGCATATTTTACTGTTTATACATTAACATGAGGTCATTCAAGTTTCAGTATAGTTTTATAATTTTCTTTTCAGTCTAGAATATCTTATCAGTTCATTTTATTACTGTAAGAAATAAAAAGGCCCTCAGACATTTCTGATTAGCTAGCTGTAGAGAAGTTCCTAGAAGAGGTTTCCTTTCTTTCCTAAGTTTCCTTTGCTATCCCCTCTCCATCATCTTCTGAATGGGTTGAGCACAGTGTTTACATGACATGAGAATGAGCCTGTTTTAACACTGGCAGTGGTAGGGACGTCCTTCCAATCAGTTTAGAGGAAAAGAAACTAATTAATTGAGGTCAACTATAACTTCAGACATTTAGTGTAAACAACATGCATTTCTTCCATAAACAGGATATTTAAAGTGCCCTGTTTTCAGCTGTAATATGGAAAATGTTTCAACTTTTAATTTTCATGAAAGCTTCAAGTTAGCATATGTCAGTTAAAGCCCAAATGATCTTGATTCTGTTTCCTCAGCAAGATTGAAAGAAAGAAAACTTTTTTTTACTATAATAGATTTTTAAGGAAGAATTAAAAATAAAGCTTAATTTCATTGAACCTTTTTAATAGGTAGATTTATGCTTGCAAGACTTATGTTTTCTCTTGAGTTGCCTGATTTTTATTCCATTTAATAGCATGAGCGGTGCTGTACACTATATTCATGGAAAGACATAGGCTTTGTAAGTGTACACTGTGTACCTTTTCTGAATCAAGCTGTCCTCACAGATTCTCACAGTGCACATATTAGTTTGTGACCTACATCTAGAACAGTTTTTCCAGGAACATTTGAAACCAAATTTGTTTGCTGAAGCTTCTCATTTCCATTGAACTATTGTTTCTTAAGAGCTTCTGTGAGTATAAACGGCAAGTCTAGTAGGAAGCTTAATTAGTAAGAGTTCTACACAGCGTGGCACGAGTTCTGGAAGTGGCCTGCGGGAGTGCTGGAGGAGATTTGGGAGTAGCCCTCCACAAAGCCTGGGAAAGGGAAAAGGTTGGGCTGGGGCCTGAAGGATAAATAAAAAGCCTTACATGGTGACGGTGGTAGGGAAGTAAGAGTCGCAGAGAATGTAGTACAGTACATGTCAGTGCACAGAAGCAAACTGGATTACAATTTAGAATTCCCTCCTGGGTTCCTTATTTGAATAACTGAAAGGAAGTGGCTTTGGAATGATTTACTATTACTCTGTTACACCACAAGGTGGCATGTCTAAGTACTGTATTTTGGTGATTTTTCTATTATTTTAAAATATGAAAAGTGGAACTGTCTAGCAGCTAATCCGCACACATCCCATGGGTAGAGTCAAGGTTAGTGTTGATCAGTGAACCAGAGAGAAGGAAGTATAAATGCAGAGATATGAAATTCACACACTGGCTGGGGGAGACATTCTAGTCTAGAAGCTAAGTGACATTGGACTACACATTCCTTTCACAACCAGTTCTCAAATGCTTGTTCTTTATTACTTCGCCATGTGTCCGTCTATCATGCAGAGGCTCAAATTCTTGCTTTGCAGTATGAGGCTATCCAGCAGCTGTTTGCTGATGAGAGGACTCAACTCAATATCTGGTGTCAAATGTTCCTGTGTCTGGGCTGGTGCCTCATGGTCACAGCCTACGGCTGCAAGGGATAGAAAGCTATCCCTTGCAGTAAGGGAGGCAAAAGAAGTCTAGAGATGCTAAGACAAATGCTGTCTCTTCCTGTGGAGAGAGACCCTATCTCACTACCTCTAAAGCAAAAAGAAATATGGGAATGTTGCTATCAGTCGAACCAGTGTCATAGTTAATTTTTTATTGCTGTTAAGAGATATGAATGATAAAGGCAACTTATAGAACAATTTTATTGGACGCTCGCTTAGTTTCAGAACATTCACTCATGATAGTCATGGCAAGGGGCATGGTAGCAGGTAGGCAGGCATGGTGCTGAAGCAGTAGCAAAGAGTTAGCATCTTTCCCCTGCCCCCCAAGATAGGGTTTCTCTGGGTAGCTTTTCAGGCTGGCCTTGAAGTCTCCCAAGAGCTGGAAAAAAGTCATACCACCACCCAGCTTAAGATATCCACAATTAGAAGATAAAGAGAGCTAACTGGGAATACCAGGAATCTTTTGAAACCTCAAAGCCAGTGACATACTTCCTCCAAGGCCACACTCCCTATTTGCACCCAAACAGTTCCATCAACTAAGGACAGAGGATTCAAATATATAAGCCTACAGTGGCTATTCTCATTCAACCACCAAAATCACTCCAGCCCACTCCCCAATACTACCTATTTCTTCCACCACCAAATCTTCTTTCCTACAACTGTCCAGGAACAGTCCTTTCTCTTCTAGGCAGCATGCAGCTCTTGTTGAACTGGAAGTAAAGGTGTAGAATGAGCCTCTCTTATCTGAGATCAAGCCACAATGTCTCTAAGACCACCAACTATACTTAATTCTATAAATAGGAGAGCTGATAAAGAGTATTTCAATCTGGCACCAGTACTGATAGAGCCAGGCAGAGTGTGACTTAGTTGATCCTTGGGGTCTTCTGGCACATAGTTTTGGGATAGGCAAAACCATGCAGTCAGTGAGAATAAACTAAGACCCAGATGAGCCCATAGTGAATTGTCTCGGTCAGCAGTTTGACTTTGAGTTTGCCTTGAGATTAACTGCTTAGTGCTTTGTTTGGTAACATTGATGGTATGTGCTCTTTCTGATGAACTAGTTGGCAATGCCATTGGACACACATGATCACTCAGGCTGAAAAGGATTTTTAATGGTTCAGGTTTCTGTTCCAGAAAGCCCATTTCTCTCCTTACTCTACTGAAAAACTGAAGAGTCTGTTGTATATGCCAGAATTACATGTGGTCTAGCAATTTCCTATGGAAAATGGACTCTGATAATTAAATCAAATTCATTTCATCTGTGCAAGTACTTTTGTTGACATCTGTGAGCTCAGGATTCTGGGCAACAGTTCTTCTCTAAGACTAAAACCTACTGAAGTTTGGGCCTCCTGTTTACACCGAGTTGATAAAACATTGGCACTGATGGTTAGCTGTAACACAGACGACTTCATATAATCTGTGAATCTGTCTGAAAGAAATGTGTGAAATAGTCATTATGCCTGGATCACAGGGTTTATGTGAAATTCAGGTCTCTGCAAAGTCTTTATTTAATTTTCAACACCATCTATAGATTTGGTATAAAAAGAAATAAGGTGCCAAAGCATCAGGCATTTTACTTAGTTCTATTGTAGGTGTGGGCAACAGACAAGTAATTCCTTCCTTGTTAAAGAAACAAATAGAGGCAGTTGCTCAGATACTAACTTTGCACCAGGCAAAAGACAGCTCTCCAAGAATGGATCTCTACAGAGGACAGATCTGTGCTCATAACTGCATGCCTTGTTATTATAGTTCCTTTTAATTCCTTATGTCTAGAAAGGTGGGGGAAAGTCACAGCAGCACCAGAATTAGAAGTGAAGCCCAACTCTGCAATGTCTAGTTCTCAGCCCGAACCCCAGAAATGAGACACAAGAAACTTCTCTTGGGGCATAATGGGCAGTCAGGTTATGATCCTCCATGATTTCTTCATCCCTGTTTTCCCTTCGGTCACTTCTGTTCCTTCTCCCTGCCACCCTCTTCCCTTTCCCTTCTTTTTTGAGACAGGTTGGTATGTTGCCCAGGGTGGCCTCAAATTTGTGTTCCAGCTTCACAAATGGCTGTGCTGGGATTACAGGGATGCCACCATGCAGGTTCTGTCCCTAACTGAGGCATCCTACTCTACTCTGCCCCGTAGACCTTTACCTGTATCTTAGTGATGCACAGTGATTGACATTGCATGCTGTTAAGTGTCCTGAAATGCTGTAGCCCTCCAGTGTCCTTGAGAGATCGAGCAAACTGTCTACTTATTGCCTTTTATTCTTTTTTATTCTACTTTTTCCAGTTCCCTTCCTCTGACAGAAGACCTTACTGAAATGGGTCTCCAGCAGGGGTAAAATGAACTAATAGCCATACATTCCAAACCAAAACACAGCCACTGAGTGTTTTTGTATAAAAACAAGTTTTATAAAAAGCAGTTTGACGTTTGAGAATTTTGTTAACCTAACTTTTCTAACCAGTAGGGAGCTATGTAACTGAAAGTACATTCAACAATAAAAGCTATAACTCAGTTCTAAGTTTATGCCAAAACTGAAGGCAACAGAGAAGAGGTGAGGGAGTGACGGCGGTCGGTGTCCATCCCACTGGGGCCTGCAGCTTTATGCCATACCGACAATGCAGAGGGTAGCTCCTAGAAATGGACATTCTGCTTTTGACAGATTAGCTGAGCAACTACAGACCATACTCTCTGGAACCATTTTTCAATTTGTTCCAGTAATTGATAAACTTTTAATTTGCATGTCAATTTTTATAGCTGTTCTCCAAACTGGTGGTCTCAAATTTTACCCTCCATTATCCTTTCCCTTTGGATAATGTGTAGGTTTTTAAGTCTTTCAACGTATTAAACTCTTGCCGCTGCCCCTCATTTTGTGGCTTCCTGAAGAATCAAATATTGGAAAAACAGTAAGTCTTTACATACATTTAGTTTCTTCTGATCCTTTTGTTCAGCTGAATGTGGATTTTAAGATGATAAAATGAAGGCCTTCTAGAAGTATTGATTTTCCCTTAATTTCTAGTCCTGCTGCAAGTTAAAACACCATTCTGACTTTGATCCCTCAAATAGGACCCATTATTTTACTCAGGTTGGATTTTTTTGTCATTATCCCTTGGTACTCTGAGAAATTACAATTTGTATGCTTTAATTCCTTTCTCCTCTTGTTGGGAATGGAGTAGGTCTTTTTAACCTTGAAAACTTGTATCTTTAAGTTCAGGGAGGATTGGAATCCTATTTTATAGTTTCTGCCAGTTGGGTTTTCAACAATAATCCAATCTTCTTATTTTGTAACTTTGACTTTTCCATCTATTTTTCTGTCTGCGTCAACTTTATCTTCCAAACTTTTATTTAGTTTTTTCAAATAACTGTTAAAATTCTGAGGTAGCACCCTATATTTATATCCACTATTGTTGAGACTTTACTTTTAGAGGCATATGGTGTCACTCATGTGACAAAATGTGCTTTCTGGGAAAGAATCTGCCACCAGAAATATTTTTTGTTTATAAAGGGTTTAACCAGCCAAAACATGTTCTTGTGTTGCTAAACATAAGTGTATTATTTTTCTTCCACACTTGTATTATAAAATATTGGGAAAAACCTTCAGAAAAAGTAAGTTATGAAAACTTGTAGCCATGCTAGAAGCAAGAATCAAGTGTAAGTAGCCAAAATAAAATGACAGGGAAGAGTCCAGCAGTCAGATCTGACCAAAAATAGATGCCACATGCACTCCCACCCAAATCAAACTGCAGATGCCTGTGAACCCCCCTGCCCCCCCATACTCAGTTCTCCAGTCTTATGAGATTTTGGGACTGTTTGAGGTCCACTTGCCGTAGGAAGAATATAACCTTGGAAATATCCCATGTATACAATTTAAGTAAATAGCATAGGTGTGTTTTTAATATTAAATTTTTATTTCAATTAGACACAATCTTATTTTACATATCAATCCGAGTTCCCATCCTCCCATGCCCCCCATCCCATTCCTTTCTTCCCAGGGAAGGTGAGGCCTTCCATGGGGGATCATCAAAGTCTGTCACATCATTTGGGGGGAGGGCCTAGGCTGGGAGAGTATCCCCAGCACAATTCTTCACAGACCTTGAAAGAACAATACTCAACTTTATATGGAAAAACAAAAAACCCAGGGTAGCCAAAACCACCCTGTACAATAAAGCATAGGTGTTTTCAGATCACCATTGTTTGTCTGTGTGATCATGTGTGTGCAAGGGTAGTCCCATGTGTGAATGCCATGATGCACTGTGGAGGACAGAGGACAGCTCTGAACCTTAGGCCTTGCTTTTTACTTTAAGAGGCCTCCTTTGTTGTTTCCTGCTGTGTGGCTATGCAAGCTGACCTATGAGTTTCTGCAGATTCTTGCTTTCACTTCCCTTCATGCTATAGGAGCACTGAATTTAGGATTACAGATTGTATGCACTGCTGCCCTCCAACCCCAGCCCTGCTTGATATGGGTGCCAGGGATTGGAACACTGGTTCTCACACTTGAATGACACTCACTTTATACACGGTGTCATGTCCCCAGTCCAGCATTTTCTATGGTAAATGGCACAACACCTTGTATCAGTTCTTTAGCTTTCAAAATGCTTTGACTTCTGTAGTTAAGAATTAAAAGGAAAGTTTTAATTCTATTTCACAAATATTTCCAGTTTGGAAAAGTGAAAGTATTACAATAGTTAAAAACTTCACTGTCCTGAAATAGTGAGATTTTGGGAGAATGCCTCATGGGATTTGTGTGCTGGATTATTTTATAAATGCAGAATGATAATGTTATTATTATTTTAACACATAGTAGGGACTTTAAAAAATGGTTCCTATCTTGTGAACAGTGGAATCTGTCCTACTAGAATCTGGAAGTGATCTATCAGTAGTAAAGAAACTCACTCCAAGGATCCTCCCTTTTTTGTTTTTAGCACTGTCTCGACCAAACCGAGAACTGCCAATCTTGTTTCACACATGCTTATAAAGTACTTACCTTTTGTACTCTACATTTTTACTTTGGGGCAAACTTCTCAAACATGAAATTTATCTTCCAAAAACCTTGCAAAGATCACAAGACACTGTCTGCTAACTCAGGCTGTTTAAGGCCGAGAGCAAATGCAGGCGAGTCCTCTGCTGAAGGAAGTCAGTTTCAGACAAATGTTACCCTACTTTCCTGCTCTGGCTTTCTTAAGAGAATCTGAAGTTTTTATAGCTTGTGAAAAAGAACCTTCAATTATGCACAATTTTATGACTCACTCTTAAGGATGGAGCATAAGCAAGCACACTTAAATAAATAAATAGTTAATTAGTTAATTAATTAATTAGGACCTGAGCAGTGTGAGCCTGACTTACTGAGTAAAGGGGGGGACAAAGTCTCAGCTTTGTGTTCATGCTCTTAGGATTCTAACAGCCCACTTTCTGGACACCCTGGCTTCCTGTGATCTGTATCAGACCCAAGTTGTTCCAGGAGAGACAACCAGTACTGCAAAGACACATTCTCCTCATGTGCATCTCTCAAAACCAGTGGCCACAGAATGCATGCCAGTAACTCAAGTCTTTATTCTCAGTAGCCGAGGTGGGACAAATAATCTGCATTTAAAGAAACTTTCCCCTATTACCACCCTCTGCTGTGATTCAGATGCCACAGTGAAGAACGCTGGGATGACAGGGAATAAGAAAGAACTCTCCAGGTGACATCTGAAGCAAAGGGAGGTTCCTTGTTGCTGGAATTAGAGTGGGTTACCACATATCTTCCTATATATCCATTGTAAACCTGATTGGTTATTTCTACTAATTTGTTATTTTTAAGACAGCTAACTTTTCAATAATGTTTTTCTCACAGGAAACATTAGACAAGATGTTGAGAAAGAAACAGGAGTTAGAAAATGCTGTTCCTTAAAACCCTCAAAAAGATGTTAGTGTTATTTTTATTTCTCCTTACACAGCTATGAATTCCAGGTGAAACCCAAAAATCCACTTGGTGAAGGCCCTGCCAGCAACACCGTGGCATTCAGTACTGAATCAGGTAATCATGTTAGCAGTAATCATACATAGATGTGAAGGAACATAATCACAAGGGCTGCACAGTGTCTTGAATTCTAAAAAAAAAATCCATGAGAAGCTAATAGATGAAGGTACTAACAGTTATCACTGTTTTTCTTCACTCGGGTTTATGTTAGGAAAGAAAAATGAAAAACTGTAATCTATAGCCCCAAACATAGCACATGAATGCCTCCACGCATGCCCAGAATAATGCACATCCAGTATACCAGAGGAGAGAAAAACCTGAGTTCTGTGAAACTGTCTGTACATTCCAAAGCTTCAGTCCATCAATAAAAATCTGTATGCAGACAAATTTGCATAATTTTAAATTATGTATCTTGGTAACTTTAAAATTAATAGTTTTATACAAAACTGAGAAAGCTTTTGAAAAAACTAGAAAACCTATGCTCAGATCTACTCAAATCATGTGTAAAAGAAACAGCTGAGTAGCTGAAGAATGACCAACAGCCATTTCTTTCCAAAAAAAACCTTTCAGATTCAGTCTTCAGCAAGATTGTACAAACAAGACCTAAGTGTACACAGCATCTTCGTTAGCTTACTACTGTAATAGTAGACCCTTACCTAAAAGGCTCTTTTGTGTGTTGTTCCTTCTCAGCGGACCCAAGAGTGAGCGAGCCAATTTCTGGTGAGTACCAGTATCCATGGGGACTACATATATTTCTAAATTAGGTAAGCACAGCAGAACTTGAGCTGAGCATCTTTATATCTAGAAGAGGTGTGACTCTTTAACTCATTGGGGGGTGGGTACTGAGATTTGCTTTCCCTCATATACTAGTTCACTCAAAATTTGTTTACATTAAATCTTATACTACGTTGCAAAAAAGAGCCCTAAATGTGTCTATACTCCCAGAACTGCAGGAGACTAGTCCAATACCTAAGATACTGCTCTGAGATTTATTTCATTAGTGACAGAAACTTATACTGGGGTTTGTTCAACCATTTCAAATATTTTCAGCCCCCAATATTTACAGTATCAAAGAAATGAGGTATCAGCAAATTGGCAATAACTCTGCAGGCTGCTTTTGTTGTAAAGCTTTTAGTTCTTCAGGGTTAAATACTGAACCCAGACCATGTGTTTTCCTCTTGCAGCAGGAAGAGACGCCATCTGGACTGAAAGACCCTTTAATTCAGACTCTTACTCAGAATGTAAAGGCAAACAATATGTTAAAAGGACATGGTATAAGAAATTTGTCGGTGTGCAGCTATGTAATTCTCTCAGATACAAGATTTATTTAAGTGACTCCCTCACAGGTACGTTCCAATACCCTTGCCTTTCTATGGAGCTTCAGACCCAGTACTTTACGCAAGATTCTTTCAGAAAAAGATGTTACAGAGATAGCTGAAACAGTCTTAGAAGTGAGGACTTAAAGATCTGCAGTTTGGAGACAGATAATGAAAATGTAACATACAACAGTGACATGACGATCAACTTCAATGCACAGGCAGGCACTTGCACAGCAAAGCTCAATACTGTCACAACCACCCAAGAATTAAAATACTAGTCATGAAAGGACTGTGACATCCTTAAAATGTCTGAAGGGCTCACACCCCTTGCACAATATTCCTTTATAATGTTTTCTTCTCTATTTGTGTGGTGAAAAGACTTTGGTCTACTCATTCATTAGGTACTATTCTGGGTTTGGTGGATGACAATGTGCCAAATGCCACATTCCTGCTTTCAAATAGAGTAACTCTCCTTCCTCTCTATAGGAAGGAGAGACAATAAATAAACAAGTAAATTAAACAAGAATGTCACACAGGGTTATACAGAATGATTCAGTAGAAATGGAAGCTCTTTTAGTAGAAGAGCTTTAGGGAATGTCTGTCTGCAAAGGTATCATGTCTGCATAAGTAAATTTTGGGAAGAAATCAACTTCAAAAAGTCTAGGAACAAAAGATCTCTGGAGAGGTGTGGGAAGAAAAAGTGCAAGACATATTGGTCGGTCCTACTAGTTTAGGCTAAGATTAGTAAAGAAGAAATCGTATTCTGAGTACATTAGGTGATTGCTGGAGAGAATATGGAGGGAGTAATAGCATTACTTGCATTTTTTCAAAGTCACTGTGGTCTGAAGGGGAAAAGGAGGTAAGAATACAAGCAAGCACACAGCTAGGAAACTTTTCTAGTTCAAGAGATGCTAGTGGCCTTTAATCTGGGAAGTGAGGGAAAAGACATGCAAAACTATCCTTTGAAATAATTGATTATGGGATTGCCATACACTAAAGAAAACATTATTTCACTTCTGGTTCTTCAGGCAAGTTTTACAACATAGGAGATCAGAGAGGCCACGGAGAAGATCACTGCCAGTTTGTGGATTCATTTTTAGATGGCCGCACAGGACAGCAGCTCACCTCTGACCAGTTACCCACCAAAGAAGGTATGCTTTCTGACCATCCGAAGTAGACGGTTTTGCAGATTAGCACAAAAAAACAATCAGCTAACAGAAAAGGCTACTTACTCTACCACTAGGGAAAGAAGAAACTTAATTAGATATATAAATGTATTCTGAGAAAAACAACCTTTTCCGAGTTTGTATAACCCATAATGTCCCAATCACAGTTGTCCCTCACAGCTTTAGTCATATGGAACATACTTGATCATCTTTTTGCTCCTTTAAACATTGTTAAGAAAATTTCTACTATACAAGGAAAACAGTATTTCCCTTTAAAAAATCTATGTAAATCAATTAAAATAAACCGGAGAAGTGAATATACTCAGCAGTTTGCTAAATACATGCTAACAGCAGGCTATATAATGAGGATTGAAAACTTAATCCTTGCCTAAGCAGAAAGGGGGAAAACTGTCCAGATCACACAGGAAACACCTAATTATTTGAGGTTTCCAGTTACACATTTTGTCCATGAACACACAAATACCAAGCCTCTTAAAGATGCTACTATAAGCCGGGCGTTGGTGGCGCACACCTTTAATCCCAGCACTTGGGAGGCAGAGGCAGGTGGATCTCTGTGAGTTTGAGGCCAGCCTGGTCTACAAAGTGAGTTCCAGGACAGCCTCCAAAGCCACAGAGAAACCCTGTCTCGAAAAACCAAAAAAAAAAAAAAAAAAAAAGATGCTGCTATAAGATACTTGAGCATAAGAGGCCGCTGAAACCACTCTTATAGTAAGACAAATGTCAAGACCTCAAGTCCTAGGTTCCTTGTGTTTCTGGATATTCTCTATAATCACTAGTTTTCTAAAAGGCTTTGCTTCACTCAGAATAACCTTCAGCCACCAAACAGTCTCATATCTATGAATGCAGCGGGCAAAGATACAAAAGCTCTATTAAACTAAACTCTTTTTCCTCTTAGGCTATTTCAGAGCCGTTCGCCAAGAACCTGTCCAATTTGGAGAAATAGGTGGTCATACCCAAATCAATTATGTCCAGTGGTATGAATGTGGGACCACAATACCTGGAAAATGGTAGATGCAGGAAAATTATTTTCAAAGTACTTCTGGTTCATTATCGCAAAAAGAAACAAAGAACCTGATGGAAATACTATGGTATTTGTCACACCTTTTCCAAGCTATTTTGGTTACTATGTATAAAAGTTTGCAGTCTAACTGATGGCAGTACTAGATGTTTATTATTAGAAAAGATTACTGAGAATATTTATCAGGTTTTACAAAGTCATTTTAAGAAATCAAGATATTAACATTAATAGAATAACATTTTTAGGGAAGCTGGCTCCCTATTCATGATATTTTAAGAGATCATTTGTATATTATTTATCACAGTGTTGTAATGTTTTCAGATACTTTTATAACGAAATTAATGTCAAAAAATCTTTATGCTTTATAAAAAGTATTTACTTTATTGATGTGTACGTGTTCTTGGTGAGTTAATTCCACAAATCTCTACTTGGTTTAACTTATTGGATCAAATAATCTTCAGCATAATACATGTGAGAGAAAGGTGGTTCTAATATTTACATTTATGTAAACTTCAATTTTTTAGCATCAGATGAACAGATTTTGAGTTTAAATAGCTATATATTCATGCTAACTTTTCCATAAGCTACCAGCAAATTACTGAAAATAAAAATCTGAATACGTATAATTTTATTTCAGCTAGAAACAGCTGATAACCTGACATGTTAAATGATAAATCATTTGTTTTCTTCTGTGCCCACAATACTACGTCTAAAAAATACTTTCTCAAATTGTTCCTTTAAGCCATTCTTTTAAACAGCTCTATGGTTCTACTCAAGCTGTATGTAGAGATTGAGTGTGAAGTCAGCATGAAAATATAATGCATGGTAAGATGTTATTGTTTCATAGGATATATTATATATTTATACACTAAGGCCATGAATGAATGAATGTATCACAGGTTGTTTTTGTGACACTGTTAACTCAAGCTGTAACAAAACTGACTCATTTTCATGCGGAAAAAAAAATATTGCTTTCCTTCACATGGAGGAAGGAGCCAAGAATCTTATTGCCTGCCCTGAAAAGACTTTTTTCTGTATGTATCTTTCAGTATGCTTCAGTTTCATCAATGCTACATTTTGTATTTCTCAAGCAAATATAAACTCTGCAATAAAAAGATGTAGGTTTCTAAAAAATGTTTTTTTTAATGCTCTGAATAGTTTGTCAATATGTAAATGCACCTTTATTCCCATAAGGAAAATTGGGATATTAAGAGCTGCCAAACCCCTAATGTGTTTACAATCTAAGTCAGTCATGTTTGTTATATATATTTTTTCTCAAATGGAAATCAATTTCATAAATTTTACTTGAAGACCATATACCAATAAGATGACTATTTTCCTTATGCCTGAAATAATTAAATTACAAGACCACTATTGGATTCAATCACCTTTATTAGCCTATCAGTGTTACATTTTATACATAATGTCTAGTCATCTTGCCAAAGGGTTCTATTTTTAGTACATCATGTTAATAGTAAATAGCCAAGTGTGACGGCTGAACCTTAGCCTAGGTTTTTAATATCCTCTTGGAAGTAGAAAGCCAATCATTTTACATGAAAGAGTAGTGTTCCAAAATAACTAAGAAGCTGCTACAGTTTTAAGCAGGGGAGGAAACAATGTTCATTTTGGTCTTTCTGTGTATGTATTCCAGCAAATTATACTTTCAATTAACAGCAACAATGATATCATAAAAATTGCTCTGCTTTTTAAATTTCTGAACTTCAATACAGTACAAATTGAAACAAAATAGTATTGTAGTCTTTTGGGAGGCAATTAGCCATCATTAGTGTAGCTGAACCTCCTTATCGATAACCGGGTCCAGGTTGGGTATAGCCCTGACCAAAAGGAGGACGGTTACGTGCATAAGGGTTGGGCCCACTGGAAGGAGGGGTCATGGTACCTGCAGGAGATGGTGTAGTAAAACCTGGTCTTGGTTGGTAAGCACCAGGTTGGCTTGGAGCCATTCCAGGCTGAGTGCCAGGGGGCACAGTATAATTAGCAGGTTGAGATGTTTGGGTAGTATAAGTTTGTGGAGGATAAGTGCTCGCCTGGTACTGCTGTGGTGGTTGAGCAGGCAGTTGTTGTGGCTGACCAGAAAAGGCAGGAGCTGGTGCCTGGGAAGTTGGCTGTTGGCCATATCCCTGGAACTGCTGAGGTTGTTGGGGTCCAGTCTGCTGACTGTAACTAGCTGTAAAGGCAAAATAAATAACGTATGTCTTGGTTCTTTTGGTGAAAGTTTTCCAGAGAACTAGTCTTACTGCTATGGACCAAAGATGATTAAAAATTTAATAAATGTATTCACAAATATTTACATAGTAAGTTCAGCATAAAGTATCAAGGCCAAGTATAAAATTGTCTAAAAATTTTTAAAATCTATATTCTAAAATTCAAGTTACTATACATATGTCTTTTCATTATAATTGCTTTGAAACTAAATAACCCTTGAGCAAATTCCCATCTGCATATAATTCCTAGAATAGATACTCAAGATGAAAATCATAAAACGAAGGTTTGGAGAGAGGTCCTATTTAACAGTACCACATGAAAAGATATTACTTTAGAAATGAAACAATGTTACAAATACTCTTCATAAAAATGAAGTGTTTTAAAGTTTATTCACTATAAATAACAAGAATTACTAAGTACTGTTTTGACATTTCTTAAAATCTTTTATATTTGGTATTGGACACTTTGCCTTTACAACTCAAATTGTGACTTAGTATGGCATAACAAACAAAAAAAAATCACATTGCCCCACAATCAACATCTAGTCATAATTTACTAGATATAATTTAAAATAAAATCTGCTTCACTGAAAACTTTTATCTCTACCATGAAACACACCTGCAGCTACTTGCAATGAAACCTCTCCAATGACTGGAATCCTGTCAGCATTAAATACCAGATACATAAGACAATTATTAAAATATGTACAACCCTGCATTTAGGAAAAAAAAAAGGATTGAATGAATTTGAGTATATTCTGAACTCACCTTGAACCTGGGTTCAAAATTTACTTATGAAAGAAACCTTTATGATAAAAGTCCATGAACAAAACTGGAAAAGGTCAAAGGGAAAACTGGCAAACCAAAAGTGTCAGAGATTGGTCAATGTCACTACCACCGGCACCACTGATATGTCTCCAGGCAAAGTCAAGGAAATAGGACTAGTCGGGTCAGAAATAACAGAAGAAATTTGAAAAGCACTTTGCTGGGTGAAGACCCAGACTAAATAAAACTTCTAAGAGAAAGCTTAGATATCAAGTAACCAAAACATTTTCCTCATGCTAGCATCTAAATACTGAACTAACATAATTTATGCTAAGATCTTAAATGTCATGTAAGTTTTCCTTTCTTCTACACAAAGCTTAAAAACTGTGTGTGAGCCTGCACACCCACCCACAAAAGCCAGAAGAGGGCATAGGACTAGCTGGAATTTCTGGTGGTTGTAAGCTGCTCTCAGCCTCGAGCCAATCACCAGCCCCTACAAAATCTTTAAAGAGTAACTTTTTGCTGTAAGCTTTTGTGGAACACCTTTAAATTGAAAATGACTATCCCACTTGAAGGAGGAACAACAAAAACAAATGTCTTTTCATTCTGCAACGGGAATCTAAACTTTTAAAAAAATTGAATCAGGAAGTACCTGGAGTCTTAATTATTGCTCAGGAGAGGAAACAGCAGTAAGTGATAGCAATGCCATTTCAGTAGCAATCTACTGGGCTATCAATCATAATGTAGCAATCCTTCTCTATTACATCTACTTATTTCCATTACTGCACCCCAAAACTCCCAAAATGAATGTTATGTGAAGACTATCACAAACTGCAAGAAATTTTTTTTAAGTAAATACCTACAACTAAGCCTACAATATTGACCACTCTGCTCTGAACTGGAAAACATAAAATGGTGTAAGTCAAGAGAACAAGGTTGGGCCCCAGCTCCCTCACTGGGTATTTGCATGTCTTGAGTGAGTAGGACATGATCAGTGGGGCTTCACCCTGGCTATACAATGACCTCCAAGCAAACGAAGTCAAACCCCAGGAGTTAAGAAGCTGCTCAGGAGGTCCTAAAGTACAATGAGTTTTTGAGAGCATCTCCTAGGTCAGATGATGACACTTATCTCTTCAGCTCTGGCAGCCTATTATTTCTATACATTATATAATTTGTACTACAGACATTATTTAATTGAAAAGGACAACACTAAAAAAAGGTGACATTTCCTTTAAATTCACTCCATCTGTATTTTGAAATTATAATGTAAAAATCACTATACAGCAAATAGAATTCAAATGAAATTACTGAAATGTGTGAAAATATTCCAAATTTAACTACTGACAAAATTTTGTAGTCTAGGTCAGCAATCAGCAACTATCCATACCAATAAAAGATGAAGGTTCGGTCTCTTTTCCTATAAAGGGCCAGATAGTAAATATTTTCGGTTTTATGGGCTACATTGCTTCTCTCACTGTTGTAACTACTCAGTAGAGTGCCTAACTGTATCAGCAATGGCCACAAGGATAAGTGAGAAACAAGCAGGACAGAGTGTCCTAATAAAGTAGCAGATTTACACTATAGCTATATCTGATATATATGTCTATTTATACAAAGTGGATAGACACTATGAGGTAACTGGAAAAAGTACCTAAATCATAACCAAAGCTATACCAAAGAAATTCATCTAATCATATCTCCAGTGGACAGATTGTGAAAATAAAGCAAAATACTCAAATGTCTATGGGAATGGGACCCAGCTACAAAAAAGCTTCTCAGATGATTTGGACATGCCATGTGTTTGAAACTCCTGGGTCGGATGACAACTGTGTCACCTCATCTGAAAGCACGGTTCAAACATCTAAATACTCTTACTTGCCTGAATCCTACTGTAAACATGTTTTGGGTTTTTCTTTTCTTTTCTTTTTTTTTTTTTGTAGTCTAGTGTATATTCAACAAGCTTAAATATCCAAGTAATTTAATTTAGTTTTTATTAAGTTTACTTTTGCATATGTGGGGAAATTGTTGATATATCTACAAATACTAAGAATATTCTAGAATTATGAGTGGTACAGATAAAGAAAATCTTAAATTTTTTCTCAATTTGAAGTTATCTAAGAGTTTAGATTGCTAATCTATAGTATAAAAATGTTTTACTAACATTACTACAGAATCATCTTTGTAATTACATCATAACTGATCACTGAAAAAATAAAATGCTGACTTGATAAAACATGACAATTTCAATGTAAATCGCTTTCCCAATAAGTACTTAACACCTATTGACAATGTACTTAGGAGAAAGGATGTAAAATTTAATGAATATAGAAACAAATCAAAAGCTGCAAATTAACTCCCTTTTAACACCTGCTCACCTGAATACTGAATACCGTACTGCTGAGGAGGAGCCTGAGGCTGCTGGGCCCCGTAGCCAGCCTGCTGCTGGTATTGTTGGTACATCTGACCTATGAAAGAAAATACAGACAGAAAAAGAAGGTTTAACTTTGCAGAAAAATATTTTTAGGGCACCTTTATATTACCTCCCAATTTAATGCATAAGCACATTGAATAATAATGTATTCATTATACTTTAAATGTCTATGGCGACAAGAATAAATTAAGAAGGGTGACTACTTGTTCTGCCATAGGTAAGCTGCTAAGAATGTTAGCTGGAAGCAAGTATGTATGTATGCTTATGTTACCACTTCATAAACTCCAGAAAATTCACTGTTAAAACTATACACCACCAGGTAAGTAATCAGAGAAAGGGGACAAATACATTGCCATGTACAGTTTCACATATCTTTGTATGTTAACAATACCTCTCTAATGATTCATAGAACTTTTCTCATTACAAGTCATTTTGTTTTTAGCAGTAACATCGTCCTTTTATTAAATTATTTTCAACATGGTAACTCATTGTGTAATACACTATATTGTATCACTTATTGATGTTGGAACCACCTTTGTTTATATAAACATGCTCTATGGCAGTGTTTCTCAACCTGTGGGCTGTGACCCTCAAAAGCCATAGGGAAACATGTATATTTACATTACAATTCATAACAGCAGTAAAATTAGTTATGAAATAGCAACAAAAAATGTTATCACTGGGGGCCACTACAACATGAGGAACTGTGCTAA